CAAGGTAATGGTATGAAACTCAACCCAGATAAATGTTCATGGATATCTTTCACTAGAAATTATAATGAGATTAGTACGCATTATAATATATGCAATAATATCAATTCCGTGGATACGATTAGGGATCTTGGGGTGATCTTTGATAAAAAATTAACTTTTATATCACATATGGACAACATAATTAACAGGGCATCTAAAATGTTAGGTTTCGTTATCAGAAACGGTAAACTATTTCGGAATCCAAAAACTAAGATCATATTGTTCAACAGTTTTGTCAGGAGCATTTCGGAATATGCAAGTGTTGTTTGGAGGCCACATTATGCAACTCACTGTTTAAGACTAGAGAGAATTCAAAAACGTTTTCTTTACCATCTTACATTTTCTTTAGGTAAAGCCAAACTACTTCCTACCTACAATGAAAGACTAAAGTACTTCAAAGTTATTTCCTTAAGGCCTCAGCCTTGAATTTTGCGGGCAGCGGAGCGGCGGCGGCGGCGGCGCGGCAGCAGGGCGGGCAGATCGCGCGGCACTATAGCTGTGTAGTGTTGTGTAATTAGTAAAAACTGCGCAGCTGTGTAGGCTCTTTTGTCGCTTTGTTATCCTAGCTCGCAATAAACTCGACAGTCATACCGAACTTTCTAAGAAATTCGTTCTTTTGTTTACAATTACAAATTGCTTACACGTGTCGAGGGTTTACAACACTATACTTACAATGCAGACGCGCAACGCGGGCGGTCACCGCTTGACTGGAGTGCACCGCTCGTTGCCCGCCCCCGCCCTGCTCCTGCACCGCTGTATTCGAGGGTCGGTCCATTTGATTATACGCGTAAGATCCTGCCGCTCCCGCGCCGCCGCCCCGCTACCCGCGAGATTCGAGGCAGAGGCCTAAGTCATCGGCGGGACATGCTAGATTTAACGTTTTTATACAAAGCTCTAAATGGTTTATATGATAATTCATTTCTAGTTTCTAGAATAAATTTAAATGTTCCTGCTAGATACCCACGAAAACCGATAGCGCCATTAGTAAGACCTTTTCGTAAAACCGTCTTAGGAAGTAACTCACCCGTGGCATGTTTTTGTAAAATCTTAAACGAGCACAGTGCTTCCCTAGATCCATTTGGTGACTCTTTATCTAAGTTCCGTAAGAAAATGTTACAATTGTTAGCCATTTGATCGTTATTGTTTCGTTATCTACTTTTTTTGCAAATTTTTTTATTTTTTTAAATTAAAAATATATATTTTTTTTGTAACTTTTCAATTAGCATAATATGTTTAAATTTGTAAATGTAGGTACATATTTTTATCGTGTAAGCTCCTTTTATATCCACTACCATTGCATGAGGTATTCTCTTTTATAGGTAATGCATTTAGTTTTAAGCTATATGTTGTTATTGTTACTAATATTACTGTGTTGATGTATTTACTCCTGGAGGATCTTAATAAATAAATGTATTTAATTTCTTTATGTACATATATTCAATAGTATTAAATAAGATTTTATAGTTGATTGGTGTCGACTTCTCACTACTTATAAGTAACACTGTTGAACATAGATTTCAGAGTATATTATTATGTTTGCGATGTGTTTTTAAGTGTGTTACGTAAGTATAACCCGATATTAAGTTTTCGGTATAACAATGGTTTAAAGTACGGAATGCTGACTCTGAGCCATCGGTGGGACTGGGAAAGTGAAGTGGACACCACACGCCTTGCACCATCGGTGAGAATGAAGAATGGGATTTTTACATATATTCAGTCTGGAGTCAACCGCTGTGTTACAGACACCTCTTTAGTATGTAGTTAGTTATAAGACTTAATTATATGTAGAATGGGTCTTAAGTCAATCGCTGACTTAAAGACCCCGCCCTAGCTAGTAGTTAAATTTAAGTCTTAATTGGTAATTGAATATATTTTGTAAGTAAAACGGATTTTTCTTGCATCCTTCGCTGCCACCAAGCGTAATTAGTGTTTTCATTTTTTATTTTTTGTTGATACAACAACACCTTTATCCCTGAAGTATAAAAAAGATAAATTGTAATTGGGAAGCAAGGAAATGTATTGTTTTTACTGGATAATGGACTGACCCATGCTTCGGCTGAAATATTCAGGAGAGAAAAGAAATTTAAAGTAAAAAATGCTTGCGTACGAAGTACACATATCAGAAGTGAAACTTCTTTGTACTGTACGTTATACGACGTTCGTTCTGTCTCACTCTCTCTCAATCGGTCTCTAACGCTCTCTCTCTCTCTCTTTTTCGCCACTTCCGTGGCATACCGGACGTTACACCTGTAAAAATTTTACCCTCATGCGCCTAAAGAAGTTTCACTTCAAAAAATTTATGCCTCCTAATGTGACATCCTTGTCACACGCATCAGTGTTATTGAAACACTGAAGCGACTTTATAGAAAGTTTTTACAATAAAGAGGAAAATATTTTTCATGAAATTTCTGACGAAGATATTTCTAGTCATGCAACAATAAATCAGGAAGATGACGAAGTGGTGAAAGCACAAGATGCAATTAATGCCTGTAAGCTGGATTTGCAATGGGCTGAAGAAAATGGTGCATCCTACAACGAACTTCTACTTTTGAGAAGATTGAGAGACAAAGCTTTATTCTCGCGTTTCAACAATGTTAAACAAAAAAAGATGAATAATTTGCATGCTCCTTAAATTAATTGTTGCATAGTTTTTGATTATTTTAGTACATTGTGTTTTCTTTTTTTTTAAATTCAATTCAATCAATGCAATCGCGTTCGAGGCGCCGTAGTGTAAACATGTCGGTGTTATATCTCTCTGGTTTTTAAGCAAGCGAAAGATACAAAAGTCAGAAGTTCTTACGAGCACTCCAGTGAAAGAGGAACAAAAAGTTAAGTTTACAAAAATGAATACAACTGTATTAAAACATTTAAACAAAGATTTAGATAAAAACCAAAAATATAACAAAGAAAAATACCAAAAATTATAAATTTAAGAAAGCTCAGAAAGAGGATACTAATATATAATATACTTGTTATTTTTGTGGAGAAGATTATACAGAAATAAACGGACAGCCAATAGATGATTGGATCCAATGTAGCTCCTGTAGCCAATGGAGTCATGAAAAATGTACGGCCTATGAAGGAATAGGCTTATTTATTTGTGACAACTGTACTTAATTATTTTCTTTATGTTATCTATTCTTTTTGCTGTTATGTTGACATTATTTTCTTCACTTCTTTCAATGGTGTCGCTAACTAATTTTCTATTAATTGAATAAATACGTTTGTGCATTTTTATATCCGACAAGTTTTATTTCTGTACCATCCACAAATATCAACACGGTAGCAGAGCGTGGTTGATAAAAATAAAACGAGAAAAAAGGAAAACAGAATAAAAACCGGCCGGCGTATTTGTTCAGTCCGCCATTTTGAGATTACACGTAATCGAAATTGAACTGGAGCGGCGTGTGTTCAGAAATAAATTAGTTAAATACTGCAAAAACATCATTATTTTTACGCGAAAAAGATGTCCAGTACAGGCCACAACTCTTTCAACATTGATAGACTCATCGGAAGAAAGAATTACGCTAGTTGGAAAATCGCCGTGGAAGCTTATTTCAAACTACATTTGTGGAGTTGTGTTGATGGCACCAATACAGACAAAAGGAAGTGAATGCGAAATCGAAGCTCATTTTACTACTAGATTAATTATGTACACGTGCAGAGCGCTGAAACTTGTAAAGAAGCTCGGAATAACCTACAACAGGCTTTTGATGACAGCGGATTGTATAGAAGAGTAGCTTTACTGCGAGATTTGATAACAACTTTGGAAAGTTGCCGAAGTTTAGATGATTACGTTAACAGTTTTATTGTAGAAAAATTACTTGAGTTCACTTTGCCCTATCCACTTTATCCGGTGGGTTGGGCAAATCGGATAGATCTAATGTCATATTATTAATAATTTCGACTAAATTATTAATGTTACGTATTTATGTTGATTATATTGAAAACTTTAATAAATACTGATTTCTATAAACAAATAATTTTATTTTTATGTCAACTATTTCTGTTTCTACAACACATCAACATTAAGGTGTTCACTTTGCCCGGACTCCCCCTAGATTTTCAATATTGTCGTTTGATAATAAAATTAAAATAAGTGTAAAGTCAAGGAGGGTGACCAGTTGAGATTGAACTAAAAGAAAGGTATTGTTATTCGTTTTAATAAAAAGTATTATGATAGTTTTAATTAGTTAGCAGGTTGTGTAACAAATAAGTTATTTTGTTTGCCTTGTTTGTTGTTTTCAAATGATAATAATAAGAATGTTTGAATCTCTACTGGATATTCCTATTTAAATAACTTTTATAAAGCTGTGATGAACAGATCATAATCGTTTTAAGGTAGGTACTTACTTGGCTCAGGGGTATTTGAGAGATTCATAAAGTATATAGATGTTCGTTTTGATCGGACTCCTGTAACATTATGCGCGAATATTATCAATGTTTAAATGTTTAAAAACTATATACTCCCGACGTTTCGATTACTTTGCAGCAACCTTGATCACGGCAGACATCTCGTCTACCCGTCAAAAATAATAAAAATATTAGTTTCATTTAAAATTTAATTCAATACTTGCGAAAGATATCAATATTATCAATGTTTAAAGGAGGAAATGACAAAAAATGGTATTTTATTTTTCAAACATATTCTGTTAACTCTACCCCAAATCTCTGTGCAGGTCACTATTTGAGGGAGTGAATTTAAAGGAGTGTTGTTACAGAGTTGGAAATGCGTGGGATTTGATAGAAATACTTTGAACAAGGCTTGCAACTTAATCAGGAGATTGAAAATTCAATAACAAATACGGATGATTCAATTTTGGATGATATTAACGAGGTAAGATTAAAGATACAAATATGCCAGGATTGTGATGATGATGATGATGTCACTTGTGACAGTAATGATAAAGGCTTTCAGATTATGTCGGATGACAAAATCTTAGAAATCTTATTACAGAGAAATGAACAGCAATAAATGCAAGAAGATGAATAGAAAATCTAAACGAGGAAAATGGTGCAGGGCCATCCCACGACAAAGTGGTCATGCCCTGGAAACAGCTCTCAAGTTATTTGAAAAACAAACAGATATTGATACTATGAGTTTACTACAGCTGAAACGAATTCGTGATAGAGTTGTAATTAGAAAGAGTGACTTACGTCAAATGATGATTACCAAATATTGTAAATCAAATTAAACTTATTATTTTATTTCATCATTACCAGTTACCACTTACTTCAATCTCCTCTTTACTTAAAAGATAATTTTAAATTTCTCTGTGACAGCTACGCTCTAATGACTCTCTCCTCCTCTCTTTTCCCAGCCACCGCTCTGGTTTCGTCTCTAACTCCTTCTCTGTACAAGCTATCAATTTGTGGAGTAAACTTCCACAAAAAATTAGAAAGGTACCTACTAGGGCATTTTTCAGGCGTCGTTTACACGAACATGCTGTTAAGAATCTGTGGTAAGTTTCTGTTATTATTATTGTTTTTTGTATAAAAATGTATATTTATTTGTACGTATGTGTATGTATCTATATGTATATGTGTATATTTTATTTATATATCAATATATACATATTTATATGTATATTTTAACTTTTATTGCTACCGTCTTCACGATTTTCTGTTTTGCCTAAAGGTTGACTGGTAGAGAATGCCTTCAGAAATTAAGTCTGCCTTTTGTGTTTACGTTATTGTAATTAGACAATAAAGTTTTTAAATAAATAAATAAATACCACACCACACAAGCATACCAATGCCCCAACAGTTAGTGAACAAAGTCAAAAATGGAAATCTTAAAACCTCTAACACTAAAATATGATGGTCTCGATTGGTCATTTATAGACATAGATGAAACGAGAAGTAGTATACCACTATCGAAAGGTTAGAAAGAAAATTAAAACCAAGACAAAGAAAAAGTTTAAAAAAAAAGACAATACCTAAGAGTCTAGAAGAAATTTGGAAAGACATTTAAGATGTCATAAATTTAAGTAGTGAAAATAGGAATCTTCCCATCAATTTAGATCAAATTACCAAATACATATTGTAAACGAATTATACGTATGTATGTTGTGACGGTGTCAAGTGTTGGATTTATTAAAATATAAAGATAATAACTGTGTAATCGGAGGTCGCGTTCAGCTTCTAAGTAAACTCTTTCATTCTACACGGGTCTGACTCAGAAGTTCCGTGTGAAGAGTTCTCAGTTTTATATTTCTTTTAAGTATTTAAATATAATATTGTGTCACTATTTGTTAATCTTCGTAAAATATAGTCGAACCAATTAGTTGTTTAAAATTAAAGTTTAAAATTAAACTAAGTCATTTAAATTTTGGTTTCATTGCATCCACCGACCGTCGAAATCATAATTTGGCGCAGTCGGTAGGATTTCCGACGTTAGTTAGATTTATGATTTTCTAAAATCGAAGATCGACTAACTGACGTAGCTTTCAAGCTTTATCTGAAGTCCAGAACATTATGTAGTAGAGATTACTGCTGGAGCTCGCCACACATCGACCTAGGAAGACTACGACTCAAATTTAGTAAGTAAGTACACCAGAACCGCTCTTGTGTTACATCTTTCCCTAGTAATAAGATCCTTTATTAGTTAAAATTTAAGGTTCATAGTATTAATAAGGAAATGATGATTTATAAAGATTTGAAACTTATGACTATTTCACAAACGTATCAATACAGCACTTGCCTACTAATAAGAAAAATTCTAAATAAAGACATCCACTCCCAAATAACTTTTACAAAAAAAAACACCAAACAGTGTAATCGCAGATCTCCTTTGGCTTAGAAAAGACTTTTTAGTTTTATATCTCTTTTAAGAATTTAAATATTTAAATATTGTAATTTTTTTTCACCCTTCGTACAATATAGTCGTCAATACTTCGTACAATATAATTGTTAACTATATAATATTTGTAATTGTTCGAACGCATGACAACTGTTTTTTTTTCTCTGCAAAGAAAAAGGAAAAAAAAATAGATTCAAACAATCGATAGAAAATATTTGAGATTTTTACAAACTAGAAAATTACAATACCCAAAAAATATACATCGCAGCAACCATCAAAGAAGATGACGTTAAAAGAAGGATGACTAATAGTAATATGAAGAAAAAAATATCTTGTAAATATCTATTAGATAAAATCGAAATATGCCGAAATTTATATGTCAAAACCTTTGAATAGAATGACATTAAAGTTTAACTCTCTTTTTAAAAACACTAATATTGATATATTTTCGGGAAGGCCTCTTGAATTAAAAAATGTTTAATTAATTAAGCTTAGCTTTACTTTCTAGTTGTTTGTTCTTCATGCACTGTATTTAAAATAAAATGTATTTGAACCAAAATGTTAACTTTGTGATTACATGCACTCTGTTAATATTTCAGCATGAAGTGGTTGCCTGTAACTGAGGTAGCACATAGCATCTTGATTGTATTAATTTAAATGATTGTATTTGTGTATACTTAGTTGGCGATCCAATAAATAAATAAAAACACTTAGTGTTTTAACAAAGAGAGTTAATACTGCTTTGACTAAATTGAGGTCACAAGATTTTAGAGAGAAGAGGATCAAAAAGTGGAGGTAAGGAAAAATGCAACGACGAATTAGTTTCCCAAGTAATATGTCATGTCTTATGTCAGACACGACTTTAGACTAGATGTTCAATGTATACTGTAAACATCTAGGAGAGGAGAAGCTGAGAAGGTTAGTGAGGCTATGTACACAAAGTTATTCTACACATACTTTAATCTTAAACGACAGCTCTGGCCTATAATATAGGTATTAATTCGGCAAAAACTAACTCAAATAGGTGTTTTGTGTGGAAGGAATGGCTAGAAAAGGTGCTCAGGAAGTCGGCTCTTGTCTTTTAAAATACATACTTAATCGAGCATATTTCTGAAGATATCGAGGAAGTAATTTTATGGCGCGATTCGTGTTATATTGCGATAAAATAGTTTTGATGTTAAAAGCATTTTTGCATTGTCATACCACTTTGAAAGATATAACACAAAAGTTTTTGATTCCTGGACATAGTTAGCTACCTAATGACACAGACTTTTCCCACATTGAAACTGCAATAAAAAAGTATCCGATACTATACACTCCCGATGATTATATACAAATTAAAAAAGATTTCAAGAAAAAAAAATCCCTCTTACTGTACAGTAATGAAAAATCAGATTTTCTGGGACATCTAAGATTGAAAAAATGATTATTAATAGAAAACGTGGTAATTAATTAATTATTAATTGGCTGCAAACTCGGGAAATATACATAGAAAGAGACTCGCCAAACTCAATTTATTTAAAAAAAGACTTCTTTGGTAATTCTGTGGAAGTTAATATAGGTAGAGCACCTGTTCGTGTGGAGACCAGCTTTAATTTTAATGGAACATTTAGTTACTTTACGGCCGTCAGGGAAACTAATATCACTACCAAAACTTGCCGATACAATCCATATTATATCTCATTCCACAAGATGCACAGAGTTTTTATAATGGTCTCAACTGTGATAATACTATAGAAGACGACATATATGGACTAGACACTGTGGATTTCGAAATCTAATTTGATGATAACATCGAATAAACGTGTATATTTGATAAATAAAAGCTTTATCAAGATAGTAAATACGCATAGTTTCATTTATATCAATAAATCCTTAGACTATGGTTCTTTTTTGTATATGAGAAAACTTATTAATTACTAAATGTTTAAACCACATGCACATTTTCTTAATTATTTAGAAAGTTTAAAAGTAATCGACAAAAAATGATATGCACATACTAAAATTAGTAATTTATCAACATATTTAAATAAAAGAAATAGTAATTTTAGTTCATATAACAGTAATTTTCGTATAGTTTTTATGAGTTATATCTTTAAGAGAAATTATAATAAGTTATTATGTTTGATGTTAATAAGTATTGTTTGGTAAATATAATGTTAGTTTTTGTTAAATTAAAATGTCTTTGTTTTATACTGATTTCATTACAATTTTATATTATTACGTATTTAATAGAAATATGTCTTTTACCTAATCCAACCGCTTATTAATAACATAATATTACAATTTATTTTCTAGTCACTGTTGTGTATTTTATTGTGTTCGTTTTAAGTTAATTTTGATTATATATATGTTTAAACAAGATTCTTGTGGTTAGCCTTTAGACGCTGCGGGCTGCACTGAGCGAGCATTGAACAGATGTAATAGGGGAGAGTCGGTTATATCGTACTGGCATTTTAATCGTACCACTTCTAAATTTAACATTTATTGAATATTTTTTTCTACACTGAAAACACCAAAACGTGGCCCTGCACCATCCCTCTTCATCCGCTAGTTTAAATCGACGTGAGTTAACAACTGTGCACGTAATAAAAGAAAATCATTTTTTGTAGGAATAGCTTAAGTACTCTACTCAACAACATTTTCGACCATCATTCCATCTGCACAGATAGCGGCGTGAAGATAAGAGTTGACTAAAATTGACGGACAACGAGGAGTACCAAGTTCAAATCCCGGTTATACGGAACTATTTTCATTTTTTATTTTTTTATTTTTTTACAAGTATGGTTGTATGCTACACATGTAACAATAGTTTACTTGAAACTCAGAAGAGAGTTAAATGTTCAAATACATCATGTAACCGTCATTTTTATGCGGACTGTATTAAGTTCAATGAGTCACAATCGAACCGAGCTAAATGGGTTTGCCCAATCTGTCAAGGTCCGAAATCAAAAACAGGTAACAAAAATTCTCCGTCCGATCAAGGCAAGAGTATTAAAGAATCTGATAAAGATTCACCAGTTTCCTTATTAAGTAACATAGACTCCCAAGATGCTATTCTTCAAGGAATTCGAAATCTTCGTAGAGAAATGAATGAAAAATTTGAGTACCAACAATTAAGCCGAAATGATTTCAATACGAAACTAAGTGAGATTCGCGGGGAAGTGAAAGATATAAACTCTAAATTTCCTTAATGCGAAATTAGCTAGATCAAGTAACTAATACAGTGCAGTTTTTAACTGATAATTTTGACGAACAACAACTCATTATTGATCGTTACAAAACCGATGTCTCTCACTCAAAAACAGAAAGCACATCTCTACGTGCACAACTTAACGAAGTCGCCAGCCTAATGGAACAGCTTAAGCAGCGTGCTCGAGACTGTAATATTGAAATACAGTGTGTTCCGGAGCATAAGTCAGAAAACCTGATTACTATTGTGAAACAGCTCACTAAAGTCGTTTCGTGTGACATAGCTGATAGTGATATTAAAGAATTCTCTCTCTCTCTCTCTCTCTCTCTCTCTAGTCAAATTAACCAGCCCGCGCGTCCGTGATACTATACTTGCAGCGGTAAAAATTTTCAACAAAATGAATGAAAACGACAAACTCAAATCGACTCATTTAGGCATCGCAGGTGATAAGCAAGCAATATACGTCAGTGAGCATTTGTCCCCAACGAATAAGAAACTTCATGCAGCCACAAGACTCGTCGCGTAGGAGAAGAAATACGAGTTTGTCTGGATCCGAAATAGCCGCATTTATATTAGTATTCACCTCCAATTTTAATAAGAAACACCGATTTTTTAAATAGTCTTCAGTAATTTTATGGTTATATTATTTTACTAGGGGCCGGTTTGTGGTCATGTTGTGCATGTTGGGGGGTTTTTGCCATAATCGCCACGCTTGGCAGGCGGGTTGGCGATCGCAGTTGGATTTAAAATGTATTTTTATATGTATTTATTTTTATATGCGGGTGGCACCAGACCGGTCGTCGTGGAGATCCTTGGGGGAGGCCTATGTCCTGCAGTGGACGTCTTTTGGCTGATGATGATGATGATGATTATTATTTTACTTATTTTTTTTTTACCTATGTTATATTTATTGTGGTTTTTTTTTTGAGTTTTACAATTCAATCAATTTTTTTTATCAAAATGTGAGCGGCCTTTGCACCAACACTGAAGACCTCTATCTATGTTCTATTGTAGTCGTCAACACCTAGATGTCTTCAGTGAATCTGTTGGTTCTCTTAAAAATAAACTTTAAGCAAAATCACATTATTTTATGTAATAATCAAATAATTAACTAGTCAGTAATTACACAAGTACAGTTCTTGTTAACTAAGCAAGGTTTTTAAAGCATGTTAGTTTTACATCCAGAAGACTGCAACTTAATGACACTCTGTTCAGCTTAGATTTTATTTTGTATGCATTAGTTGTAAGCCAGTTTTGTAAACTTAAAAAAAAATTACAGCGATGATGATCTTGAAAATATATGTGGAAAGTGCAATTGTTCTTACTATGATAAGAAGGGTCCAAAAGTTGATTGGATTCAATGCGTTCGCTGTAAACGGTGGCTACATGAGACGTGTACTTCGAATCCAGACATTTGTCATGATTGTTTCCATTAAGAAATATGCACAATAATTATATTACAAACCACATTCTTGTTAACTGTTACTTTATTATTATAGTTTACTGTTTTTTTGTCTGATTTTTATTAGTTATGTTGATTGATCTCATTATCATAGTGTAATCATGTCATTTAACTGAGAAAGCTTAGGTATAGTTCCTTTATATAACCTAAGAGTTAATTTTTATGTTTCTATTACTTAAAAGATATAAATAATGTTGTTTTATTACTTACCTAACAGTTAAAAATAACTAATTTGATTGAGAATTTTAATGTCTTTCATTCAGTGGTACGACTTACACACCCATGGTACGATTTAAAGACTTAGTGGTACGATTAAAACGACTAGTCGGCTAATTCGTACCAGTGGCAAGCCTCTATAAAAAAGCATTTTTAACAATGTTAAAATAATCGCCAGGATCTGTTCTCTTCGTCTTAGGAAGCTAAAATATGAAACTTTATTTTATATATGTATTAATTATTATAAGACGTGTTATAGTCGAAATATTTGAGTTAAAGTGAAAAGTGTTACTATATAACCGACTCTCCCCTATATTATTATCTAAATGTTCCTCCCTGCTCCCGCGCGTCCCGGTACGCCTGCGTAGCAAGCGCGATAGATATCGCCTTCCTATATTATATGTTTAAGATTGTGTTTATTTTAATATTATATATATATATATGTGTATATATATTATCTGTATTGTTATGTTTTAAATTTAACAATGTTAAGTGTAGAAGCAACATTGCTTCTATTTTTAATAAATATTTTAAATCTAGAATTTATTATACTGACGGAAATCTGGAGCACCATATTGGAAAGAATTGACAAAACAAGTAATTATCTTCAGAAAGAAACAATAACACTGGACGTTGCAACCAATTTGTTGACTTCACTTTATGATTTTATTACTAACCTCAGGGATAAATTTGATAAATTCGAATCATCTGCCAAAGAAAATAACCCAGAATCTGACTACAAGGATCTATCTCAAAGAACAAGACGTAGAAGCTCACGGCTGGAATTTTTTGATGGCTCTGCGCCATCAGTCCAATTGAATGGAAAAGAGCGATTCAACGTAGAAACCTTTCTCCCAATAATCGATACCTTGAGTGTTCATCTAAAACAGCGACAAAGTTCATATGAGACCGTCAGTCAACGTTTTAGTTTATTTTTTCACTTAAAAACTCTGAATTCCGAAGAGATACGACAAGGATGCAAAGAATTCTCTCAAATCTATCACGAAGATGTAAATGAAAAAGAGTTAGAAATAGAATGTCAACATTTAAAAGAATACTTAAAAAATGAAGCATCTAACAGGGTACAGGAAGTATATAATCTATTAATACAAAACAAAATTGAAGACACATTTCCTAACGTAGAAATTGAATTGAGAGCGCTCCTTCTCCAAATTGAAACGAATAAAAAATGAATTAAGAAGTACAATGCTTCAAGAGAGATCAACTAGTTTGTCGCTGATGTCCATAGAATGTGATATTTTCAATACCATAGATTTTGAAGATGCGATTAACGATTTTGCTCATTTTAAATCTAGAAGGGTACCTTTGCAACCAACATAGAATTCATCTAAGGATTCTAAGTTAAGCGAGTTACTTTTGTAGATTATTTTTTATATTTCCTATTTTTTTATAGTTAGTAACTAAATAAAAATAAATTTAGAACCTTGTTTGTCTTCCTTTATCTATTGTAACTAAATAGTGTTTTCTCGAGGTCATAGGGGCCCCATGATAATAATGTGCCCAGGGCCTCAAATAGTTTAAAGACGGCATTGGGCACCGCGGAGGCCAACACCTGTCAACCAGCTGTGACATCGCTCGATGCGCACACGCATACCCGTCTTTTACACTTATATAGAATAATACATCAATTTTATACAGTCCACCTTCTTTTACTTATCTCCGCCGAGATATCGAAACCAACAGTAATGTAAGAAAACGTACCGCGTGGGTATTGAACGCGTTCGCAGGTCTTACCTCACTCGAGTGTACTAATATATGTCGGATTCAAGTTAATTAATATATAACTGTTTGATATATGTTACTGGGTAAATCCTGGAAACAAACATATTAACATAGAAATATCCTCAAACCCAACGTACAAATCAACTCCCAATGTCCCATTCAAAAACAAATACTAAACCTAGTACATCAAGTTATGCGAAAATGACGTCATCAACCTGTTCCCCTGAGAAAGATCAAGCCAACATATTGGACTCGATTGACGGAATTACACTAAAACTAAAGGAGTACCTCATTTCCTTAGGGGCCATCCATAAAGTACGTCACACGTAAAGTGGGGGGGAGGGGGTCGACAAAGTGTGACATGGTGTGACAAGGGGTGGGAAGGGTCCTAAGTTTCGTGACATCACATTTCAAAATCTACTATTAATTTCAGCTATACAACATTTTAAAGATTTTCATTTGGATGCTGTTTACTTTGCCACAAATGCCCCAGGAAGAAGTGCTTTAACAGAGTAGAACGACGAATGGCACCTCTTAGTCGTAAACTTACTGGTGTTGTATTTAAACACGATAATTTCGGTTCACATCTCGATTCCAGTAATAAAACTACTGACCTGGACTTGGAAAACGAAACTTTGAGAGTGCGGGCACAGTACTGAGTATGACTATGAGTTGTGACTGCCATGCCAGTTATAAATAATTTAAAAGACTGGGTTCAAAGTCCATGGACTGAAGATGATTGAGTTTCTTTTTCTTTATATTCATTAGTTTATTTTTTTATTATTGTTTCAAATAATTGATATTTTCTTGTTTTCATAAAAAAATACTCATATTAAATGGAAATAATACTAATTTCGGAACTGCTGCTTTAATTTAATAATTTTTCGATGTTAAATTGCAAAACATGTGACGTCACACTAGGGAGGGGGGGGGTCTCAGAAATGTGACCACTTGTGACAAGGACGGGGGAGGGCTCAAAAAGTCATGAAATTAGTGTGACGTATTTTATGGATGGCCCCTTATCTACTATTGTCATTGTTGTCTCAGTCTGGCAGTCTCGATACAAGAGCGAACCACAAGGACAATACACCAAAAAACACCTTCCTACAATTAAACACGTCACTAAATTACACTCACTTGCGCGCAACACATACACACTAACCCAAACACTTACAGGACACGCCTACACGGTGCAGTCAATGGGTCACGTGCTCGAGGACTGCCCCCGTTCATCGCACAGAGATCAGACCATCAAATCATCTGCCGCCACGCCGGGGTCTCTCCCTTCAACATGGCCTCCCTTCTGGAGAACAAAGAAGCCACCTTGTCCTTCATCAATTTCTCTGCATATATGTATCATCAACAATCTAAAATCATTCAATAACACGAACTTCATACTTTGTTCTACTCTCACTACTATTACTCTTTCACCTATGCGGTATGCCTGTCACTGGACGTCCTGCAAAACTTGTTAATATGTAAAATAAGTGTTTCTTTTCTTTTTAATATTGTCCATATATATATACATTTATGTCGGCTCAGACTGTTAGTTTCAAGTTAGTATAAGGTTCATCAATCATCCTCATCATCACCCTTTGCACTTGGGAGCTGGAGGACCGCTGTATCAAATCGCAAAAGCCCTCCAACACCTCGGGCTCTTCATCGTTTCATCACATAGTTTAAGTCTTTTAAACATCTATTACTTTTACAAACATATGTTAACGTGTCTACTTTTTATATCTCTTGTGTCTTTTACCCCCTGTGTACATCTATTCATACCTTACCCTTAAGCGATATATTTAGTTAAAAAAAAACTATTGTACCACCGACCTCAATTAGATTTATCTCGAGAATATCAAATGCACGTACATATATGCAAGGAATGCACGTATATCGAAGGAAACAAAAAGATTACTATTAAAAATAATTTTATTAAAATAAAACTGTTAATCACTAGAAACAAAAGAATCGTGTTATCAAATGTTTGCCCTGTTATTCCAAACTATATCATCGAAGAGGAACTTAAGGAAATAAATATAATGTCCCCTATAACGTTTATAGATACACGAGCCACTGTGTCACTGTTGTCATCGACTTCGTGTATAATTTCAATGTATTAACTATTTCCGCTAATTAAACAAATATTGAGTGAAAATAAAGTACAAAAAGTCAAGGAAATATATAATATTGTGAATTTTCAGTGAAAAACTAACAAAAAATGCTTTAAAACAACAAAGTGCTTTAAAACAAAAAGCGAAGGCGCATTTTTTAACGCCGCTCGGAGGAAAAGAGCCGTTCCGGCCACTAGAACCCGAATTGCTCGAGAGGGCAAAAGTGTTATTGTTGCGACAGAGTCAAGAGTGCTTCAGGAAAGAGAAAAAGGCCACAGAAGGCCATAGACCCCTCGACCGGAGTAGGAGGCTCAAACGACTAGACGTCACCCTGGGCGACGGGCTGCTAAGACCGAGACCTCAGGCAGCCGGTCATATTAGATGCAAGAGACGATGTCGTAAAGCTAATAGTGATGTGCAAATTAAATCACGGCAACCATGCGACCGTGATGAACGAGATCAGAAGAAGATTCTGGGTCCTGGGCCTGAGATCTGCGGTACGAGCGATAACCCACCAGTGCCAATGGTGCCGAGTGCACAAGGGCACCCCGAAGACCCCACCCACAGGGAACCTACCGCGAGAGAGGCTTCGATATGGCGAGCCACCCTTTACCTGCACCGCGGTAGACTACTTCGGCCCGATGACGGTCACGATAGGTAGGAGGAACGAGAAGAGGTGGGGGGCTTTATTCCACCTGGAATTAGTCACCTCACTATCGGCCGACTCCATGATCCTGGCACTAAGGAGGCTGGTGGCCCGCCGTTGATGCCCCAAGATCAAGTTTAGCGAAAATGGAACCAACTTCGTGAAGGTCGTTCGTTTAATATTGTTCTTTATACTGTCTGTTGGTATTTTACATAATATTATATAGTATTTGCATTATATTTTGTTGTATTGTAAAATAATTTTCTGTGTTTTGGGTGATTAAAAAGGGCTGAAAGTAGACCACAAAGTCCCAAAAATTAAAGACCAGAAATAGCCGTAACGGAACCGAGGGCGATAGAGAAAGCCTAGGTCTCCCTCCTTCAACCATCAAGTCATCTACCCATGGTGCGCCTGTATGGGTAGATGACTTAAAAAGCGCAAATAAATCGTTGCTGCGGCGACCGCAGCGAGCCGTGGCTATCAGAGCGATCCGGGGCTACCGGACAGTAGCTTGTGAGTCTGCGTGCGCACTAGCTGGCTCTGTTCCGTGGGACCTTGAGGCGCGAGTTCTGGCGGAAATTTATCACAGGGTTGCTGACATTAGGAGACGCGGTCATATCCCAGTAAAAGAGCAGGTGGAACAGTGGCGACGCCAGGGTCATATCATCTTGATGCACACCTGGAAGCAAAGACTGATGAATCCCACAGCTGGACACAGAGTGGTTGAAGCCCTAAGACCAATCTTAGACGAATGGGTTTGTTTGCGAAATCGAAATTTGACGTTTCGAATGGTGCAGGTAATGACTGGCCATGGATGTTTTGGTCATTATCTGTTTGCAATTGGTAGGGAACCATCTAAAAGATGTCACCATTGCGTCTGTGAAGACGATACAGCGCAACACACTCTTGCGGAATGTTCAGCGTGGGAAGATCAGCGGAGAGAGCTTTGCAATGTCGTTGGTACAGACCTATCGCTGCCAACCATTATGCAAAAGATGGTTCGTCATACTGTAGCGTGGCAGGCGATGGCTTCTTTCTGTGAGAAAGTCATCTCACTGAAAGAAGCCGATGAAAGAGAACGGGAAAAGGCACCTTCCTCTGACCCGATAAGACGACGCCGTCCGGGACGAAGGCGGATAGCGCATGAGCGCCATCTCCCGCCTTAAGGGGCTTCCGGGTGGCGGACCTGGGGATGTCTGCCACCTCACGGTCTAAGGCCCCGCGAATGCTCAGTTTCCACCACTGACAACACGAAGGATCTAGATGACTTGGAAATGTCCCTTTTGGGGCAGCCGTTGCTAAGCCACAGCAGAATCGCTCTGCGGGCCCTGTGGCTTAGCAAAAGAGCGGCGCGCGGGACACCCGTGGGGTTTTAGTCGGTAGTGCGTCCTTTTCAGGACGAGAGTCCGACATAACTCTCCTTGCTTTCTTCCCCAAGCAGGAGAGTATGCATGAAGCATTTCCCCACGATAAAAAAAAAAAAAAAAAAAAAGGTCTCCCTCCTTCAGGTACATCAACCAGGTCCACATCTAAAAGGAAAACCAGTCACTAAACTGGAGTTAGAGCTCTCAATCTTATTAAAATTCGTCAAGCCCTATGATGGCCGAAGAGATTAATAATTAATTGCAATAATGCTTATGAACTAGCATCCGAAACTCAAAAAGATATTCTCTTCAAATATTTATATACTATCTCAATTACAAGGAAAAGCAGAAACCACCTGCTCCATTAAAGAATTCACCAACTGGCAACAACTAAAAGAATTTCTTAAAACTCAGTTTAGTGTCCGGAAACATTATGCTCACATATAACTGAATTACAAGCATACAAACAAAAATTAAATGAACCACTTAACAATATTCTTTGAGTGGAAACTTGCCCTTCATCATTGCTCACAGAAATTTCAATCTCAAACTTAAATAAAAGCCATGTAATGATAGGTCGCATAGCGGCACTTGAGGAATTAGCCCTCAATCATTTTCAAATGGGATTAACACCGCGTATTTTAAATATATGTAGTGCAATTTAAATCGGTAAAAATTTTAAATGACGATATAATTGCAGCAATTAGTGAAGAGAAAATTCAACAATCAATTCAACAATACAAATGATAACCAAACCACTTCTTATTTTAATACCTAGCAAAATTTACGTGATTCCAAAAACATATTCCGTAGGTACCGAAAAACCCCCGGGCATAAACTGGCACAATTCCGCAAACGCGCATTCATTAACCAATGGTTGAGAAACCTCCATCAAAACTGTTAAAAAGTGTAAGACTCTCGAGCGTCAATAACTCTCTTGAACTAAAGTTACTCATACTTTACCGTAGTCTTATAAGAAAATATCAACTGATTAAGATATTAATTTTAAAAGTAACGTATGTGTGAATTTCAGACTGTGAAATCGATTGCAACGAAGGAGAAACTACAGCGGGGCAGAGTAGCCGTAAGGACGCTGCCTCGTCAGGAGAGGCCGTGTTAACTTATTAAACTACCCCAAACCCCGGCGCCGGTTGCTCTCACCATCGACAAGAGCTCATTCCATTAGTTGACATTAGTTACATTAAGATCTACTTCGAATCTTTGTGAAATAGAATAAGTAAAGTTTTAAAGTACTAAATCAGTGTTTGAAGTGATAAAAAGGACAATTACCTATTTGTTAAGAAACTTATTAGTTTTGTTAAAAGTATAATTATTTAGAATAAGAAAATATTTTTGTTCCTTGTTATGACAGCGTTGTTTTGTAAGATATCATATGTTACCAATTAATACTTCCGGCGCAATTAATAAATAGTGCTTATTGTTATTTATGTTCTCAAATTATGTCGATTAATCAATGCTATAATAATTTTGTTTTATTATGTATAATGTAAGGATTTAGCTACCAGAATCTTATCTTTAATATTTAATGTTACATAATCCTGTATTATTAAATAATATTTGTTCGTAAATCATTAGAATAATTAAGATAAACAATGTTTAATATTATCTTTTAAGTGTGCAATATTAAATTAGGTCAAGATGTTTTTGTATAAATACAGCCATTTTTAATATATCGGGCATTAGTATTAGTATTGTAACCGTTGTAACGAGTATTACAAGTGTTTTCCTATATAACGTACTTCAGAAGTGCGAAAATGTCTGGCTCATATACCGACGGACTTGGTACGAAGAGAAGAGACAGCGACGAATCATCAAGTTATTATTGAAGAAGAGATCTTGGAGAAACACAGGCGATATAAGAAGCGGCGTGTCACCCAAACCGATGAGGAGGTTATTCCAACGTTCCGACCGGATGAAAAATCTGGCAACGTCAAGGGATGGTTGCATAAGATCGACCAATTGGGCGACGTGTACGGATGGAACAACAAAGATCGACAGTTCATCATGCAGATACGTCTTCGAGGGTCGGCTAGAGACTGGTATGAAGATCTGGAAGACTATGATCTCATATGGACGGAGTGGAAGGACGCTTTAGAGACCGCGTTCCCACGTTCCTACTTTAGGATAGAGGTTGTATAAATTACACTACATTAAAGTTGTGTGATGTAGAACGAATAAAAACTGTGTGATATAAGATAAATAAAAGTTGTATACTTAAAATTATATAATACAAGATTTAATTACGGCTTAGACATGTCAATATCAGGTGCCAATAGATGATCGCCGTGGGACACGGCATACACAGGATGGCCGAATGTTATCAATTAATACTTCCGGCGCAATTAATAAATAGTGTTTATTGTTATTTATATTTTCTCAAATTATGTCGATTAATCAATGCTATAATAATTTTGTTCTATTATGTATAATGTAAGGATTAAGCTACTAGAATCTTCCGGTGTAATACATTAATCTTTAATATTTAATGTTACATAATCCTGTATTATTAAATAATATTTGTCTCTAATATGATTGCATTTTGAAATAAATATGTGTATGAATAAGATAAAAGTGAGATTTAACAAATAAATACCAATTATATAAGACAAACATGTGGTTTTATTGTATAATTAATGTATGACATCAGTCCCTAGCACAACCCGTCAGTCCCTAGAATACAGATTTCAGAAAAACACAAATTTCTCTTTCAATACCTAGTAAAGTGACTGTCCCCTTTATATACTAAAAGGATATTATTATATGCACTAAAAAGTTTTTGATTTAGTATCTAAAAACACATATGGCAAAATTTCGACGAATTTTACCCAACTTTTGTGAAATCACCCTTAAATATTTAAGCCAGCCCGAGACAAGCACGTCTGTTCGCGACAAATAAGATAGTAATAAGCACGAAGTAATTAAAATTCTAAAAATGATTAATAGTAATTGTCCTGAACCTTTAACAATATATCGACTCGGAAAGCAAAAGACAGATAAATCTCGTATCATTAAAATATGTTTGCCCTCTGAAAAAGCGGCAAAAGATATACTGCGTAATAAAAGTAACCTAAAGAACGATAGTATCAAAATATTTTCTGATCAAACACCATATCAACGGAATTAATTTAAAAACATTGCAAGAAGAACTTAAAACTCGCATTGATAATGGTGAAAAAAGCATTAGAATTGAACATATTAAAGGAATACCTAAAATACCCAACAGAACCCAATAACAAAAAAAAAAAACAAAAAACTGTTCAAAGAACAGTTGAATCACTCCAGAAGGCGACTCCCAAAACGGTTGTCAAAAATACAACCCAGTACAGAAACGCACGAGGATTTAAACTTGAGAGGCCAATACCGGAAGACGCCGAACCGAACAGAAGCTCGAATACCTAATAGCTCGCTGGGCTGTCGCTTACAACACTTTTATCACGAGTGGTCCCAGATCACAAAACCATACATTCCAAAATAACTTCACTTACTGGAGCTTTACGTATATGCACGTTGTATTCCTCCAAGAGTACGAAACATTATTTACAATAGTTTAGTAAAACCAGTATTAGAATACCTTATACAAATATGGACCTAACAGCTAGGTGGACCGATGACCTTAAAAAGGTCGCTGGGTCTCACTGGATGCGGAAGGCAGAGGACCGAGTGTTATGGCGCGTGTTGGGAGAGGCCCATGTCCAGCAGTGGACTGCAATGGGCTAAATGATGATGATGATGATGATAGAAATATGGGGCAACGCCACTAAAACACATATAAAAAATTTGCAGATCTCTCAAAATAAACTTATCGAGGTCTTATTTCATATGGATTATTATACACCTACTATAGATTTATATAAAACAACTAAAATTTTATCTATAAAACAAATGTATAAATATAAATTATGTATACTTATTCGAAAAATATTAACAAACCTTATGTACTCATTTTCAGATTACATTTAAAACGAAAACCCATTCTTACCACACAAGGAACAGATATAACTTAGAAACACCTAAAACTCGAACCAAGTACAGCATTAAAACTATTTCATTTGAAGGAGCACAGCTGTATAATTCTTTGCCTCTAAGTGTTGTCAATTCAAAATCTCTAAATATATTTAAAAAAACGATTAAGAACCCATAAATTAGATGATTTCACTGATCTTGTTTAATATCACTAATGTTTATTATTTGTAATCTTAATTGTAGTTATAATTTTTAAAATTTCCTTTGTAAGCGACTTTGTTCATTTTGGAAATAAACTTCTGTAAACCAATCCTTTTGTCGTGGATAAAAAGTTATAAAATCCATTTCGAATCAAAACATCAAATAGTTAGACCGAGTGTCTATCCTAAGACCTCGCAAGAACATAAAGATTATTCAAAAATACTACACAAGTTATTAAATATTAATGCTATTTCTGAGTGTTTACACGAAACTGGTGAATTTATATCCAACATATTTCTCGTACCTAAACCAAATGGTGAAAAGCGATTGATCCTTAATTTAAAATTACTAAACAAGTTTATTAAAACCAAGCATTTTAAAATGAAGGATTACAGAACTGCAATAAAATTAATCACTAAGGAATGTTATATGACTACTACTCAACTAACTTAAAAGGCAGTAACTTTAAAAATGTTGACGCATCCCATCGAAAATATTTGCGTCTCAAATTGCTTCGACGCATAACGCCTACACAATTAATTTTATATAATATATTAATTTTACTATTCTGTTTGATTTTGATCTCTTATAATAGCAATGTAGTAAATTAACGTCAAAAAAACGAAACGAAACTTCTCAGCATTCCATGGATTCACCGTGCGGGTGCCGGGTCCATCGCGTTGCAGGGAGAGGAGCTTCAACAGTGCCTGGGACTTGCGACCCAAGTGTAGGTTTAAGGGAGCCCTTAACTAACGCGCGTTATACGCTCACCTCCACTGTCCAAGCTCCTCTTCCTACGTAACCAAATTTGAAAAGAACCTACTAGGGCTGCCTTCGATGTACGTTTCAAGAATGCATTAATGTGATTTCTGGTCAAGCCCAAGTCCTTTAGTAGGTTGTAGAGATTTCGCTGTTATACCTCTCGCTCCCACCTCTACCGCGTACAAATCTACTACGAACCTATTTCGAGTGAGTTCGTTTGTGAGCTCGTAATATTTATTGTTTTAAAGGCTAAACTTTATTAATTGTCAATTGTCATTCTGTCTATTCTCTCTCCGATCGCAAGGCTGTACGTACACATCTCTTATATTAAACCAAGTTATGAAGTTTTTGATTAATTTGGCACCAGTGTAAAACGAAATATACATAATGGTGACCCATGAGGGGAACATCTAAACGCAGAATATAAAATACATCGATAGGAGAGGAAAAATTGCAAAATATTTCAAAACGGCAAGTTTTGAAGGAGCTGCCGGGAGAGGACAACTATACCTGGCAAACGGGCAGTGATATAGATAAAATATCACATCTTTCGCTCAATATCGGCCAAAGTAAAAGACTTTCCCTAATACTCCTGTTATACTCCTAATACTCAATTCCTTATTCTATCCTAAATATTCATCAGATTGTTAAGAATCTCCAATTCATTTGTGCAAAAAAAAAAGGTTATTGAATCTAGTTTTTATTGTTGCTCGATTATATTTAAAGTTTTAAACAAAGAAAAATATTGAATTATCCTTTAATTTCTATCTACCTAGATTAAAAATTATAAGTAAAATTGTTAAGCATTATTGCTTATTTAATGGTATTAACGTAGTAATAAAGTTATCGATTCTTTTAAAACTCATTTTGGATTAATTATAAAACAATTTAAAAAATATAAATTTTGTTAATTTTAAAAGAATTTCGTAAAAAGTAGCAATAAAATATTTTATATTTTATTTTCCCTTTGCAGGATTTAATATAGGCATAGATCTCGTAGTCAGTTGCGTCATCGTTCGCAGGAGGCCAGTCCTCCTCCCAAAACTCCTCGGTCAGTCTCCCCTCTGTCTACAGGCCGTCTATTCATCACCGATCGCTGTTCGAAAATGCTTTTACTTATAACCGGCTCAGATTTATGCGTTTTTCCGCGTTCGGCAACTTAGACGCCCTGTACCCGAACCAAATATGAGTTGGTAGCCATCAATGGTACAGTCATACACACTTATGGCCCTATACAGCTTAAATTAGATCTTGGACTCAAACGCAAGTTTTCCTGGATATTTACCATAGCCGACGCAACGAAACCCATAATAGGTGTCGATTTTTTGATTTTTTACGATTTTCTCGTAGATTATAATGATTATAACAAATGTTTAACACACTTGTAGTTGAGAAATTAAATTAATCTTTACGAAGCAGAAGAGTTTGTTTGTTTGTTTGTTTGAGCGCGCTAATCTCTGGATTTACTTGTCCGATTTGAAAAATTCTTTTTGAGTTGCACAGTACATTTACTGAGTAAGGCTATAGACTAAAAAGTTACTCGCGTAAAACCGCGGAGCGCATGTAGTTACAATATAAATTTACCACAAATTAAAACTCAAGTTTAAACTTTACTGTGACTATTGATAGAATCTTTTATTGCAGGATATGGTTCCACGAGCTTGTACACCAGTACCAGTCTTAATGATGTAAATATATCGGACATGGACTCTGTATTCGATTCACCAAGGAAAACGACGCTGAAAAAACGACTTCAAAAACTGACTCTTCAAAAGACGGAATTACAAAGGAAAAACAAAGTTATAAAAAACAAAAATAAAAGAATAAACAAAAAAATTACTAGTATGACGAATATTGTAAAGGTTAAAAAAAATTAAAAACTTTGTATCAGAACAACAATTTTTGGATCTCAACTTAAAAGCAGAACCAATCCATCTGTTTAACAGAATTGTTCAAATAAAAAAGTCTAAGAAGAATTATAGAAAGAATAATCCAGCTGCTCTTAGGAAATTTGCATTGACTTTAAATTTTTATTCCTCGGCAGCTTACAAATATGTAAGACGGGTATTCCATTCTGCTCTTCCTCATCCTCGGGTTTTAGCTAAATGGTACCAAAATAGTTCGATGCTGCCAGGCTTTACAAAACAAGCTTTTGACATATTAAAACAAAACAGTTCTTTCTGGGGAAAGACTTATCTGTGGCCTAATTGTTCACGAAATGGCCCTGAGGCATTAAACACAAGGGGCGGGCAAAAGTACAGAAGGATGAGTCAATTACGGTACTGGACCGTCAGAAATCAAAGAAATTGCAACAGAAGCATATGTTATCATTTTAGTTTGCCTGTGTGAAAATTGGAAAAATATTATTTGTATTCATAATTATGTGGGTATAGGTGATACAGTCCACTGCTTTGTAAATTTTAAATATTAGTTACAAATTTATTTATTATTTTGATTTAATTTAATTTGGTTTTTCAATTTAGTTTAATTTTTTAATTATAATTGATGTAACTAATGTATCTTTTGCTACTATTTTTTGTAATGATTATGCCGTGTACACATAATTAGGAATGTAATCATGCTAAAAATAATTTATAGACTAACTCATACATATGTAATCCTGATTATATTGTTTGTGTGCCTAAATAAAATAAAAAACTAATAAACCACTACAACGCTCACACGTATCTTCATTACGGATATTTCCGCACATTCAAAATTGAGCCTTACCGAGAGATTCCAGGATTCCAGATTTCCAGGATTCCAGGATTCAAACCCAAAATGTTTCATTCAAATATTACCAAAGTTGAAGAGAAACAAGAAGTTAAATGTTCATTATGTAATGGGGAGCATTATATTTATCAGTTTAAGACGTTCAGTGACATGTCTTGTAAGGAGAGGCAGGAGTTTGTCCAGTGGAGCAAACTGTGTTTCAATTGTTTGACCCCTACACATGCGGTCCTACTACATGAGCGGCCTATTGAGAGTGAGTCATCATCTACAGGTACGGTGAATAAATCAGGAAGAGGTAAGTCTAATTATATGTATAATGACACACATATTGTGGCCAATTACTCACAAGAGAACATGAAACGAAACAGTTAGCACAAGTGGCAAAAGTCGCGCTACTTATAGCTGTTATAGCTCTTGCTCAACGTTCTTTTTAATTTGTGAAAAGTGATTTATTTTGACTATAAAACACTCAAAATACAGTGACAGAGACACATTTTCGTGAATATCTGAAAAAGTAAAGCGCTCACCCCTCCACCCCTTTTATTTATTATACCGCTAGATCGGGCTCCGTGAGACGCTTCTTTTGAGGCAGCACATCACACATAATTTTAGCTTTAGTTTTTACCAACAAAAAGTGACATTACAATATTTACCACGTGTCGGAAAACGCGCCCGGAAAAGAGATTTTCCAAAATTTGATTTTCCGTAGGGTTGAGGACAGTTTATATAGTATTTTAGTGTTTAGTTTATTATTTTACCTCATATAGTTTTTGAAATATTTCTTTTTTATGTTTCATCATACATCAGTTACTGTAAGTACTTTTAGACCTATCTAAAACAGTGTTGTGTATATTTCGCGTGGACTTGTGGTATATATTTAGATACCTTACGAACCCATCTTCATTTTAATTTAAACCAGACGATAATCGGACAATTACAACCCTAGTTATTAAGATTTTAGTGAACCACAGTGAAAAACTTAAGCAAATTTAACAGTTACTGAACATTTCCTTTGTTAAAAATTTTTCCATTCTCCCTCACACCCAAACCTGTTTCCAGAATCATTTTTTCCATACGACCTTTCATTTCAGACATCAACCACCTTCCTAGGACTTCAAATAAAGAAGTCAATTTTCAAATTTTAATTACGTATCTTCTTTTTCTTAAAAATCTTCTAAAATCCATATCTCCGCCGTTTATCAACATTTTTAAGTAATTCTTTCGCCATAACTCCTAGTTTCCCGAACCCTATCCATTTATATATTTTTCACCCCCACCCTGAAGATCCACCCTCTCCCCTCAAACATAGTTTTCGTTATTTTTTATATTTTTTCTTTTTTATATTATCACAAACATGAGTGACTTGTGTAAGTGACTATTAAAGACATTGCGGGCGCCAGTATGGCCCCAGCTACCAACCCCAAGCCCCACCCGGCCGATGATGTAAACACATACACTAGTATTGAACCCAGAGAAAACTAAATTTATAATTTTAGGTAAGAGTCATCAAATTTTTAAAATTAGCCAACAAAAACCATTAATTCAAATCAAAGGAAAAACAATAGAAAGAGTTATGGAAGCACGAAACTTAGGTTTGTTGATGGATGATCACTTGAGGTTTGAAAATTATGTAACCGGTGTCGTTAGTAATTGCTTTTATCGATTAAAAATCCTTTATAGAATAAGAGATTATATTAATAGTGAGGCTCGACGAAAGCTATGTGATTCACTAGTTTTATCTAAGTTCAATTATATGGATGCAGTTATTGGGCCAAGATTATTGACACGCACCAAAAATCTTATTCAGTCCGACTAAGTCCAGGCAGGAGGCCGTTGAGGCCTTCAAAAATAGCATCTCTTTCAGAGATTGCACCTATGCTCCAGCAGTGGTCTCACCGGTCTCCAACAATAAAATCAGGGTAGAGTTTGACACCCAGGCGCATGACGACGCCTTTACTAAACTTCGCAGCAAACCAGACGCGCCAGTGACAGCCGAACCAGCAAGGAAGCTCAAACCTATGATCTTGCTGAAGAGAATCAGCTCCGACATGGCACCGGAAGATCCTACGCCAAAACCCGCAACTTCACACATACACTGATACTGACATCACCTTCCGCTTCAAAACAGGCAACAATACAAATACAAAATACAAAGCCGTCCTTGTGGCTAATCCAGCCACCTGGAAAACAATAGTCGACATGGGGAGAGTCTGCCTGGACTTCCAGAAGGTTCACGCCGAGGACTTCTCCCCATTCTTACAGTGCCAGAAGTGCCTCAACTTCGGGCACGTGAAAAAACACTGCCGGACTGAAGCCACACGGTGCTCTCATTACGCATCAGACAACCACCTACAAGACCAATGCCCAACCAAGGACACTCTGCACCCTCCCAAGTGCTACAACTGTACCCAACACTATCAAATTCAACAATAGCTACCCCACTACACACAAGGCTACGTCACAAACATGCCCCATTTTAAGAACAATAAAAACCAGAACATTAAATTCAGTTGATTATGGATCTACACAAAATGAAAATTCTTCAGTGTAACCTCGACAGATCCAAACACTCTCTTAAAGAGTTTTCCACATATTTCATTAATAGCGAACACAACGTAGCCTTAGTGTCTGAGCCGTATACGAGTAAGGGTATCGAGGTCGGGGCCGTTAGGGCGCTGGCGCGCTCTCCCTCATTCACGATCTCTTGGTATACCCACATTCGAAACTATTGTCTACGGCCAAGTATCAGACTGGAAGGTGAACCTGGACGCTTGTCCCTCCTCGCAACACAACGCAAACGACTATACATATACTCTATTATTATTGCTCTGTGAGCTATACACCACGTTGTCCGCGGAACGTTATGTGATTTCGATTAATACTGAATACGAACTTTGTAATTGAACTTTGGTTATTGAGTGTAGTTAACTGTAGTATGTGCTAATTAATTGTTTCAATTATAACTTCGATAACCTATACGTCAAGTGTCAATTATTTTCCTATTGCCTATTATTATTATCAACCTACGCCTACGGAACAAGGAAATAATTCTGATAAGGCCCGAGTTTCTATATATTAAAAGAATTAATTAAGTTACATAGGATAGAACATATATTTAATGCCATTGCTCGCTCTGAAGATCTGATAACATAAGACAGTCTGCCAGCGAAAACATAAAAAGCTCAACAAATATTAGATATAGCTAAATTCAATAGCCGTAGGAAAACAAGAGAGAATACAAGGAGACTTAGTGCGTTTTGAAAGGCAAGTGGCTCATGATGGTAAATCCAGAAAACTAGTACTTAAGTTTCAAGGAACATATCGCGTAATAAAAGGGCTTCCCAATGAACCATGGCGCAAAAACCAAACGCATATATGAGGCCGTGATTGCTATTGACATGGTGCAACCGAGGCTATCTTTTTCTAGACTTTAGACAGCGGTGATGAAGATGATTATAATACTCAAAACGAATTAGGAGAATAATATAAATGTATCGTCTATCAAAATTTAACGATCATTCAGCATACACCCATAGATCGCACCAATATCACTATATCTCAATAAACTATTATATAATTTTATATGTAAAATCTCTGTGTAAAAGGCAATAAATACTGTGAATGTTTATTATCAGATATATTTGTTTTAATTTACTGAAATCCTCTCCTTCTGTACTTTTTATTTAACAAACGAATCTTTAATCAAAACTCGAGTGTTAATTGATATTACGATCCCTTGCCCAAGCACCCACACCCGACTAACTATGGCGGATTCTGATAAAGGCCCTCCTGCGCCGACAAATATTTAAACATTTAGTTATAGGAAAGGTTAAAAATCCTCGTAGTTTATCTGGTTTAAATCTCTACCACTAGACTATGATGCTAACAAGAAAGCATGGATAACAGCCGAAATATTCAAAGGGTGGCTCATTAAAGTCGACAAGAGAATGATTAAGGAGAAACGAAAAATATTGGTTTTCATTGACAACTGTACAGCTTACAACATAAATCCGCCATTGAAAGCAGTGAGTCTTAAAAGTTCAGTTATTCTTTCAAATTGTTTGCAAAGAGTAAATTTGTTTGTTTGGTGTGGTTTTGTACGAGTACATATTCTGTTTCACTATTTATGGCCGGAGTTATAATACCAAAATACTTACTGTTAAAAATATTTTAGGCAGTACTTCCACTTAGATGCTTACTGCTCCACAACTCGTAACAGAATCCCCAGTCTAACACTTGTATCCTATTTATAATATTCAAAAGTAACATTTAGATTAGGGTGGGTTATAATATTAGGCGCTAGTTCCCTCTCATAAGAGTTTCCATTAACTAATAAAACGTAATATTTTATTTTATCATTAAATTAGTATGTATACTTTTTAATTGTGCACTGTTTATAGTTAGAAAATGTTATTATGTACACTTGTCATTGACATACATATCTGATGTTTTAATAAAGTCACTTTAACTGTAAATATTCAATATGTATGTTGTAAGTGTGCTTGTTTAAATAAATAAATAAATAAAAACACTTAACATTGTGTAAAACATGCTAAGGCTCTAATTATAAATCATAAAACCAATTGTACATTTAATTACTGTACAGAAATATTATTAACATTAATTTACACTATTATAACAAATATGTAGAAGGTGCTAGTTGACTATTATAAGAATTCCCAATAAATATTAGAATATAAATAACGTGAAGCTTAGAATTGTGAAGTAGACAAATGTTTAAATAATTATAAATAATTATTACTAACATTACATAATTAATTTACCATTTCTTAGTGTAATTTTCACATTAGTTTCTACAGGATAATTTGTACTGTGTTTTTTTTTAAAGTGTTTGTTAAACAAGGTAAGTCAAATTATTATAGTGTTGGAAAGTTTTGATAGACCATTTTTATACTGTTACAATAGTATTTCTTATTTTTAGTTGAATTATGTTTCAATAAAACCCGGCAATTAGACGTACAAACTGAAGTCGCAGAACCCGTAATGCCTCAAGTCAAAGATATAGAAGAGCAAGTCTAACTGATGAACAACAACAACAAAATAATAAAAAGACTCCAAAAATTTAAACCGGAGTCGGAAAGATAGTATGACTGGATTACTGAAGATCCCCAAAATATTTATTTTGGTTTGATAGTTATAGACGAACTGCTAGCCATTTTATTGGAATCAGAATTAAGAATCGTTAAAGGTGAAAATTATTAAAGACTTCGAAGGTCGTACATCCCAAACGGTAGACCAGGGTGCTATGTTCGTCAAACGTGTCAACAAAAACACTCGTCTGAAGAAAAATTATGATAACCATGGCCGTAAAGCTTACGTTGAATGCTATCGGTGTGGCCGGCGACATATAGCGAGAGATTGCAAGGTTAAGACCCAGTTTCACCAACCAATGTTTGTTTAGTCTAATCACAGCATTTACTAACCAACCTTCAAAATTATAAATGTTTGTTAAAATATTTACGTCCCACGATGACAAATTAACAACGAATTATTAAACATCATTATCGAATAACGGAGTACCAAATTATTCGTTCTTGTTATAAGACAATAATTAAAGTCCGGTTAGTTTTACGTATAATTTGATTTAGGGATGCATTTACAAAAGAATATCAATACGTGTTTTTCTATTTTTTCATTATTTTTAGGTAAATAATTTATAATTTGGGTTAACAATAGGTGCGTATAAAAAAAGAATTAAAGCCATATTACCGAGAAAGTAAATAATAATAATAGTTAAAAGTAACAATAAAATCAAGCTATATATTTATTGTGTATGTGTATTTATATTTGTTATGTAATATTTAATATTGTTATTATTATTTTTTAATTATTCATTACAATATCTCTCATACCATAGTTATTATAGTTAGTAAGATTGTATTGTAATATCCCTTTTATTTCTATTGTTGAAGTAAGTAGTGGATAACGGTTTGATTTGTACATAGATTAAGTTTATTAAATTGTATAAAATATATTTTCACATATGTACAAATGTTGGTTGTCCCAAATAAATAAAATAAAATAATTACGAAAATTTTTATTTATACATATGTGTATTTTTTTTAGATAAAGTTACAACTCCTTTGCATGAAGCAAAGAAATAACTATCTTTAGACCAAGTTATTAAAAAAAAAAGAAGTGGGACAGCAATAATTCAAATTCAAAAAAATTATAAACTCATTGGAGAAATGATTTCCCTTCAAAATTTACCATTTTATTTTGTTGAAGGGCTGTGCTTTTGTAGATTGATGGAAGTAGCACCAAGATATGATTTTAGAGGACGCAATTTTTTTATTGATTTTGTATGCAAGGACTTTCGTTTACGTCTGATATTTGGTCGGATCCAAGGTTAAACGCTTCTTTGCTTAGCCTGACTTGTCACGGAATTGCAAAAAACTTTGATAAATCGTCGATTATATTGAAATGAAAGACATTTAATGGCCATCCCACTGGTGACATAATAATTCCTGACAACACTGCTTTCTGAATGGAATATTAAAGAAGGACAGCTGCATTGCCTAATCAGAGATGAATGATATAGATTGTACTGTTCACAAGATACGACTAGTTATCAGTAGTTGTTTAGGTTCGCAGGAAAAATGTAAGAAAATTTCGACTCATTTCAATTGCTTTAAAACGACTGCAATCAATTCAGGACAGACTAAATCAACCACATCTGAAAGTATTCCAAGATTGTGTTACGCGAAGACTGTGTTAGGGGTAGACTACTCTAAGGCAATGACACTCGTGAATATATTTGCAGCTTTTGAGAAGTCCGCTATAAATCCATTTACCCTAAAGTTCACTGACATTGATTTTTACCATTGGACGTGATTGATAGACCTGAGCCTGAGCCACTGAGAAACGTAAGGATAAAATAATAAAAACTTTTATGAAAAGATTATAGTCACAAGGATTTGTCTTTAATCAAGTATAAGGAGAAGTCTACAGCCATGCGCCATAGCGTAGCGAACGGATCGTTTTCACCCGTCTCCAGGCTCAAAAAAATCGTACAAAACTGGCAAAACTCGTGCTACATTAACGTACTATACATCAAAAGATGGGCCTTCACGAGCTCTTCAACATTGTGTTTTTAAAATTGTGATAAGTGATATATTGTGACTATAAAACATAGAATATACAGTGACAGAGACACATTATTGCGAATATCTGAAAAAGTAAAGCGCTCAGCCCTCTTTTTATTATACCGTTAGATCGGGCTCGGTGAGACGCTTCTTTTGAAGTATCACACATAATTTTAGCTTTAGTTTTTACCAACAAAAAGTGACATTACTATATATACCACGTGTCGGAAAACGCGCCCGGAAAAGAGATTTTCCAAAATTTGATTTTCCGTAGGGTTAAGGACAGTTTATATAGTATTTTAGTGTTTAGTTTATAATTTTATCTTATATATAGTTTTTGAAATATTTCTTTTTTAAGTTTCATCATACATCAGTTACTGTAAGTACTTTTAGACCTATCTAAAACAGTGTTGTGTATATTTCGCGTGGACTTGTGGTATATATTTAGATTCCTTACGAACCCATCTTCATTTTAGTTCAAACCAGACGATAATCGGACAATTACAACCCTAGTTATTAAGATTTTAGTGAACCACAGTGAAAAACTTAAGCGAATTTAACAGTTACTGAACATTTCCTTTGTTAAAAATTTTTCCCATTCCCCCTCACACCCAAACCTGTTTCCAGACTCATTTTTTCCATAAGACCTTCCATTTGAGTCATCAACCACCTTCCTAGCACTTCAAATAAAGAAGTCAATTTTCACATTTAAATTACGTAACTTCATTTGTGTAAAAATCTTCTAAAATCCATATCTCCGCCGTTTATCAACATTTTTAAGTGATTCTTTCGCCATAACTCCTAGTTTCCCGAACCCTATCCATTTATATAATTTTCACCCCCACTCTGAAAATCCACCCTCTCCCCTCAAACATAGTTTTCGTTATTTTTTATATTTTTTCTTTTTTATATTATCACAAACATGAGTGACTAGTGTAAGTGACTATTAAAGACATTGCGGGCGCCAGTATGGCCCCAGCTACCAACCCCAAGCCCCACCCGGCCGATGATGTAAACACATACACTAGTATTGAACCCAAAGAAAACTAAATTTATGATTTTAGGTACGAGTCATCAAATTTCTAAAATTAGCCAACAAAATCCATTTATTCAAATCAAAGGAAAAACAATAGAAAGAGTTATGGAAGCACGAAACTTAGGTTTGTTGATGGATGATCATTTGAGGTTTGAAAATTATGTAACCGGTGTCGTTAGTAATTGCTTTTATCGATTAAAAATCCTTTATAGAAGAAGAGATTATCTTAATAGTGAGGCTCAACGAAAGCTATGTGATTCACTAGTTTTATCTAAGTTCAATTATATGGATACAGTTATTGGGCCAAGATTATTGACACGCACCAAAAATATTATTCAGTCCGACTAAGTCCAGGCGGGAGGTCGTTGAGGCCTTCAAAAAGAGCATCTCTTTCAGAGATTGCACCTATGCTCCAGCGAGGGTCCCACCGGTCTCCAACAATAAAATCAGGGTGGAGTTTGACACCCAGGCGCATGACGACGCCCTTATCAAACTTCGCAGTAAACCAGACGCGCCAGTGACAGCCGAACTAGCAAGGAAGCTCAAACCTATGATCTTGCTGAAGAGAATCAGCTCCGACATGGCTCCGAAAGATCTGGTGAGTACCCTCCTATGCCAAAACCCGCAACTTCACACATACAGTGACACTGACATCACCTTCCGCTTCAAAAGAGGCAACAATAGAAGCACCCACCTCTACAAAGCCGTCCTTGTGGCTAATCCAGCCACCTGGAAAATAATAGTCGACATGGGGAGAGTCTGCCTGGACTTCCAGAAGGTACACGCAGAGGACTTCTCCCCATTCTTAGAGTACCAGAAGTGCCTTAACTTCGGGCACGTGAAAAAACACTGCCGGACTGAAGCCACACGATGCTCTCATTGCGCATCAGACACCCACCTACAAGACCAATGCCCAACCACCTAAGTGCTACAACTGTACCCAACACTATCAAATTCAACAATAGCTACCCCACCACACACAAGGCTACGTCACAGACATGCCCCATTTTAAGAACAATAAAAACCAGAACATTAAATTCAGTTGATTATGGATCTACACAAAATTAAAATTCTTCAGTGTAATCTCGACAGATCCAAACACTCTCTTAAAGAGTTTTCCACATATTTCATTAATATCGAACACAACGTAGCCTTAGTGTCTGAGCCGTACACGAGTACGGGTATCGAAGTCGGGGCCATGAAAGGGCTGGAAATCTTCCAGTTCCCTAGAGGACTCGATGGGAGGGTCAAGGCGTGCATATTGGCCAAAACCAAGACCGCATTCCTCGGGCTCTCCCAATTCCCTACCCCTAACCTACATATAGAGCGGTTTTGAATGAAAATTGTTAAAGTCGCAAATGAAAGAAATAAGACAAGAGGTTGATTGCGCCCTTAGTTTTAGAGAAACTTTATTTGTAAATTAATTTTAATTATTTATTGTATTTTATGTTTTATTTAAATTATTAATTATTGTAATTTTATAATGTTTTATCCTAATTGCACCTGTAACCGCAACCTTGATGTATTACTCTGTAAGCATTGTGTTTTTTTCTCAATAAAGTTTATTATTATTAATTATTTAATTAATGTTAATTATTGTTCCATTTATTCAATTATTCAAATGATCTCAATTGTATACAATTTTAGTCACTATTTTATGTTTTAAATTTTAATGTTTTAATTTAATTATTGGTAACTCTTAACCTTCCTATACTCGCGCGTTGGTCTGTGAGACCGACGAAACACATTTTCGTAATTATTTTTATGCAGGTAAATCCTAAGAAGTTGAGTTCCTTGCTAGCTGCCGGATTTGTGGCTAACTTCGTTTTAGTGCACGCCGCGCGTTCGGGCGAAACACACGGTTGTAGCACTCGTCACCAATCGGTCCACGAGACCGACGCGAGTATAGGTGTAACTTTTTGTGTAAGTATTAATATAATTTATTTCGTGCATTTGTATATTTTTTGCGGACTTTCATTACTTTATAAAGTATATATAGTAAAATATATGTATGTATGTTGCTCTATATTATATTTTGACCAATTTTATCATTCTTTTTTAGGTTTTAATCCATATCAAAATGGACGATGATCACATCAGATTGTTGCTGGAAGAATTAAGTTCTAGCTCAAGCTATGAAGACGAAAATGACAGTGAGGTGGAAGATAACGTGGAGGTACAAGAAGAGACATATGATACCGAGCAAGACGATGACAATGACGAGATATCTGAGGAAGAACATAATGAACGATCCCATGATTTTTACTTAGGAAAAGATGGACAGACAAGGTGGAATAAATCTCCTGCCTCAAACCCAACTAGGCGACGTGCTAGAAATATAGTTACTCAACTTCCAGGCGCTAGAGGAGAAGCTAGAAATTTGAAGGAACCAGGCTTTTTTTTTCGGAGGGCACTATCAGCCTGATAGTAAAGTACACTAATGAACAAATTAATCGCATGAAGCATAATTTCACAAGAGAGAGAGACTGCGCCGATACAGACAATATTGAAATTGAAGCTTTTTTAGGCCTTTTACTATTTGCTGGAGTCAGAAGGAACGCTCGTCTAAATGCCAAAGATTTTTTCAGAACTGACGGGTCATCCCCGGAGATATTTCGTTTGACTATGGGATTATCCAGGTTCTTTCTATTGATGCGTTGTCTCAGATTTGACAGTAAAGATACACGAGAAGAGAGAATACAACTGGATAAACTGGCACCTATTAGAGAGTTGTTTGATATAGTTGTGGGAACGTTCAAAAAATATTACAGCGTGTCTCAGTATGTTACAATTGACGAGAAGTTAGAGGCTTTTAGAGGACGTTGTAACTTTCGCCAGTACATTCCATCAAAACCCAACAAATACGGAATCAAAATTTATGCGTTGACAGATGCCAAAATGTTTTATACCCATACCATGGAAGTTTATGTTGGGAAGCAACCAGACGGTCCATACCAAGTTGATAACTCCGCTTTGGCTTTGGTTTTGCGATTGAGTGAAAATATTCACAATACTGGGCGTAATATCACATGTGATAACTTCTTCACTAGTATTCCATTGATAGATAAGCTTGAGTCTCAACACAAATTGACAGTTATTGGGACAATTCGTAAAAACAAACGAGAATTGCCTAAAAATTTCACGGAAATACGAGGAAGAGCCGAAAAATCTAGTTTATTCGGGCACCGTGGCAATTGCAGTCTTGTATCCTATGTACCAAAAAAAAAAAGGCAAAAATGTCCTTCTCGTATCCAGCATGCACGATGATGCCCAGATCAATGAAGATACAGGTAAACCGGAAATTATAATGGACTACAATAGAACCAAAGGTGGAGTAGATACCGTAGACAAAATGTGTGAGACTTACAACGTCGCACGTGGGACAAATAGATGGCCAATGGTGATATTTTATAGCCTAATGAATGTAGCGGGTATAAATACGTTTATAATATACCTGCAGAATAACCCTAACAAGAAAATTAGCCGTCGAGTCTTCCTTGAAGCCTTAGCATACGATTTGATCAATCCGCAACTTAGACGACGGGCTCTCATTTCATCCTTGCCGAGAAGCATAAGACTCAGGCTCACCGAAATATGCAAATTAGATGGACCCGAGTCTGCAGCAACATCTTACAATAATAAAGTAGGTCGTTGTGGATACTGCTCTTCGAAAAAAAACCGCAAGACACGTTACAACTGTGCCACCTGCAAAAAATACTTTTGTTTGGAGCATGCTGTAACCGTATGCCCTGATTGCTATGGCGAGGCTCAAAATTAAGTCAAACATAGATAAATATGTTTATTGATATGTTTGTTGTTATTAATAAGAAGTTTAATTTGTTTTTAAAAAGAAGTTCAGATTTTATTTTAATTTTTTAGTACTTAAGAAAATAATCTCAAATTTTAAGACTGATTTGTGATAAAACTATAAGTTGGTAAAATAATTAATAAAATAACTTTTAGTTATACTGTTTTGTTTCATTACATCCTAAACTTTAAAATAATAGTAATACTTTATGTGTTTCTTGTTAAAAAAAATATGTTGTAGGGGTACAAACTATCGGTCTGTGACACCGTGCGCGAGTATAGGTGTTACAAAAATTGGCGCGAGTATAGGAAGGTTAAGGTCATCGGTCCACCTAGCTGGGGGCGCCCTACAATAGGTGCGTATAAAAAAAGAATTAATGCCATTACCGAGAAAGTAAATAATAATAATAGTTAAAAGTAACAATAATATCAAACTATATATTTATTATGTATGTGTATTTATATTTGTTATGTACCCTTATATTTAATATTGTTATTATTATTTTTTAATTATTCACTACAATATCTCTTATACCATAGTTATTATAGTTTGTAAGATTGTATTGTAATATGTCATTTATATCTATTGTTAAAGTAAGTAGTGGATAACGGTGTGATTTGTACATAGATTAAGTTTATTAAATTGTATAAAATATATTTTCACATATGTACAAATGTTGGTTGGTTCAAATAATTACGAAAATTTTTATTTATACATATGTGTATTTTTTTTAGATAGAGTTACAACTCCTTTGCATGAAGCAAAGAAACAACTATCTTTAGACCAAGTTATTAAAAAAAAAAGAAGTGGGACAGCAATAATTCAAATTTAAAAAAATTATAAACTCATTGGAGAAATGATTTCCCTTCAAAATTTACCATTTAATTTTGTTGCAGGGCTGGACTTTTGTAGATTGATGGAAGAAGTAGCACCAATTTTTTTATTGATTTTGTATGCAAGGACTTTCGTCTACGTCTGATATTTGGTCGGATCCAAGGTTAAACGCTTCTTTGCTTAGCCTGACTTATATTGAAATGCAAGACATTTAATGGTCATCACACTGGTGACAATAATTCCTGACAACACTGCTTTCTGAATGGAATATTAAAGAAGGACAGCTGCATTGCCTAATCAGAGATGAATGATATAGATTGTACTGTTCACAAGATACGACTAGCTATCCGTAGTTGTTTAGGTTCGTAGAAAAAATGTAAGAAAATTTCAATTCATTTCAATCACTACCATTGCTCAGAAACAACTGCAATCAATTCAGGACAGACTAAGTCAACCACATCTGAAAGTGTTCCAAGATTGTGTTACGGGAAGACTGTGTTAGGGGTAGACTACTCTAAGGCAATGACATTCGTGAATATATTTGCAGCTTTTGAGAAGTCCGGTATAAATCCATTTACCCTAAAGTGTTCACTGACATCGATTTTTACCATTGGACGTGATTTACAGACCCGAGCCTTAGCCACTGAGAAATGTAAGGATAAAATAATAAAAACTTTTATGAAAAGATTACAGTCCAAGGATTTTTCTTTAATCAAGTAGAAGGAGAAGTCTGCAGCCGTGCGCCATAGCGTAGCGAACGGATCGTTTTCACCCGTCTCCAGGCTCGAAAAATCGTACAAGTGGCAAAAGTGGTGCTACATTAACATACGACGATACATCAAAAGTTGCGCCTTCGCATTATTGCGAATATCTCGAGAAATAAAGCCCTCACCCCCCTTTTTATTATACCGTTAGATCAGGCTCGGTGAGACGCTTCTTTTGAGGCATCACACATAATTTTAGCTTAAGTTTTTACCAACAAAAAGTGACATTACAATATTTACCACGTGTCGGAAAACGCGCCCGGAAAAGAGATTTTCCAAAATTTGATTTTCCATAGGGGTAAGGACAGTTTATATAGTATTTTAGTGTTTAGTTTATAATTTTATCTCATACAGTTTTTGAAATATTTCTTTTTTAAGTTTCATCATACATCAGTTACTGTAAGTACTTTTAGACCTATCTAAAACAGTGTTGTGTATATTTCGCGTGGACTTGTGGTATATATTTAGATTCCTTACGAACCCATCTTCATTTAAGTGCAAACCAGACGATAATCGGACAATTACAACCCTAGTTATTAAGATTTTAGTGAGCCACAGTGAAAAACTTAAGCAAATTTAACAGTTACTGAACATTTCCTTTGTTAAAAATTTTCCCATTCTCCCTCACACTCAAACCTGTTTCCAGAATCATTTTTTCCATAAGACCTTCCATTTGAGTCATCAACCACCTTCCCAGCACTTCAAATTAAAAAGTCAATTTTCACATTTAAATTACGTAACTTCATTTGTGTAAAAATCTTCTAAAATCCATATCTCCGCCGTTTATCAACATTTTTAAGTGATTCTTTCGCCATAATTCCTAGTTTCCCGAACCCTATCTCTTTATATAATTTTCACCCCCACTCTGAAAATCCACCCTCTCCCCTTAAACATAGTTTTCGTTATTTTTTATATTTTTTCTTTTTTATATTATCACAAACATGAGTGACTAGTGTAAGTGACTATTAAAGACATTGAGGGCGCCAGTATGGCCCCAGCTACCAACCCCAAGCCCCACCCGGCAATGGCCGAAGATGTAAACACATACACTAGTATTGAACCCAAAGAAAACTAAATTTATGATTTTCGGTACGAGTCATCAAATTTTTAAAATTAGCCAACAAAAACCATTAATTCAAATCAAAGGAAAAACAATAGAAAGAGTTATGGAAGCACGAAACTTAGGTTTGTTGATGGATGATCATTTGAGGTTTGAAAATTATGTAACCGGTGTCGTTAGTAATTGCTTTTATCGATTAAAAATCCTTTATAGAATAAGAGATTATCTTAATATTGAGGCTCGACGAAAGCTATGTGATTCACTAGTTTTATCTAAGTTCAATTACATATATGGATACAGTTATTGGGCCAAGATTATTGACACGCACCAAAAATCTTATTCAGTCCGACTAAGTCCAGGCGGGAGGCTGTTGGGGCCTTCAAAAAGAGCATCTCTTTCAGAGATTGCACCTATGCTCCAGCGAGGGTCCCACCGGTCTCCAACAATAAAATCAGGGTGGAGTTTGACACCCAGGAGCTGTGTGACGACGCCTTTACCAAACTTCGCAGCAAACCAGACGCGCCAGTGACAGCCGAACTAGCAAGGAAGCTCAAACATATGATCTTGCTGAAGAGAATCAGCTCCGACATGGCTCCGAAAGATCTGGTGAGTACCCTCCTACGCCAAAACCCGCAACTTCACACATACAGTGACACTGACATCACCTTCCGCTTCAAAAGAGGCAACAATAGAAGCACCCACCTCTACAAAGCCGTCCTTGTGGCTAATCCAGCCACCTGGAAAACAATAGTCGACATGGGGAGAGTCTGCCTGGACTTCCAGAAGGTACAAGCAGAGGACTTCTCCCAATTCTTAGAGTACCAGAAGTGCCTCAACTTCGGGCACGTGAAAAAACACTGCCGGACTGAAGCCACACGGTGCTCTCATTGCGCATCAGACACTCACCTACAAGACCAATGCCCAACCAAGGACACTCCGCACCCTCCTAAGTGCTACAACTGTACCCAACACAACATCAAATTCCACAATAACCACCCCACTACACACAAGGCTACGTCACAGACATGCCCCATTTTAAGAACAATAAAAACCAGAACATTAAATTCAGTTGATTATGGATCTACACAAAATGAAAATTCTTCAGTGTAACCTCGACAGATCCAAACACTCTCTTAAAGAGTTAACCACATATTTCATTAATAGCGAACACAACGTAGCCTTAGTGTCTGAGCCGTATACGAGTAAGGGTATCGAGGTCGGGGCCATGAAAGGGCTGGAAATCTTCCAGTTCCCTAGAGGACTCGATGAGAGGGTCAGGGCGTGCATATTGGCCAAAACCAAGACCGCATTCCTCGGGCTCTCCCAATTCCCTACCCCTAACCTACATATAGAGCGGTTTTGCATGAAAATCGTTAAAGTCGCAAATGAAAGAAATAAGACAAGAGGTTGATTGCACCCTTAGATTTAGAGAAACTTTATTTGTAAATTAATTTTAATTATTTATTGTATTTAATGATTTATTTAAATTATTCATTATTGTAATTTTATAATGTTTTAACCTAACTGTTTAATTAATGTTAATTATTGTTCCATATATCCAATTATTCAAATGATCTCAATTGTATAAAATTTTTGTCACTATTTTATGTTTTAAATTTTAATGTTTTAATTTAATTATTTGTAACTCTTAATTATTATTGAATTATTTAACTTATTTTAATTGTATTTTATATTGACTAATGCAATTAAAATTTATTGGAATAAAGAAATAAAAACTGCGACAACTCCCCATAACCTAAGGAAGAATAGAAAAATAAAAAACAATAGCATTAAGATAGGTATACTGGTCAGAAAGTATGAAAGTGATGAATCACAGAAAGAACAAGTATGCGGAATGAAAGGCCCTTATGAATGCCAGAACTTGAATAAAAGAGTAGTAAACAAATGTAAACAAAGTCTCTGACTATGTCAGAGGGAGCTGTGTACAACAAAAACCTGTGTGGTTCGGAGACTACACAGACACCAACAGGTACTCATGGCCTCCGTCTACATCGAGCCCAATGCTGACGAGGCGGATACACTACACTCATTAGAACACCTTTTCAGCAACAACACCAAAACCCGCTGCATTATCGGTTGAAACTTCAATGGTTGGCACCCACTCTGGGGGAGCGAACGCATGCACGCCAGAGGAAGGGAAATCATCGAACTCTCCCTCATTCACCATCTCTTGGTATACCCACATTCGAAACTATTATCTACGGCCAAGTATCAGACTGGAAGGTGAACCTGGACGCTTGTCCCTCGTCGCAACACAACGCAATCGACTATACATATACTCTGTTATTATTGCACTATGAGCCGTGCACCACGTTGTCCGCGGAACGTCGTGTGATTTCGATTAATACTGAATACGAACTTTGTAATTGAACCTTGGTTATTGAGTGTAGTTAATTGTAGTGTGTGCTAATTGTTTGAATTATAACTTCGATAACCTATACGTCAAGTGTCAATTATTTTCCTATTGCCCTTCAACCTACGCCTATGAAACAAGGAAATAATTCTGTTAAGGCCAAAGTTTCTATATAAGTTACATGGGATAGAACATATATTTAATGCCGTTGCTGGCTCTGAAGATCGGATAACATAAGACAGTTTGCTAGCGAAAACATAAAAGCTCGACAAATAAAAGATATAGCGAAATTCAATAGCCGTAGGAAAACAGAGAGAATACAAGGAGACTTAGTGCGTTTTGAGAGGCAAGTGCCTCATGATGGTAAATCCCGAAAACAAGTACTTAAGTTTCAAGGTACATATCGAGTAATAAAAGGACTTCCCAATGAACCATGACCCAAAAACCAAACACATATGAGGCCGTGATTGCTATTGACATGGTGCAACCGTGGCTAACTTTTTCTAGACTTAGACAGCGGTGATGAAGATGATTATAATACTGAAAACTAATTAGGAAAATAATAAAAATGTGTCGTCTATCAAAATTTAACGATCATTCAGCATACACCCATAGATCGCACCAATATCACTATATCAATAAACTATTATATAATTTAATATGTAAAATCTCTGTGTAAAAGGTAATAAATACTGTGAATGTTTATTATCAAATATATTTGTTTTAATTTACTGAAATCCTCTCCTTCTGTACTTTTTATTTAACAAGATGGTAGACCAAACGAATCTTTATGCGGGACAGAAAAATAAGCCCATGATCAAAACTAGAGTGTTAATTGATATTACGATCCCTTGCCCAAGTAAGTACCCACACCTGACTAACTATGGCGGATTCTGTTAAAGGACCTCCTGCGCCGACAAATATTTAAACATTTAGTTATAGGAAAGGTTAAAAATCCTCGTAGTTTATCTGGTTTAAATCTCTACCACTAGACTATGATGCTAACAAGAAAGCATGGATAACAGCCGAAATATACAAAGGATGGCTCATTAAAGTCGAAAAGAGAATGATTAAGGAGAAACGAAAAATATTGGTTTTCATTGACAACTGTACAGCTTACAACATAATTCCGCCATTGAAAGCAGTGAAAGTCTTAAAAGTTCAGTTATTCTTTCAAATTGTTTGCAAAGAGTAAATTTGTTTGTTTGGTGTGGTTTTGTATGAGTACATATTCTGTTTCATTATTTATGGCCGGAGTTATAATACCAAAATACTTACTGTTAAAAATATTTTAGGCAGTACTTCCACTTAGATGCTTACTGCTCCACAACTCGTAACAGAATCCCCAGTCTAACACTTGTATCCTATTTATAATATTCAAAAGTAACATTTAGATTAGGGTGGGTTATATAAGCGCTAGTTCCCTCTCATAAGAGTTTCCATTAAATAATAAAACGTAGTATTTTATTTTATCTTTATATTAGTATGTAAACTTTTTAATCGTGCACTGTTTATAGTTAGTAAATGTTATGTACACTTGTCATTGACGTACATATCTGATGTTTTAATATAGTCACTTTCACTGTAAATATTCAATATGTATGTTGTAAGTGTGCTTGTTTAAATAAATGAATAAATAAAAACACTTAACATTGTGTAAAAGATGCTAAGGCTCTAATTATAAATTATAAAACCAATTGTTAAGTATTTGGACATTTAAATTACTGTACAGAAATATTATTAACATTAATTTACACTATTATAACAAATATGTAATTGTTATAAGAATTCCCAATAAATATTAGAATATAAATAACGTGAAGCTTAGAATTGTGAAGTAGACAAATGTTTAAATCATTATAATTAATTATTACTAACATTACATAATTCATTTACCATTTCTTAGTGTAATTTTCACATAGGTTTCAACAAGATAATTTGTACTGCGTTTTTTTTTAAAGTGTTTGTTCAACAAGGTAAGTCAAATTATTATAGTGTTGGAAAGTTTTGATAGACCATTTTGATACTATTACAATAGTATTTCTTATTTTCAGTTAAATTATGTTTTAAAAAATGCCGGCAAATAGACATACAAACTGAAGTCGCAGAACCCGTAATGCCTCAAGTCAAAGATATAGAAGAGCAAGTCTAACTGATGGACAACAACAACAAAATAATAAAAAGACTCCAAAAATTTAAACCGGAGTGGGAAAGACAGTATGACTGGATTACTGAAGATCCCCAAAATATTTATTTTGGTTTGATAGTTAAAGACAACCTACCCAATTTATTGTTATACAGTTCGTTCAGAATCAGAATTTAGAATCTTTAAAGGTGAAAATTATTAAAGACTTCGCAGGTCGTAAATCCCAAACGGTAGACCAGGGTGAAACGAATCAACAAAAACACTTATTTGAAGACGAATTATGATAACTATGGCCGTAAAGCTTACGTTGAATGCTATCGGTGTGGCCGGCGACATATAGCGAGAGATTGCAAGGTTAAGACCCAGTTTCACAAATCAATGTTTGTTTAGTCTAATCACAGCATTTACTAATCAACCTTCAAAATTATAAATGTTTGTTAAAATATTTACGTCCCACGATGACAAATTAACAACGAATTATTAAACATCATTATCGAATAACGGAGTACCAAATTATTCGTTCTTTTTATAAGACAATAATTAAAAAGTCCGGTTAGTTTTGCGTATAATTTGATTTAGGGATGCATTTACAAAAGAATATCAATACGTGTTTTTCTATTTCTTCATTACTTTTAGGTAAATAGTTTATAATTTGGGTTAACAATAGGTGCGTATAAAAAAAGAATTAAAGCCATTACCGAGAAAGTAAATAATAATAATAGTTAAAAGTAACAATAAAATCAAGCTATATATTTATTATGTGAGTATGTGTGTAATTGTGTATGTGTATTTATATTTGTTATGTACCTATATATTTAATATTGTTATTATTATTTTTTTATTATTCATTACAATATCTCTTATACCATAGTTATTATAGTTAGTAAGATTGTATTGTAATATCTTTTATTTCTATTGTTAAAGTAAGTAGTGGATAACGGTGTGATTTGTACATAGATTAAGTTTATTAAATTGTATAAAATATATTTTCACATATGTACAAATGTTGGTTGTCCCAGATAAATAAAATAAAATGATTACGAAAATTTTTATTTATACATATGTGTATTTTTTTTAGATAAAGTTACAACTCCTTTGCATGAAGCAAAGAAACAACTATCTTTAGACCAAGTTATTTAACAAAAAAAAAGAAGTGGGACAGCAATAATTCAAATTCAAAAAAATTATAAACTCATTGGAGAAATGATTTCCCTTCAAAATTTACCATTTAATTTTGTTGAAGGGCTGGGCTTTTGTAGTTTGATGGAAGAAGAAGCACCAAGATATGATTTTAGAGGACGCAATTTTTTTATTGATTTTGTATGCAAGGACTTTCGTTTACATCTGATATTTGGTCGGATCCAAGCTCAAACGCTTCTTTGCTTAGCCTGACTTGTCACGGAATTGCAGAAAACTTTGATAGATCGTCGATTATATTGAAATGCAAGACATTTAATGGTCATCACACTGGTGACAATAATTCCTGACAACACTGCTTTCTGAATGGAATATTAAAGAAGGACAGCTGCATTGCCTAATCAGAGATGAATGATATAAATTGTACTGTTCACAAGATACGACTAGTTATCAGTAGTTGTTTAGGTTCGCAGGAAAAATGTAAGAAAATTTAGACTCATTTCAATCACTACCATCGCTTAGAAACGACTAACTGCAATCAATTCAGGACAGACTAAATCAACCACATCTGAAAGTGTTCCAAGATTGTGTTACGCGAAGACTGTGTTAGGGGTAGACTACTCTAAGGCAATGACACTCGTGAATATATTTGCAGCTTTTGAGAAGTCCGCTATAAATCCATTTACCCTAAAGTGTTCACTGACATTGATTTTTACCATTGGACGTGATTGACAGACCCGAGCCTGAGCCACTGAGAAATGTAAGGATAAAATAATAAAAACTTTTATGAAAAGATTACAGTCCAAGGATTTTTCTTTAATCAAGTAGAAGGAGAAGTCTGCAGCCGTGCGCCATAGCGAATGGGTCGTTTTCACCCGTCTCCAGGCTCGAAAAATCGTACAAAACTGGCAAAACGATATATATATATATATATATATATATATATATATATATATATATATATATATATATATATATATATATATATATATATATATATATATATACGATACATCAAAAGATGCGCCTTCGCAAGCTCTTCAACATTGTGTTTTTAAAATTGTGATAAGTGATATATTGTGACTATAAAACATAGAAAATACAGTGACAGAGACACATTATTGCGAATATCTCAAAAAGTAAAGCGCTCACCCCCCTTTTTATTATACCGTTAGATCGGGCTCGGTGAGACGCTTCTTTTGAGGCATCACACATAATTTTAGCTTTAGTTTTTCCCAACAAAAAGTGACATTACAATATTTACCACGTGTCGGAAAACGCGCCCGGAAAAGAGATTTTCCAAAATTTGATTTTCCTTAGGGTTAAGGACAGTTTATATAGTATTTTAGTGTTTAGTTTATAATTTTATCTCATATAGTTTTTGTAATATTTCGTCTTTAAGTTTCATCATACATCAGTTACTGCAAGTAGGGGGAAGTCCCGTAACGCCGGACGGCACCTAGCGCCGGACACTCGTACTATTTAAGCGAGTATAAATCTGTTCGATTCAAAATACAAGTGAAAGGGGCGCGGGGGGCACACAGGTACAGGATCACGCGCCGCGCCTCGCCAGTGACGCACACGGCCACGGCGGGAGCAACCGTCAGCTGTTTTAGGCGCGAAATCACGGCGTCACCTAAATATCAATGTAAGTAATTCTAGTATATTTATGCATTTATATTTGAGTGGTATTCAAAGATAAAAGTAGTACTTGATTGTTATCCGTAAAATGGTAGAATATTATTAGATCTTTTAAACAATTTTAGTAGGTACCACCTAATGAACGAAAATGTCTGTCCCTTAGCACCGGACACTAAGTCGTCCCTTAGCGCCGGACAGTAAACATATTGATATTTCTTGTAAGAATTTACGTCATTTATTCTAATTATTTAATTTTGTTTTAGATTATAGAAGAAAGAAGATAATTAAAATGGAAGAGAAGAAAAAGAAAGGATCCTGGGAGCCACAGAGCTTACGAACTGCTATTGATAAGGTTATGTCAAAAGAATTGAGTGTAAGACAAGCTGCAATGCAATACAATATTCCTAAAAGCACTATTCATGATAAAATAAAGGCCCTAAATCGAGGAGAAGAAGTAACAATGAAACCAAAGTTAGGTAAGTTCACTAGCACCTTCTCAGCAGAGTATGAACAAGTCTTGGTGGACCACATAAAAGATTTATCGAATAGATGCATGCCGCTCATGAAAAAGGAGTTTCTAAAATTAGCATACGACTTAGCTGAAGTCATGAAGATTCCTCATCGATTTAATAAAGAAAAAGGCAGTGCTGGTAAACATTTTTACTACGACTTCATGAAAAGGCATTCTGACATTTCGTTGAGAGCACCGGAATCGACAAGCATGATGCGCGCCGTAGGATTTAACAAACCACAAGTGGATCTATTCTACGACAACCTTGAAAAGCTGATGAAACAGTACAAATTCACACCCTCAAGAATTTATAACTGTGATGAAACTGGTGTCAGTTGCGTGCACAAACATCAAAAAGTTCTCGCTCCGAAAGCCATCCGTCAAGTAGGTAAGCTCACTTCTGCTGAGAGAGGCAAAAACATCACAGTTTTGTTCTGTATGAGTGCTAACGGTCACTACATACCCCCATTTTTCGTATTTCCTAGACAAAGAATGAATGAAAGGCTTATGATGAATGCTCCAGCTGAGAGCATCGGTGTGGCCCAGCCAAAAGGGTGGATGAATAGTGACTTTTTTTTGCAATATCTAAGAATATTTGTCAAACACACGCAACCAACCAAAGAGAACCCTGTGCTGCTTCTACTAGATGGCCATTGCAGCCACAAGACATTGGCGGTAATCAGTTTTTTGCAGAGAAAATCATATTCACTTGATGAGTTCACCACCACACACTACGCACAAGCTCCAGCCTCTGGACAGGACATTTATGAAGCCATTTAAAGATGCATACAGCCAACGATGCGACTTGTGGATGAGAACAAATGCTGGATGTCGGATAACGGATTACGACATTGCTGGTTTGGTCAAAGAAGCATTTATAAAAGTAGCTCGATTGGATATTGCAGTATCTGGATTCAAATGCACTGGAATCCATCCATTTGACAGACATTTATTTTCTGACCTAGATTATTTGGCTGCAGATATGACCAATATACCACTAGAACAAACAGAAACTTCATCGAACCCACTAAACAACGAACAAGCTGTCGTGATATCAAACTCAATCATAGAAGAGCAAATAAAAGAATCCGAACAATCTATTAGTGAGCCTATAACCACAAGTCCCAAACCGTCGACAAGTTCTGCTCCCGATCTTGTTCAGATAATCCATAACTTATCACCGTTGCCTGACGCAGCAAAAAAACGAACAGCAGCTCGAAAAAGAAAGAGTGAACGAAGTGAAATTTTAACTTCATCGCCATACAAAAAAGTGGTAGAAGAAAAAGAAAATGAAAAGAACATGAAAGATAAAAAGAAGGAAATAAAATCTAAGTTTGAAGTAGCAATGAGAGGTAAAGGAAAGCAAACCAAAGGAATTAAAACCAAAGGAAAGAGCGTAGACAAGGGAAAAGAAGCGACAAACGTGAAACCTAAAGGAAAGAAAGGAAGTGAAGTAGAACCATTAACTGAAACATCTAACACAAACATAACAATTTGCGTAGTTTGCTTAGAAGACACTGACGAAGACTGGATCCAGTGCTCATCCTGTCGTGGATGGATACATGAAGCATGTGCAGACATTCCAGAGTGTGGAGATGACTATATATGTGATCGATGCAGGTTATTTTGAAATGTCCGGTGCTAGGGGTATGGCACAAGTATTCGTCCGGTACTAGGTGCCACTTTCTAAAATTATATTTTTTGTTAACAAAGTTTGATTGATAGTATTAATTATTTTTAAGCAGAGGTTGCATTTTTGTTAATTTAATTTGATTTCTAACTTTGTTATCTAATATAAGTCATAATTTAATAAACATTTCTTAAAATATTTTTTGTTTTATTTATAAATAACCTTAAGTGTCCGCCACTAGGGGACTTCCCCCTACTTTTAGACCTATCTAAAACAGTGTTGTGTATATTTCGTGTGGACTTGTGGTATATATTTAGATTCCTTACGAACCCATCTTCATTTAAGTGCAAACCAGACGATAATGGGACAATTGAAACCCTAGTTATTAAGATTTTAGTGAACCACAGTGAAAAACTTAAGCAATTTAACAGTTACTGAACATTTCCTTTGTTAAAAATTTTTCCCCTTCCCCCTCACACCCAAACCTGTTTCCAGAATCATTTTTTCCATAAGACCTTTCATTTCAGACGTCAACCACCTTCCTAGAACTTCAAATAAAGAAGTCAATTTTCAAATTTTAATTACGTAACTTCTTTTTCTAATAAATCTTCTAAAATCCATATCTCCGCCGTTTATCAACATTTTTAAGTGATTCTTTCACCATAACTCCTAGTTTCCCGAACCCTATCCATTTATATATTTTTCACCCCCACCCTAAAAATCCACCCTCTCCCCTCAAACATAGTTTTCGTTATTTTTTATATTTTTTCTTTTTTATATTATCACAAACATGAGTGACTAGTGTAAGTGACTATTAAAGACATTGCGGGCGCCAGTATGGCCCCAGCTACCAACCCCAAGCCCCACCCGGCAATGGCCGAAGATGTATTACACATACACTAGTATTGAACCCAGAGAAAACTAAATTTATGATTTTAGGTACGAGTCATCAAATTTTTAAAATTAGCCAACAAAAACCATTAATTCAAATCAAAGGAAAAACAATAGAAATAGTTATGGAAGCACGAAACTTAGGTTTGTTGATGGATGATCATTTGAGGTTTGAAAATTATGTAACCGGTGTCGTTAGTAATTGCTTTTATCGATTAAAAATCCTTTATAGAATAAGAGATTATCTTAATATTGAGGCTCGACGAAAGCTATCTGATTCACTAGTTTTATCTCAGTTCAATTTTATGGATACAGTTATTGGGCCAAGATTATTGACACGCACCAAAAATCTTATTCAGTCCGACTAAGTCCAGGCGGGAGGTCGTTGAGGCCTTCAAAAAGAGCATCTCTTTCAGAGATTGCACCTATGCTCCAGCGAGGGTCTTACCGGTCTCCAACAATAAAATCAGGGTGGAGTTTGACACCCAGGCGCAATGCGACAACGCCCTTATCAAACTTCACAGTAAACCAGACGCACCAGTGACAGCCGAACTAGCAAGGAAGCTCAAACCTATGATCTTGCTGAAGAGAATCAGCTCCGACATGGCTCCGAAAGATCTGGTGAGTACCCTCCTATGCCAAAACCCGCAACTTCACACATACAGTGACACTGACATCACCTTCTGCTTCAAAAGAGGCAACAATAGAAGCACCCACCTCTACAAAGCCGTCCTTGTGGCTAATCCAGCCACCTGGAAAACAATAGTCGACATGGGGAGAGTCTGCCTGGACTTCCAGAAGGTACACGCAGAGGACTTCTCCCCATTCTTAGAGTACCAGAAGTGCCTCAACTTCGGGCACGTGAAAAAACACTGCCGGACTGAAGCCACACGATGCTCTCATTGCGCATCAGACACCCACACACATGACCAATGCCCAACCACCTAAGTGCTACAACTGTACCCAACACAATATCAAATTCAACAATAGCCACCCCACCACACACAAGGCTACGTCACAGACATGCCCCATTTTAAGAACAATAAAACCAGAACATTAAATTCAGTGGATTATGGATCTACACAAAATTAAAGTTTCTATATATTTGAAGAATTTATTACGTTACATGGGATAGAACATAGGTATATTTAATGCCGTTGCTGGCTCTGAAGATCTGATAACATAAGACAGTCTGCCAGCGAAAACATAAAAAGCTCAACAAATATTAGATATAGCTAAATTCAATAGCCGTAGGAAAACAGAGAGAATACAAGGTAGGAGACTTAGTGCGTTTTGAGAGGCAAGTGGCTCATGATGTTAAATCCCAAAAACTAGTACTTAAGTTTCAAGGAACATATCGCGTAATAAAAGGGCTTCCCAATGAACCATGACGCGGAATAACAAACGCATATATGAGGCCGTGATTGCTATTGACATGGTGCAATCGTGGCTAACTTTTTCTAGACTTAGACAGCGGTGATGAAGATGATTATAATACTGAAAACGAATTAGGAGAATAATATTTCTGTGTAAAAGGCAATAAATACTGTGAATGTTTGAACCCAGAGAAAACTAAATTTATGATTTTAGGTACGAGTCATCAAATTTTTAAAATTAGCCAACAAAAACCATTAATTCAAATCAAAGGAAAAACAATAGAAAGAGTTATGGAAGCACGAAACTTAGGTTTGTTGATGGATGATCATTTGAGGTTTGAAAATTATGTAACCGGTGTCGTTAGTAATTGCTTTTATCGATTAAAAATCCTTTATAGAATAAGAGATTATCTTAATATTGAGGCTCGACGAAAGCTATCTGATTCACTAGTTTTATCTCAGTTCAATTATATGGATACAGTTATTGGGCCAAGATTATTGACACGCACCAAAAATCTTATTCAGTCCGACTAAGTCCAGGCGGGAGGCAGTTGAGGCCTTCAAAAACAACATCTCTTTCAGAGATTGCACCTATGCTCGAGCGAGGGTCCCACCGGTCTCGAACAATAAAATCAGGGTGAAGTTTGACACCCAGGCGCATGACGACGCCCTTATCAAACTTCGCAGTAAACCAGACGCGCCAGTGACAGCCGAACTAGCAAGGAAGCTCAAACCTATGATCTTGCTGAAGGGAATCAGCTCCGACATGGCACCGGAAGATCTGGTGAGTACCCTCCTATGCCTAAACCCGCAACTTCACACATACAGTGACACTGACATCACCTTCCGCTTCAAAAGAGGCAACAATAGAAGCACCCACCTCTACAAAGCCGTCCTTGTGGCTAATCCAGCCACCTGGAAAACAATAGTCGACATGGGGAGAGTCTGCCTGGACTTCCAGAAGGTACACGCAGAGGACTTCTCCCCATTCTTACAGTACCAGTAGTGCCTCAACTTCGGGCACGTGAAAAAACACTGCCGGACTGAAGCCACACGATGCTCTCATTGCGCATCAGACACCCACCTACACGACCAATGCCCAAGCCCAACCACCTAAGTGCTACAACTGTACCCAACACCAAATTCAACAATAGCTACCCCACCACACACAAGGCTACGTCACAGACATGCCCCATTTGAAGAACAATAAAAACCAGAACATTAAATTCAGTTGAAGGAACACCGGAAATCATTGGAGGGGGCCACATACGCAGGAGTTGTGGCGGGCCACAGTAGTGGAAGTATCCCGGATAGGTCCACAATGCACTCGATCGTGGTCACCTCCAGGGATGTTCAAGATACCGGTGAAGAAGTTCTCTCCAAAATAAGGCAGACAGTGAATGCTACAGAAGGAGGAGTCAAAATAGATAGGATAAGGAAAGCCAGGGATGGGAAAGTTATCATCGGATGCAGGTCCGAAAAGGACAAAAGGGAGGTACAACACAGGATCAATAAAGCAGACGGACCCCTTAAAACGGAAGAGATGAGAAACAAGGACCCCCTGGTGATATTTAAACATGTAGTTTCCGTGCTCTCCGACGAAAGAGGTGGTGAGGTCTATGAAGAACCAAAATCAAGAAGTGTTCGAGGGATTAGAAGGGGAGGAAGTAAACATGGAGGTCAGATTCCAGAAAAGGACAAGAAACCCGCACGTAAATCATATCGTGCTGAGGGTATCCCCGACACTGTGGAAGAGACTGTTGGAGAGAGGGAAGCTGCACGTCGATATCCAGCGAATCTGTGTAGAGGACCAATCTCCACTGGTCCAGTGCTCCCAGTGTCTCGGGTAAGGACATACCAGGAGAATGTGCGAGGACAAGGACGAAACTTGCAGCCACTGTGCCGGAATGCACAAGAAGAAGGACTGCCCGAAGTGGGCCGATTATTGTAATTTATGTTTTATTTAAATTATTAATTATTGTAATTTTATAATGTTTTAACCTAATTATTTCATTAAAGTTAATTATTGTTCCATTTATCCAATTATTCAAATTATCTCAATTGTATACAATTTTAGTCACTACATATTTTATGTGTTTTAATTTAATTATTGGTAACTCTTAATTATTATTGAATTATTTAACTTATTTTAATTGTATTTTATATTGACTAATGCAATTAAAATTTATTGGAATAAAGAAATAAAAACTGCGACAACTCCCCATAACCTAAGGAAGAATAGAAAAATAAAAAACTTTAGTATTAAGATAGGTACACTGGTCAGAAAGTATGAAAGTGATGAATCACAGAAAGAACAAGTATGCGGAATGAAAGGCCCTTGTGAATGCGTGAATTTGAATGAAAGAGTAGCAAAAAAAGTAAACAAAGTCTCTGACTATGTCAGAGGGAGCTGTGTACAAAAAAACCTATGTGTGGTTCGGAGACTACACAGACACCAACAGGTACTCATGGCCTCCGTCTACATCGAGCCCAATGCTGACGAGGCGGATACACTACACTCATTAGAACAGCTTCTCAGCAACAACACCAAAACCCGCTGCATCAATGGTTGCGACTTCAATGGTTGGCACCCACTCTGGGGGAGCGAACGCATGCACGCAAGAGGAAGGGAAATCCTCGAACTCTCCCTCATTCACGGTCTCTTGGTATGCACCCACATTCGAAACTATTGTCTACGGCCAAGTATCAGACTGGAAGGTGAACCTGGACGCTTGTCCCCATCGCAACACAACGCAATCGACTATACATATACTCTATTTATTGCTCTGTGAGCCATACACCACGTTGTCCACGGAACGTCGTGTGATTTCGATTAATACTGAATACGAACTTTGTAATTGAACCTTGGTTATTGAGTGTAGTTAATTGTAGTGTGTGCTAATTAATTGTTTGAATTATAACTTCGATAACCTATACGTTTAGTGTCAATTATTTTCCTATTGCCCTTCAACCTACGCCTATGAAACAAGGAAATAATTCTGTTAAGGCCAAAGTTTCTATATAAGTTACATGGGATAGAACATATATTTAATCCGTTGCTGGCTCTGAAGATCGGATAACATAAGACAGTTTGCTAGCGAAAACATAAAAGCTCGACAAATAAAAGATATAGCGAAATTCAATAGCCGTAGGAAAACAGAGAGAATACAAGGAGACTTAGTGCGTTTTGAGAGGCAAGTGCCTCATGATGGTAAATCCCGAAAACAAGTACTTAAGTTTCAAGGTACATATCGAGTAATAAAAGGACTTCCCAATGAACCATGACCATAAAACCAAACACATATATGAGGCCGTGATTGCTATTGACATGGTGCAACCGTGGCTAACTTTTTCTAGACTTAGACAGCGGTGATGAAGATGATTATAATACTGAAAACTAATTAGGAAAATAATAAAAATGTGTCGTCTATCAAAATTTAACGATCATTCAGCATACACCCATATATCGCACCAATATCACTATATCTCAATAAACTATTATATAATTTTATATGTAAAATCTCTGTGTAAAAGGCAATAAATACTGTGAATGTTTATTATCAGATATATTTGTTTTAATTTACTGAAATCCTCTCCTTCTGTACTTTTTATTTAACAAACGAATCTTTAATCAAAACTCGAGTGTTAATTGATATTACGATCCCTTGCCCAAGCACCCACACCCGACTAACTATGGCGGATTCTGATAAAGGCCCTCCTGCGCCGACAAATATTTAAACATTTAGTTATAGGAAAGGTTAAAAATCCTCGTAGTTTATCTGGTTTAAATCTCTACCACTAGACTATGATGCTAACAAGAAAGCATGGATAACAGCCGAAATATTCAAAGGGTGGCTCATTAAAGTCGACAAGAGAATGATTAAGGAGAAACGAAAAATATTGGTTTTCATTGACAACTGTACAGCTTACAACATAAATCCGCCATTGAAAGCAGTGAGTCTTAAAAATTCAGTTATTCTTTCAAATTGTTTGCAAAGAGTAAATTTGTTTGTTTGGTGTGGTTTTGTACGAGTACATATTCTGTTTTACTTTTTTTATGGCCGGAGTTATAATACCGAAATACTTACTGTTAAAAATATTTTGGGCAGCACTTCCACTTAGATGCTTACTGCTCCACAACTCGTAACAGAATCCCCAGTCTAACACTTGTATCCTATTTATAATATTCAAGAGTAACATTTAGATTAGGGTGGGTTATAATATAAGCGCTAGTTCCCTCTCATAAGAGTTTCCATTAAATAATAAAACGTAATATTTTATTTTATCTTTAAATTAGTATGTAAACTTTTTAATTGTGCGCTGTTTATATTTAGTAAATGTTATGTACACTTGTCATTGATGTACATATCTGATGTTTTAATATAGTCACTTTAACTGTAAATATTCAATATGTATGTTGTAAGTGTGCTTGTTTAAATAAATGAAAACACTTAACATTGTGTAAAACATGCTAAGAATCTAATTATAAATTATAAAACCAATTGTTAAGTATTTGGACATTTAAATTACTGTACAGAAATATTATTAACATTAATTTACACTATTATAACAAATATGTAATTGTTATAAGAATTGCCAATAAATATTAGAATATAAATAACGTGAAGCTTAGAATTGTGAAGTAGACAAATGTTTAAATAATTATAAATAATTATTACTAACATTACATAATTAATTTACCATTTCTTAGTGTAATTTTCACATAGGTTTCTACAGGATAATTTGTACTGTGTGTTTTTTTTCTGAAGTGTTTGTTCAACAAGGTAAGTCAAATTATTTAGTGTTGGACAGTTTTGATAGACCATTTTGATACTATTACAAAAGAATAAGAATAGTATTTCTTATTTTCAGTTGAATTCTGTTTCAAAAAATGCCGGCAATTAGACGTACAAACTGAAGTCGCAGAACCCGTAATGCCTCAAGTCAAAGATATAGAAGAGCAAGTCTAACTGATGAACAATAACAACAAAATAATAAAAAGACTCTAAAAATTTAAAGAGTGGGAAAGACAGTATGACTGGATTACTGAAGATCCCCAAAATATTTATTTTGGTTTGATAGTTATAGACGAACTGCTAGCCATTTTATCGTTATACAGTTCGTTCAAGGTGAAAATTATTAAAGACTTCGAAGGTCGTACATCCCAAACGGTAGACCAGGGTGCTATGTTCGTCAAACGTGTCAACAAAAACACTCATCTGAAGAAGAATTATGATAACCATGGGCGTAAAGCTTACGTTGAATGTTATCGGTGTGGCCGGCGACATATAGCGAGGGATTGCAAGGTTAAGACCCAGTTTCACCAATCAATGTTTGTTTAGTCTAATCACAGCATTTACTAACCAACCTTCAAAATTATAAATGTTTGTTAAAATAACGGGTGTCCCATCTAGCGTTTCGAATTTGAACTAACGATAATTTGACATTGGAGACGTCAACTGTCATCGGAGAAGTGTCACATATTTAGTAATAAGTCTGACATTTACGAAATGGGTCGCTATTCGCTTGAGGAAAGCTGGGAAATATTAAAAAATTATTTCCAAAGTGGTGAATCGCCAACGCAAACTGTGCGAAATTTGAAAAAAATATTTGCCAAAAAAGATTTGCCATCGGAGGCATATGTGCGGCAATTTGTGAATCGTGTGCGCGAAACTGGATCACTGTTGGATAAAACAACACGTAAACGTCCATTTCCAGCAAGGTCAACCGAAAACATCGCTGCGGTGGAACAAAGTGTTCGTGAACGGCCATCCACATCGATTCGTCATCGAGCGCAAGAGTTGCACCTTTCTCGGTCAACTACGCACCGAATTTTGCGCAAAGATCTTGCCCTGAAGCCATATAAAGTTCAGTTGGCCCAACAGCTGAAGCCAATTGATCATCCGAAACGTCTACGGTTCGCAAATTGGGCGGAAGATCGTTTGGCCGAAGATGGTGAGTTTTATCGAAAAATCATCTTTTCCGACGAGGCTCATTTTCACCTCGGCGGTTATGTAAATAAACAAAACTGCCGTATATGGGGCACAGAAAACCCGCACGTCGTTGAGGAGAAACCGATACATCCACAACGAGTGACTGTTTGGTGCGGATTTTGGTCCGGCGGCATCATCGGCCCATTTTTTTTTTTTGAAAATGATGAAGGAGCCGCCGTAACCGTCAACGGCGAGCGCTACCGCGCTATGTTAACTGATTGGTTTTTCGGTCAAATGGAAGAGTATGATTTGGACGATATTTGGTTTCAACAGGACGGGGCTACGTGCCATACAGCCCATGCTACGGTCGATGTTTTGCGCCCAATCTTCGAAAATCGCATAATCAGCAAAAATGGTGATGTGAATTGGCCTCCAAGAAGCTGCGATTTAACACCATTGGATTATTACCTTTGGGGAGCGGTCAAAGACGTTTGTTACGCCAACAAGCCAAGCACGATTGATGACTTGAAACATGAAATTGAAGTTGCCATTGCTGCCATAAGGCCGGAAACAATTGAAAATGTACTGAAAAATTGGACTGATCGAATAGGGTACTGCCAAGTAAGCTGTGGTGGACATTTGACCGAGATAATTTTTCACAAATAATGTCATGAATTATGCTTTCAAATAAATGTTTGATCATTGAAATCTATCGAGTCGTTCTTTTTTTATAGCCTTTTTAAATTCGAAATTTTCCGTGAGACACCCTATATTTACGTCCCACGATGACAAATTAACAACGAATTATTAAACATCGTGATCAAATGACCGACTACCAAATTATTCGTTCTTGTTATAAGACAATAATTAAAGTCCGGTTAGTTTTGCGTATTTCATTTAGGGATGCATTTACAAAAGAATATCAAAACGTGTTTTTCTATTTGTTCATTACTTTTAGGTAAATAGTTTATAATTTGGGTTAACAATAGGTGCGTATAAAAAAAGAATTAAAGCCATTACCGAGAAAGTAAATAATAATAATAGTTAAAAGTAACAATAAAATCAAACTATATACATATTTATTGTGTATGTGTATTTATATTTGTTATGTATATATTTAATATTGTTATAATTATTTTTTAATTATTCATCACAATATCTCTCATACCATAGTTATTATAGTTAGTAAGATTGTATTGTAATATCTTTTATTTCTATTGTTAAAGTAAGTAGTGGATAACGGTGTGATTTGTACATAGATTAAGTTTATTAAATTGTATAAAATATATTCCCACATATGTACAAATGTTGGTTGTACCAAATAAATAAAATGAAATAATTACGAAAATTTTTATTTATACATATGTGTATTTTTTTTAGATAAAGTTACAACTCCTTTGCATGAAGCAAAGAAACAACTATCTTTAGACCAAGTTATTTAAACAAAAAGAAGTGGGACAGCAATAATTCAAATTCAAAAAAATTATAAAATCATTGGAGAAAATATTCCCTTCAAAATTTTCCATTTAATTTTGTTGAAGGGCTGGGCTTTTGTAGATTGATGGAAGTAGCACCAAGATATGATTTAAGAGGACGCAATTTTTTTATTGATTTTGTATGCAAGGACTTTCGTTTACGTCTGATATTTGGTCGGATCCAAGCTCAAACGCTTCTTTGCTTAGCCTGACTTGTCACAGAATTGCAGAAAACTTTGATAGATCGTCGATTATATTGAAATGCGAGACATTTAATGGCCATCACACTGGTGACATAATAATTCCTGACAACACTGCTTTCTGAATGGAATATTAAAGAAGGACAGCTGCATTGCCTAATCAGAGATGATTGATATAGATTGTACTGTTCACAAGATACGACTAGCTATCTGTAGTTGTTTAGGTTCGTAGAAAAAATGTAAGAAAATTTCAATTCATTTCAATCTCTACCATTGCTCAGAAACAACTGCAATCAATTCAGGACAGACTAAATCAACCACATCTGAAAGTATTCCAAGATTGTGTTACGCGAAGACTGTGTTAGGTGAAGATTACTCTAAGGAAATGACACTCGTGAATATATTTGCAGCTTTTGAAAAGTCCGGTATAAATCCATTTACCCTAAAGTGTTCACTGACATTGATTATTACCATTGGACGTGATTGACAGACCCGAGCCTGAGCCACTGAGAAATGTAAGGATAAAATAATAAAAACTTTTATGAATAGATTACAGTCACAAGGACTTTCCTTTAATCAAGTATAAGGAGAAGTCATTAACGTACGATACATCAAGAGTTGCGCCTTCGCGAGCTCTTCAACATTGTGTTTTTAATATTGTGATAAGTGATATATTGTGACTATAAAACATTGAAAATACAGTGACAGAGACACATTATTGCGAATATTTCAAAAAGTAAAGCGCTCACCCGCCTTTTTATTATACTGTTAGATCGGGCTCGGTGAGACGCTTCTTTTGAGGTATCACACATAATTTTAGCTTCAGTTTTTACCAACAAAAAGTGACATTACAATATATACCACGTGTCGGAAAATTAAAAAGTCAATTTTCACATTTAAATTACGTAACTTCATTTGTGTAAAAATCTTCTAAAATCCGTATATTCGCCATCTCTCAACATTTTTTACTGATTCCTTCACCATAATTCCTAGTTTTCTAAATCCTATCCGTGTATATAAATTTCCCCCCCCCCCCCACTGAAAATCCACCCCCTCCGCCTAAACATAGTTTCATTTTATTTATTTTTTATATACATAACAAACCATGACTGAGTGAAGTGACACTAAAAGACAGTGCGGGCGCCAGTATGCCCCCAGCCGCCGACCCCAAGCCCCTCCCGGCCCTGGCCGAAGATGTGACAGATGACAAAGATGACAGTGGTTGTAAAAAAGGGGAAAAGGAAGGGAAAGCCGGCCTCGGCTACACGGCCCGGCGCCTCATAAAGATTGATTTTTATATTTGTATAAGATTGGTTATTGTTTATATTTTCAGACATAGCGTGATCTTAAATCAAAAACGAAATCCAAAAATGCTAATATTAACCGTGCCAGAAATAGAACTGGAAACAGTGACAATGTTCCCGCTCTAACGACTGCAGAAGAAAAAATTTTTGGAATCACTGGGAAGACAACACCTCAGGGTCTAGATGTAGACAACCGATACCGCTATTACCCAGCTCTGCAAGAAGCCCATTAATGTAAAGGTTAAAGAGGCGAGGCGAGGTAAGGCCGCCTTGACCCACACAGCACTCCAACCCATACATATCCGAGTGCTCGCCAGCCCATTTCACGACATTGCATTGGTTGTGGTACTAATATTGCAAAACATAAGATCACCATTTGAGCAGTCACCACCACATCAATTGCCCGCACACCAGTATCTACCACACCACTCATCACCACCACCTTCACAGTCGACATCACAAACTCGGTCTTGCCGTAAAAGATCCGCTAAAGATCTGGGACAAATTTATGAGGCCTACTCGGGTTCTAGTACTGCTGCTCTCACAGTAAGTTTTATTAGTTTAGCGCGCTCGGATAAGGAAGTGAACTGTGAAAAAATTGTGAAAATCGGACCCCAAATTAAAAAGATATAACAGTTTATAGTGAAAATTGAAAGAAACTAGCGTTTTAGGTGAATTGTACAAAAGTGGGTGAATCCTGTGCCTTAAAAAACAAAAGGAACTATAGAAGACATTAATAGGGACCATAGTATAGTATTTTAGTTTTAGTTTTAAGTAAATTTAATGACAAAACTGACTAAAACCGACAAAAATTAAAGTGACCTAACTTTCGACAGCAATATCTCGGTAAGTAGATCGATGACATATAAATTAAAAATTATAATCGGATAACAAATTTCATAGACTATATTTAGGAAAAAACTGCATCAAAATCTACCCATAAATTACCGAGATATCCCACTTTAAACCAAAATCGGGAGAAAGAGCTACATTACTTGACCAACGAAGGTATTTATTGTCTTGGAACAGTACAGAGAAACAGGCTCGGAAAAGTGTGCAAGTTGTTGGAGAAACGGGAAATTATGAAGCAAGTCATCTTGCTCCCCTGTCCGCTGAAAAGGGGACTCCGGGGGCAGGATCCTTCACTCTGCCGAGTGGACTTGTTCTGTATCCGGCACAATCCCGCTCCCCAGCTCCCCTGTAGCAGGGGGCTCCGGGGGATGCAAGATCGGGCGGTGGGCGGTCTTTTAGACTGCTCGCCGGCCAACCCGTAACCCTCATTGAGAGGACACGGGGGCGGCAGCCGCGAGGAGTAAACCCCTATAAAAAATCCCTAAATTCTCCTAGTTGCGGGGCGCGGCTAGGGGCATTCTGATGACATGTTTTGATTTGTACGAAATATAGATTGTATTACTATTTAATGAATAAATTATATATTTAATGTATATTGTTCTTATTTATTAATTTGTATTTTAAACTTGGTCACCGTCCGTCAGTAGTTATCAAAGAGGGTACTATTGAAAACCAGCATTAGCTGTCCGCGTCTATTAATTGCTGAATGGTATACCTATTTGGGACACGTCATGTACATATGTATATTGTAATAGCATTATTATTTCTTTCTTTTAATTTTTTTTAATAGTTATAAGTTGTTTTTTTTTTAGTTTATGTTTCTTTTTTTGTCGTTTTATTTCTTATTTTTGAAACAACTGATATTTCATCATTTTTGTACGGTCCCAAATAAAAATGTTCTTTCTTTTTCTTTTCTTTCTTTTAACGTACCAAGAGGAACATATCACGAAAATGTGGCCTCTCACGAAGGCCAAGAATTCTCGGCCACAAGTTGGAAAGACAACAAACAAGTATTATTACTTTCCACATATGTTGGCGCTGAACCAGCGGATACTATAAACCGCTACGAAAAAAACTAAAGGCCGAAAAGTATCCTGCGGAATAATGGACCAATAGAGGCGATCGAAAAGTAGGATTTCAGTAAATCTACGGATAACAAGCAATTGCAATTGGAAGATAAGGCCCAGGCTATAATTATAGCGGCAACCACCGACAGTCACCTTCAATACCTAAAGGACAGATGTGCTTATCAAATGATTAAAAGCATGGAAGACAGCTTTAAGAAGAAAGGTACTCGATCTAAATTATTTATAAGAAGAGAGTTGTCTGATATGAAATTCGACGAACGTTCCATTAATAGAACATTTTATTGACTTGGAAAAACTATTTGTTTAACTCGGGGATGTTGACAGTGAGCCCTCGGAGAAGGAAAGGGTAAACTATTTACTCTTATCCATGCCGAAATCTTATGAACCCATTATCACGGCTTTGGAAACAGTGGAGGAATTGAAACTGGACTTCGTGAAAAACAGACTGCTTGGGGAAGAGGAACAACGGAACAGAGGAGAGACCAAATCCAAATTGAGTCTTCAATCTTCTTGTGTTATGGATGTGGACGCCCCGGACACAAAAAATTCCATTGTAGGAGCGCTCAACAGTCACGATACAAGACTGGAGACTTCAAGGCCGAGGACGTAGCTACTGGAAGTACAACGGAGGCCGAGACGACAGTAAGGCAACTCATTGTCAGACCCAGGGGAGATGTAGAGGAAAGTCATTTCTAACAGGCACTGAAAATATTGAAGGTAACAAATTTGTAAGTTTTATATCCTTTAACCCTGACACCGAACAGCAGAATAAGAATAGTTTTAAAATTGTTGTTGATTCGGGTAGCTCATTGCATATTGTAAATAACATTAGTTTATTCTTTAATTATTGTAAACTGGATAAGCCTATTAAAATTTCAGCTGCCAAAAATGACGTTTATTTAGACACTGTTGGTGTAGGGACAATAAAATGTTATTTGCACTCAAAACAACAATTTGAACAATTTTTTTGAACAATTCACTTTACAATATTATGTATATGTAATACAAGATACCTTTGCAGATTCAAGGACAAATATATCATTGAACTTATTAGTTATCACCAGTGCCGGTCAGTGACTATAAATTTTTCCAAATTAATTTCATGGGTGATTCAGGAAGACAAGTTGACCAGTTTATTATTCCATCTACACAACCCATTGGTTGCATTATTCAAGACCGCATAAGATCACATGCCATCTGATAATCACAAAATTGTTATCAAACACATAAGACATTTTAATGAAGTCTCTATTGTCATTGTGGGTGAAAATGTAGATAACCGCAATATTGTTTTACACCGGTGTAACAATAAACTGCAGCATGTGTCCGAAATACATTGAATATATTTAAATATATTTTATCTTATTTTGGAAAGGTGAAGATGGATATTATTTTTAATGAAGATGATAAATCCAGTTACAGTTAAATAAAATTTTTAAAAAAATGTTTTTAGGTTCTGAAACTAATATTAAAGTTAGTTAAATGAATTATTATTCATACAGGTTTATGGTTGGAGAAGTTGAGGTCAATCACATCTTAATATGTTGGCGTCTCTTTCACCAATATGCTGTTGATGTGAATGTAAAAATAGAAACTGATCAATTAATGTTTTTCAGGTTGAACCAGGCAAGACTCCGTTCAGAGGAATAAGGATATTAACTTCATTCAGATAAAAATGCAACAGATATTCCTTGATTATAGGGCGATATGAAGTTCGCCGGGTCATCTAGTATTATTTATAAATACTCAAAATTGTTTAGTTTAGATAGTTTACTTATTTATTACTTTATTTTAAATTATTATTTGTTTGTTATTGTTGTTTGTTATTTAATTAGCTTCTTTTTTTTACCTTCTGTTTCTTGTTGCTTAACTTTTATTTTGTGCATGCTGTTATCGCCTATAAGTGAGATACCTCTAGTCTTATTTTTTATTCATGTATCTGGAATGTTTTAGTGTGTATTTTGTTGGTGAATAAATAAATCTTCAATAAAGGGGAAGTTAAAGTTTTATTTTGTAGTATTTAAAGTATTATTTGATGATTGATACTATGGTGCAAAATCAGACACCAATGATAATTCTGTAGAAATTTGGCATAAACGATTTTCTCACTTAAGCTATGGTAGTTTAAAAACGTTAGTAAATAAAAATATGGTTGATGGTTTAACTGATTTGAAAGAGAAAAATTTAGAAAATAGACATTCTTGGTAATATTACAGGCCCTCCTTTTAATGGGAAAATGTATAAGGCTAGGAAACCCTTAGAACTGGTACGTACGGATGTTTTTTCTGTTAGCCCTTCTACGTGGGACGGGTATAAATATTTTGTTACCTTCATAGTAGTAACCTAGTAATCATTTTGGTCATGGTAAATTGAAGTTAGTCAGATAATGGTGGTGAGTACACTTCTAGAAATTTTAAATCCTTTTGTGATGAAAAGGGCATAGTATTGAAATATACTGCTGCATATAATCCCGAAATGAACGGTGTAGCTGAAAGAATGAATCGTACTCTGACTGAAAAGGCACGTGCATTATTGATAGATTCACAGCTTCCTAAAGAGCTTTGGGGCGAGGCCCTACGATATGCGATATACGTCACCGATCGTAGTCCCACTGCTTCCCTTAATGTTACACCATTTGAAATGTGGGCGGGGAGACGTCCTAATGTGTCTAATTTTAGAATATTTGGGTCTTCATATGCCCATATTCTGCAAAAACTCCGAATGAAATTAGACCCTCGTGGTGTGAAATTGAAAATGGTTGGATATGCTCCGGGGCATACAGATTATGGGATGCTAAGGAAAGGAGGATACGCATAGAACGAAACGTCATATGTCACAAGACAGACATTTCCCGACAGCCATACTAAATACAGGACGAAATATAACAATTGATAATTATTTCACGTCGATTCCACTGGCAGATGATTTACTTGATAATAAAACGACTCTGGTTGGGACGCTAAGAAAGAACAAAAAGGAAATTAGGCCCAAACCCAGTAGTATGTTCTGTTTCAATAAAAACAAGGTTTTGGTTACTCACATATCAAACAAAAAGAACAAAATAAATGTACTTAGGCTTAGCACATTACACAATTATGACCGGATTGATCCTACGACTTGCGACAACGCAAAACCAGACATGATCACATTTTACAATAAAGCTAAAGGATTAGTGGACGTCATAGGTCGACTAAAAGAAGAGTATTCTGTGGCTCGGGTGTCATGCAGGTGGCCGGTCAGATTATTTTTTTCCATCCTAAATATTGCCGGAATAAATATCCAAATTATATATAAAGAAAACAAACATAATTATCACCCACAGACAATATCTCAAACAATCACCCTTGACCTTATCACAAACACATATCCAACGAAGATCTACAATGCAAAATATTTCATATACTCTTCAGCATATTATAAGACGGTTCAATGAAACGGAACCTGGGACTTCAGGTACTGAAAAACCTGATGGAATCTATGCCCTATTTGTAAGAATTTTTTATGTACGGAACACGCAATTACCATATGTGCTGTTTGCAAAGCATCTTCATATGACGATGATTAAAAACACGTCATAAATTCCATTTTTTTTATTTTAGTTACTATTTTAAGTTTTTTCCAAAAGTATTAATAGATAGTGCCTAAAGAGTTTCTATGTTGGTTATTAATATGTTGTAGTATATGTGTTGTATAGAAAAAATAAATACTTTATCTAATAAAATATGTTTGTTGTATTATGAAACAATAAAAAAATATGTAAGTTTCGGTGTTTTAGACGCAATTTGACTATTTACAATATGTGAACGAAATGTTACATGCGCTAGTGCCCTCGTAGTTTTTAGGGGCGCGAGTTCTCCCGGATTAAAAAAATTTTTAGGTATGAGCAAGAATAAGCACTTACTGAATATTACAGTAATTGTGATCTTATGTTTTACGGCTTAACAACAAAAGATTGTCGTAAAGTTGCATATGAAATTTTGATCCTTTTCCTCCGGTACTGATTTTTCCCAGGAAAAACTATAAGGACTACATGCTTAAAGGTGCTCCCCCTTGATCATTAGGGTTAGCTACATCATCTGGTTGGATGAACAGCAAGCTATTTGTTAATACAATAAAACATTTCATTAAAAATACCTCGAGCTCTAAAGAAAATCCTTCTCTATTGATCATGAGTCGCATTTGTCAATAGAAGCTCTAGATTTAGCAAAAGAAAACGGTGTTACAATATTGACACTACATCCTCATACGTCAGCAAAGTTGCAGTCCTTGTATGTGGGTATTTATTCTCAGTTTAAAACTTATTACAACGCCGAAATGGAATCATGACTCTTAAAAAATCCAGGGAAACCTGTGACGATGTATGATTTAGCCGAGCTGGTAGGGATCGCATTCACCAAGACCATGACTCCAACAAATATTGTTAATTCTTTTAAGAAGACCGGGATCGAGATATTTTTTTTATAATTTTCATTGATCATATTATTATTTTGCTCAATATCAAAAATTTTCGTATTTTAATTTAAATCTGTTATTTAATATTTTGGCCAGTGTGTTTAGACGTTTTATTCTTCTTTCAAACTTAATTGGTTTATGTATTTTTGTATAAATTAATTCAATTGTTTTGTTGTAATACAGTTTGTTTCCCAATAAATGAAATTAAATAAAAAAAAACGTGTTAACTTTATTAATTTGATACTCGAGCAGTTTAACAATATCAACGTGATGTTTAGTGATGAGGCCGATTTTCACCTTAACGGCCAAGTGAACAAGTGGGCTGGGATAACATGAACCAGTTTACTTTGGGCCAAATAGGTTACACTAAGTTTCCCCGTTTTATGTCCTTGGGACAGTAGAGCTAAACAAGAACATTGGATAAGGAAAACCAGGCCTTTGAGGGAAAATATGGAGCCTGGAGAGAAATATATAGTCCATAATTTATAAGTAGCTTGAGACAAAATCGTCCTCCCACCATTACATATAAACTGTAATATAAAAATAAAACAATAAATCGATGACCTGCAAAGGCAAATAATGAGTTTCAAACATGAAAACCAAGACATGGATAGTAAAACAAAAGCCACCCCTACAGACAGTTCCACCAAAAGTTCCTTCTGTGGTAGGAGATCCCACTACAAACTGGCATCTAACAAGAGGAGGAGTTCCACCCTACATAGGAGCACCCACACGGGTCAGGGCTAAGAGACAACCCCTACAAGAAATGGAGTCGTATAGCTTCACACAGGCACTATCTCAGGCTCTCCAATTAAGATCATGGGTGAAAGGAGATATAGGACTCACCCAATTACTGGATACTATGTATAATAAGAGAGACGACAGATGCATCTAGTGAGGAACTGGATCGGCAGCAAATCGGGATAGAATTTGGTGCGGTGTTCGAGTGTCGACTGTGGACCTACGATGCTTGTACAGCTCATGATTTTACTTACTTGTACCATAATTGTGAATCACACTGAAACTTAGGTTAGACACTTGGAACTTAAATCAAACTCGTTTTTTTTCTTCACCAAGAATCTATTTTTGTTAACGTAGTATTTTTCACGTTGTTAAACAAGTATCAGAAATTATGGAAAGACTATTTACATCTGTTCCTTCTGGAACACCCAGAAATACACACAAAATACTCTACAGTCCTTGTTTAAGAACGCATGTTGGCAATCAAGCCCCCTTGATACGAATATGCAACGAGTATAATAATATTCTTAAATCAATCCCTGGCATTGACATTTTTAACGATTCCCCCTCAGCCTTTAGCAATAAGTTATTTAATTATTATAAAACGCATGATTAGTTTTAGTTTTTAATTTAATTCTGATTTGATTTAATTTATTTTGTATTTAATTTTTATTTATATTTAATTAAGTTAAATTTTATTTTATTTAACTTGTATATTTATTCTGAATTAATTAAATAATTTAAACAAGTTTTAAATTTGCTCTGTAACTATTATTACTTATAAAATAAATATACATACCCAATGAATGCTATGTACACTTGTAATTGACGTACATATCAGACTTTAATATAACTTCAAAATCTTAATATAGATGTTTGTAATATGTATGTTGTAAGTGTGCTTCAATAAATAAATAAACTTAAGTAATTTATTTTTTTAAGTTTAAATAAGATTGATTTTGATTTTAGACTTGAATGCCAGTTAATTTAAACAAATAAACACTGAAAGCCATTATGTAAACAAATTTTAATGTACCTTATTTTTCTCCTAAGTGATTTTATTCTTGTGAGGAATATTAATAAAGATATCTCGAACCGTAAATAACAACAAAATGTTTTTTATATCTTAATGTTACAATTGACGCCATTCACTGTTTCAATAAGGGGTCTTTTCAAATATTATTCATTTTTTTAATCCCACTTAATGACCATATAAAACCATATATTGCCACTTAAACCTTTAAAGACTTTGTGATGCACGACTCAAGGAATGCATAACGATCTAAAAACCATTTCTGGAACCTATCGATGAAGGGATGAGACATAACTGAGCAAGAGATAACAACATTTGGACAACAGCAGATTGGAAATGCTTTTTGGAGCGGTAGTGTTCCTAAAGGTCGCTAACATATTTGTGTCAGAATTTGAAATTATCAAAGATTACCAGGATAGGACTACACTCACATCAGGTTTAAATTATTAGTGCCATGCACTCCTTCATATTTATATGAACTGACATTTTCAATGGCAAACAAAGAGAAAAAGACTGCAATAAGAAAATTATTGATTATCAACGTACCAAAAATAGCAGCACCATTTGATAAACTTATGAAATATAAAGAAACACATTCTTCCTTCTAAAAATACTGAGTTTTGTTGTATGTAAACTTTGACTTTTTTTAGCCAGCTATCCTACGAATAATGAGACATATTTAATAACAATGATATAGTTAACATTGTTACAAGTGGCGTCCTCCGTTGCCGTTCTAATTATAATATGCATTTAGGGAACACACATTAATTTTAAACCGAACTTTTAAATTAAATTTAAACCGAAGCGGTGTTAAAGCTAAGACATTATGTTTGTTCCCTTTTTCAACTGCGACGAGGGAAAGTAGTGAGAAAGCAGTCAGTATTACACAGAACTTTTAAACCTAAAGCCATCTACCATTCAGCTTCCTGATGTAAAACCCAACAAAGGACTTATATCACCAATACAGCAAATTGAAGTTAGAACAGCGTTACAAAAGACTTCAAAAACAAAATTTTTAGAACTGGAAAGAGTGCAAAGGTCTCTTTTAAAGGTGATGTATTTTAAGTCCTACAGATTCCCAACTACCGAACTTTACGATTATGGAAACGTTCTGTCAGTGAGAAAACTATATATCTTACTCTCCATCATCAAATTGCACAAGTGCATTAAATTTGACCCTAAAGTATTAACTAGAAGATGTAAGGATATTAAATTACCCTTCACTTTGCCCCCGACAAAACAAGTTTTACTAGAAAACAATTTTAGAAGTCAGGCTTTTTTTTTTTTTTTTTTTATGGAAAAGGGGCAACCGAGCACACGGCCTACCTGATGGAGGTAGTACCGTCGCCCATGGACATCCGCTACATAAGACATGTTGCGGATGTGTCACCCCCCTTGATTTGGGAAGATGGGGAGGAAAAATGGGAAGGGGAGGGAAAAAGGAAGGGGTAGGAAAGGATGGGAAAAGGGAAAGGGCAACCGGCTCTCTCACTCACCGGACGAAACGCAGCCATTAAAGGCTACTTCACGCCGATCTTCTGTGAGAGGGTGGTACTTCCCCGGTCGAGCCAGCCCATGTTTGAGCTGCAATCACTTGACCACAGCTAGGCTCTACTTATCTTTATACTAAAATGAACCGTAAAGTGAACATCTATGGTATGAACACATAACTGCAAAAAAACGTTAAAAGACTGGTTAAAAAAATTGCTGCAGCTGGCTAAAATGGCAAGAAGTAACTCGAGTAGCTTGTGACAAGAAGATTCCGGTCAAACTGAAAGGTTTGGTCTATAAGACCATTATCAGACCAGTCTTGATGTATGGCAGTAAAACATGGGCGGTCACTAAGAAAAACGTTCATACCAAGTCGCCGAGATGAAGATGCTAAGGTGGATGTACGGCGTCACCAGACTCGATAAAATCCGTAACGAGTATATACGTTTCAGCCTGAGAGTCCGCGACTTCGCTGATGAGCAAGAGACTAGACTGAGGTGGTATGGCCACGTAAAGAGAAGGCCGGTAGACTACGTAGGAAACCTGCGCGTTAAAACTAATCTTGGACCCCAGTCTCCCGTAGTGCAATTAACAAAATTTTATAATGACATTTCCAAAAAAATACCAAGTCTAGACCTATTTAGTGATTCATTTTATGTATTTAAACAAAAACTTATTGACTATTTTTTTCTAAGTTAGTTTTCCTAACTTTAAATAGTTTTTTTTTATTTTATTTTGTGATTTTTACGTAATATTTTTATTTTATCTTTATATTAGTATGTAAACTTTTTAATTGTGCCCTGTTTATAGTTAGTAAATATTATGTACACTTGTCATTGAGGTACATATCTGATGTTTTAGTATAGTGACTTCAACTGTAAATATTCACAATATGTATGTTGTAAGTGTGCTTGATTAAATATTAAAAAAACCTGGCACTGCAACTAGCCATACCCGGTCGAAAATCCAGAGGCAGACCCAAGACAAGATGGAAAGATGTGGTGCAAAGACAGAACAAGATCTCCGAAGACGACGTCGGCAATAGAGCGAAGTGGAGGAGTCATACAAGAAAGGCTGGCTGGCAGAAAATGCTGTTATAGCGTTAAGTCCGCCCTTTGTACATTTTTTTTTGTGCAATAAAGAATAATAAAAAAAAAGGAAGGCTTACCCCACCACCTTGTGGGATTCATAGCCAGGAAGAGACAGTTTTTGCAAAAAAAAATTGAGTTGTCTGTGTTTGTATTACTCTGTAAGTACGTAAATTTTTGTTGAATAAGTGATTGATGATTTTTCTTTTTTTTTAATAAGTAGTTAAAACTCTTTAAGATAATTTGTTTTAGTTAAGGTTAGTTTTGTTATTTTAAAGAACTGGCTAAATATACCATAATCCTCAGAATTATTTTGTAACTGATTATAATATTAAACCTTTGTAATTTTGTGATGGCAACATTTAAGTAACCTTATATTTGAAAACTATAAACACTGGTTTCAGCCATTTTGTAGGACATTACTGGAAGTAACGCCTATCATTGAAAAACAAATTTGACACTGGACTTCGAACAATATATTGAAGGAATTGTACTAAGTTTAATTCGATTGAAAACAGATACTCGAGAATTAAACGACAATGAACTGTAAAATTGTCAGAAGAAAAATAAAGTTTTACAATGAGCCAACAACCCAAACAAAGTAGAGATTTCTGTCGATGATAGAGAATTTGAAAAAGATTTGTGATTTGGTAGAGCCTAGCTGTGGTATTAACTTGACCACCGCAGTTCGAACATGGGCTGACTCGACCGGGGAAGTACCACCCTCCCACAGAAGATCGGCGTGAAGTAGCCTTTAATGGCTGCATTCATCCGATGAGTGAGAGAGCCTGTTGGCCTTTCCCATCCTTTCCTAACCCCTCCCTTTTCCCTTGAAAAATCATGATCAATTTTTGTAACTATGTGTTATCTTTTGAATGGTATCATTTGACGCGAATAAAGTTTAATTACTAAATATTGTGCGGAGTGACAGGAACGTCATACAGATATACAAGTCAGTTGCACACTGATTGCTTTACTAAAAAAACGGCTCAGATACAAATACAAACGTATACCTACCCTCAAAATGACAACAAATTCTTCTCAAATATCGACCAGTGACCATACTCACCCTTAAATCTTCGTATATCACGATGGCAACCCAAAACAAATCAAGCATTAAAAAAAACAATACAAAATTCTGTCACATCTTCTTTAGGTAATATTAATAAGACAATTTAGTATAAAAATATATTAATACTAAGAGTTCATAACAAAACATGCATACATATACAGGGTGACTGGTGAATTACTATCAATATTTGAGGACGTGATATTTGACGATCATATATGACAAAATAAAAATTAATATAACATAAATATTAATAAACTTCTAAGTAAAGTTAACCAAAAGTTATGTAATTAATTACGCATCGTATGAACACCCTACAGATTAGGTATACACTGACACTCACACATACGCATGTCGTGACGTGGTGTTGTATCAACACGTCGCCGCACGCGTCCACACTTGAACACTTGGAACGTGTCAACACTTTACTTATTTATACGGAAATTTTGTCAAAAATTAAGTGCCTATTTTTTTTACATAATTCGAATGAGAATCATGTACCGAGTATGCTCCTTAAATATTGATAGTAATTCACCAGTCACCCTGTATATATTTTGTACATACAAATTCACTGTGATATATTATCTACAATAAGTATCTTAAAAGTATTGTAATCTTCATAGTTACCCGCCATTATAAATCCTAGTTTATAACCATCATTGCTTCTTTTATTTGGAGAGCTATTATTAAATTCTGAAAATACAATAATACGTGATGAATATGTAGAAAAACAAGATAAAAGATGGGGCATAGTTAAAGGAATGAAGTTCCTTTAAACTTAATAATAGTTTAAATCGGGTATAATTAGTCTAGGGACCAAATTATAGCACCGGAATAATAATTAATTCGTTATCACAAATTATCCAAAGCGTCTAGGTTAAGCAGGCGAAGTACAACTAGAGCACCGAGCCACGCCAGAGTCAAGACTGCCTTTAGAATAATCGTGCAAGTCTTTTAGACGGGCACAGCTAGTAGTGGGGAGAGTGGGGCATCTAATGACGCGCTCAGTGGCGTGGTCGGTACATGTGTTGGTTATAGTTACGCTTAGGTAGCGCACAGGCGCTGACAAATACTTATATAACATTACAAGCCAATAATTTACAATAACTGTCTCATATATGAATTACTTTTAAACAATCTGTATATATTAGTTCAACTCACCCTGTATAACTTCATATTAATGGATACTATAAACTGGTTGTTCTCGTTCTTCGAGTGCTGCCTCTCGTTGTTGGATCTTGTCTTAACGAATGGAAGCCCAGTTGCTTCGTCTGTAAAACGAGAAAAGATAAATAAAATAAACAACCACTAGATATAGTTGAAGAAAGTTATCAAAATACTAGCTTTCCACCCGCAGCTTCGCCCGCGTGGAGTTCGGTTATGTCGCGTTTCCAAGAGAACCTTTCAAAAGTCTGGGATAAAAACTATCCTATGTTCTTTCTCAAGGTCAACTCTATCTCTGTTCCAAATTTCATTAAAATCAGTTCAGTGGTTTAGGCGTGAAAGCGTAACACAGACAGAGTTACTTTCACATTTATAATATTAGTAGGGATTAAGTGACTTGAATAATAGATGTAGAAAACGTGGAATAAGTTAAGACAGTTTCATCTTTATATCTCTTAGAATCCTTATTAATCCTAACCATGACTATAAAAATATTTTTGCATTTTTCTGTACATATATGCGTTGTAGATTTTCTTTTTTATGATAGCAGAAGACGATTGAGCGAGAGAGTAAAGGGGCAGAAAGAGAAAGCGCAACCTTCTTTCTCACTCATCGGACGAAACGCAGCCATTAAAGACTACGTCACGCCGATCTTCTGTGAGAGGGTGGTACTTCCTCGGTCGAGCCAGCCCATATTCTAGCTGTAACTGACCACAGCTAGGCTCTACAACCTATGTATGTCTCTTAAACTATTTTTATATGGTAATAAATGTTTATTCAGCTGTGACTTACCAATATAAACTTCTAAAACGCCGTCAGCTACAAGGAACGATAGATAGTAGATGTTCTCAACAGTTTTTGCGAAGCTTTTAGGATCTAACGCTAGTTTGAAATAGCATAGTGGTCCATCGCGACATGCCTGTTTAACTATTTTGTGTACTTTCTTGAAAATCTCCTTGTCTTTGTCCTCTTCTTCAACTCTGATGGAAAATAAAATATGTCATATTTATTTAACAATGTTTAAGTATTCGAACAATGTTTAGATTTTCTTATTATAATTATAATTAAGTATTGAACTCGAGTATTCCGTGATATATTGTTTCACTTATCAACAATCAACTGTCATATGGAAAGATTATATCTATGAAGTTGAAGTGGTATTTTAGTTATGTACATATATACCACTTACGAATATATATTATATTAATATATACAGGGTGACTGGTGAATTACTATCGATACTTGAGGACGTGATATTTGACGATCATATATGACAAAATAAAAATTAATATAACATAAATATTAATAAACTTTTAAGTAAAGTTAACCAAAAGTTATGTAATTAATTACGCATTGTGTGAACACCCTACAGATTAGGTATACACACACACACACACTTGGAACACTTGGAACGTGTCAACACTTTATTTATTTATACGGAAATTTTGTCAAAAATTAATTGCCTATTTTTTTACATAATTCGAATAAGAATCATGTACCGAGTATTCTCCTTAAATATTGATAGTAATTCACCAGTCACCCTGTATATGTTTTACATTTTTTTAGTTTTACAATTTTTGCATACAATGACAACTCTAGACTTTTATATAATTCTATGAAAAATTGTTTTTCTTTGTAATAATTATACGTCATCTGAAATTACGCTGCCGGTATACTGGCCAGTATATTTGTTTCCAAAAAGTTTATTTATTTTTTTATATTAAATTAGTTACAAAAAAGTTTTTTGTGTATATAATTTTCCATATAAATTAAAGTAATATTTTTGGATTACTACAATTTTTAGAATATTTTAAAACTACATACTCCCTACGTTTCGTGATCACGGACAGACGAGATAATATTTTAGACATTATCATAACTTTCACACACACACATAATATATATCGTCATCAGCCTATCAGAGCCCACTGCTAAGGCCTCTTCTCACATGGAGAAGGTTTGAGCATTAATCACCATGCTTGCTCAAGACGGGTTGGTGATTTCAAACTTATAATTGTTAAATTATAAGTCCATGTTTCCTCACGATGTTTTCCTTTATCTGTCAGTGGTGTCTAAATACTCTTAGAAAGTACATATGACTCGGAAAAATCATATTGGTACTTGCCAGGATCGAACCCGCGTCCTCGTGCACACGAGGCAGGCCTTTATACATAAATATTCTTACTTGTCTTTACTCTTGGGCACTTTAAGAGCAGCTTGCTGTTGTTTATCAACCTTCCGTCTCGGAGCTCGAGGTCTTTCTTCAGGCGGTGTTGGATCAAAGGATCCGTGGAGATACAACACGGGTTGAGCTTCTAGAGGAAACGGGAACTCCCAGTAGTCCGGGTTCGAACCCTGGGTTGGACAATGTATGACATGATAGGAGCTTCATATATATGTAAGGCAGACCCTGACTAAAGCTGGGAAATAGCCAGGAAGAAGTCATATATATGGAAAAGTTTACAAGTGTTACAGTACAGTAGACTATTTATTAATACTTGTATGGAAAGTACATATGTCTAGTATGGAACATAATAAATTATTTCCAAAACAAAAGATCTTTCTACATCATTGATACTCAATAGCTGTGCCGTAAAATCAATATATAATTTATATTCTATTGATTTTTAAAGATCTTGCGTAATTTTTGCAAGACAATGATAGTCTTGTGAATTTTTTCAAAGACATGAACAAACTTGAGTAATTATTATTCCAAGAAATTTTGGCAAGACATTGGAGGGGCTTGATCCGATGTACAAAAAAACGTATACAAACAAACAATATACTTACAATGTGTTTCGCGAGTTCACTTTTATCGTATTTGTTAAGATTGCCGCTGACAGACTCCGAACAGCGCACAGCGAGCAGGCTCGTCGCGCAGAGCACTTGAGAATCCAGGTAACTTTCACCTGAAAATACATAAATATCTATATAAAAAATATGTTAATTCCATTATTTATAACTCTAGAACAGTATGGATATGGTTGAAATTTGACAGGGAGATAACTTAGTACCAGGAGACGGACATGGGATATTTAATTCTGTTCGATCGAAACAGAAAAAACTTAGTAATATCCAATATCTGGTAATTTAAGTCTACAAGGGTGGAATTGAGTTCGCCCAGTCAGCTATACAGATATTAATAATTCCTAAATTAAAACAGACGAAGTGGCGGTCAAAAACTAGTATAATCTAAATTCGTAATAAACTACAAGACTTGATCAAGTAGCATAGAGTTATCTGAGTTTTGGGGCCCAATAATGCGTAATGATAATTACTTATCCCATCTAGATCAAATTTCTATTAATCCGAGTTAGATATTCGTCAAGATGTCATCAGATAGCTGAAGAATCTAAGGTATTTGTAATACATCTGTCATATCATTATTAACTCTTTTAAATTATATTTATTTTCTTCACAATAGACTGTCTACTACAACTTATATATGTAGAAGAGAGGAGGATGGACCCTGGTTAAAGAATGAAGTTCCTTTAAACTTAATAATAGTTATAATCGGGTATAATTATTCTAGGGAGCAAATTATAGCAACGGAATAACAATTACTTCGTTATCACAAATTAATTATCCAAAGAGTCAAGGTTAAGTAGGCAAAGTACAACTAGTGCATATATAAACTAGTACATATTATTATTTAACAATAACAAGCAAGTATAACTAATACATAATATATGTTTAACAACTCACCCGGATGTTTCAACTCATCTTTGCCATACAAGTCATCAACATTTCGCAATATTCTTGATGTCTTCTCAATTGTTTGTAAATTGTCATGGATATTCTCTTCTTCTGTAATAAGAAATATATATCACATAAGTTACAAAACATCAATCTTTATTAAATTCTATAAATCCATTAAGTCAGTTTTGGCCTAGTGGTTAAAAGGCCCGCCTATTTTGCATGAGGGCCCAGGTTTGATCCTGGCAAGTATCAGTGTGATTTTTTGAGTCATATTTACTTTCTGAGAGTATTTAGACATCACTGACAGATGAAGAAAAACATTGTGAGGAAACCTGGACTTATAACTTCACATTTATAAGTATGAAATCACCAATCCGTCTTGACCAAGTGTGGTGATTAATGCTCAAACCTTCTCCATGTGAGAAAGAGGCCTTACAGCAGTGGGCTCTGATAGGCTGATGATGATACACAGTAAGTAATTAAAGACCTATACTGGCATTTAATATATATTTATTGAGTAAACATAGTCTATAAAAGCCTTACAATTTGGATATGCTAATAAGTCCTATAATGCTGGACCAATATTAACCAAACAAAGAACCACAAGGGATAGAGCTCTCAAATGAGAAAGAGATCAAAATTTACTCCTTACAACAATATAGACACACACACACACTCTGATCAAACTTAAAACAATCCTTCTATATGTTAGTTGCCAAAATAAATATGATCTGAAATAAATTGAGATCCAAACTCATACTTATGGGTTTTTTATATTTGAAGGTCATATAACAAAGAAAAAACTTACCTAAGTTCCTAACATCCTCTAAAATACTCCTGAACGCGGTTTTCCTGTCGTTACTAAAAGAACTATTCCGCGAACATGATAAGCTTAAACTGTTTTCCATTGTGAATAAATATCAAATTATATTAAATATCGGATAATTTTAGATTACATATACACTCTCAGCCCTCAGGGCACTACATGATCCGTATCATGTTATTAAGCAGACACTTTTAACACTTACAGATAGTGAATAAGATATGCTTCGTACTTTTTGTTGTTGTAAACGAAAAATGAGCCGGCAAAAATAAATATGTAACCACTCAAAAAACAGTAAATCAGTTATCCCAACATCAAAACATTTGAATAATAGAATATAGTTGCACAATATTTTAATCTTTTATATGTACAACCATCAAAATTCAAACCACTTTATAACACACAGGCGGGAAATCGCCTACATTATACAAAGCTTAACTACTATCTGACCATAGATAATACACTATACATATTAGAAACAAATAATACACTATGTATCTGACATAAGGACTGAGGTGTGTTTCAGTTACGACATTTATATTTTTCATTGCCATATCTAATTAAAATTATTTTATTTATTACTTAATTTGTACATTAATAAGGAAATTCTAATTCTAATTCCTTGATCAATTTGCCTACTATTTAATATCCGTTATTTTTAATTTTTAGTATATGACTTCATTTATTAGAATTTTGGAATATTTTGTTTTTATTTATTGGACGAATTATTTTCTTCAGTACTGTGTGGAGGAAACACGAAGGAGTGTGTCGAATGGAATAAAGGCATTTATTTAGATGTAATTTAAAAAATGTGCTAGTTATATTTTTACCAGCAGCTAGAATAACAAAAAATATGTATATGTGAGAGCGAGGGGTTCCTCGTGGAACCGATACCCTAATACCTTAAATGGCCTTCGAGTCTGGGCAGTCAGTACCGATGACGATGGATGGGTTTCCATTTTGATGCAAAGATAGTCTTTTCTCAAAACGATAATTGTTTATTGCTAACAAATTCTAAAAATGAATGTCAAGATCTGTATAGCAGAGACTCTACCACTGTGGCTTCTAAGAGCGACTGATGAAGTGGGTAATTATAGTGAAAACAATTATAGTGAACGAATACGAAAAAGAATATTTTTAATACGACTAGCCTCTCGGCGCGACATATATAATAATCTCAACTATCTATGTAACTAAAACTACTAAATTTTTAAATTACTAGAATTAATAAATTATACACAATGAAGACAAAACCCATTTTTATTTCCATTTAACAATTATAAGATTATTCTGAAAACATGATGTTAGTACATTACATTAATTAATAAAAAAAGAATGTAAAAAACAAAAACAATAATTAATTATGTCTCAAAAAATATCACATACATTTTGATTGCGTGAAATCAACTAACAATTTTTATTTTTCATTAATGGTTTCGGTTAATACTATTTGAATTTTTAGATCTTAAGAAATAAAAGAAAGATTGAAACTTTTTAAATTAAATTTGTTTATCGTCTGGAATATAATTAACAATTCTTAAAAGTATTATTTAGATGTACAAATTTAAAAAATCTTTTGTTTTCCTTTGTATTACTTACAAAAGTTTTTTAAGGATCTTTTTTGTAACAAGTTTCAACTGTCATTTCAGTTAATAGATAATAAATTATATGATTTCTATATATAATCTTTGCACAATAATTATTTACTTCCTATTTTCAATGGTATCCCTTGAGCAAATGTTAAAAAGAGAAATGATGTTTGTTATAAAAATCGCATCATAAAGTGCGTGGCACTTAAGTACAATATATATGGAATTACTGTACTCATACCAGTTTTAGACAATTACATAGAAAACATTGTTAGTTCGTTCACGTGCGTATATTGTCAACCAAAGCAGTGTGTGGTATTATCGAGTGAGGTTATAAAAAATTATACTGGTTTAGTGAAATGGATTCGGGACCAGCTCAGGAAATTACTGAGCTTCTTAAACAATGGGAAGAACAGCACACATCTTCAAACTACGATCCCATTCCGACACTGACAAGGTAATGTCAATGTTCTCATAACCGGCAGAAAATTCGCAACAAGTGTACTTTTAAGCTTATAAATCATTAATTGATGTTAAATCTTCTATGAATTATACTATTTATTAATAATAATGAAGAACCATCACAGTTTTCATACTTAAATGGTTCTTAATTTCGATAAATGTCATAACAATTTTTTTGTCATATTTACAATATTGTGGCATAGTAAATAGAATTTCTTAGTTGAAATAAAGAAGTTTTATCGTACAATCTGAACTGTGCTAGAACTTTCTACATCCATATGGTTTTAACACATCATTATTCTATTCTTAATTCATAAATATGAAGTATTACATTTTCTTCACAATCCAATCAGATATTTTTGTTATAAGTAACAACTACTAACAAATATACTACTTGTAGTATGTTCTAGAACTTTTGAGCAACTATATGTAATAATTAATAGAAATTTCCTTTCTTTTACCAATTTATAACCCATATATAACTAACACTATAATTTGTAGAAGAATTGAAAAGTACATCATCCAGATATCTTTAGAACTTGATATCCACCTTCAACCACCAATATACTTATTACTCCAACATATTTAAGCTATAAACAATTCTGAACCCAATTCAGACCGACTGATCTCAACTTTTCCGATAATCTAAAGAGATTCCAATAACAACTCAGTGTACTGGGATGTTTAATATTATAGAAAGTTACAAGTATATTAAATGTATGAAAAATATATTATTATGGTTCAAAATATATATTTTTACAATTTTCATAATCCCATATTCAAATTATAACTATTATATATGGCTAAGATATTATATAATGTCTGCTACAAAACTTATTATAACTTAAATTATATTTGTTCAAATAGTAATTATATAGAAAATAGGGCATAAATTGAAATATAACATGAATTCGAAAACAGTATTATTTGAGTATAAAAATAATTAAATTAGGTGCACATTAAATTTTTGTGTAAAAATTTTGTTAATAACATGTACTAATATTGTCTCATCTGCTTATGATCATAGTTGCTGCAAAGTAAACGAAATTTTGGTAATATGTACTCTTCTTCCTGGCAAATTCCCAGCTTTAGTCAGGGTCTGCCTTACATGTCGTGAATAGTTTTGGCTAATTGTTTTTACAACCGGCCGCCTGCCTGACATCAACTCTCTTTGGCAATCTAACTTACTTCCATAATGAAAAATATTCATTTATTTAAATGTTATGAAATCAGTTCCCAAAAATTAGATTAAGATAAACAATTGATCGGCTATAATTAATCATATTTTATGCAATATTGTGCAATATAAATATAAAAAAATATATTTTTATGCTCCCATATTGCTCATTACAGAAGTTATTAAAAAAGTTTTTAAAAATTACAGTTAATTGTAATACTTATTTTATTAAAAAGATTTTGGAAATATGGTTTTTCTAGCTATATTTGTGGTTAATACTTATATGGGATGGCTATTAAGGTTTTAGGTAAAAATCTCAATTAATAGAATAAGATTTAGGTACTTTATTTAAATAATTATTTCACTGTCTCTTCACCATAGTTTATTTATTTATTTTTATTTATATACTCTTTATTGCACACATGTTTGTATATCCACAATACATATAGTGTTTCCCGTTTCTCATTTAAAAACCTACATATATTAATATTTTTCTTCATGAGCATGGTTGCTGAAAAGTAATGAAAACGTCAGGAGTATGTAGTTGATATTATAAAAAACGAGTAGTAATATGAAAATATTAGTTTAATTTTCATTAATGTTATAATCAATACTGTATAGATATTCTTCAACCTGTCAATTTCCCAGCTTTAGCCAGGGTCTGCCGATATTATGAATGAAAAACTCTTTACTGCCTGTATGTAGTGTGAAGATGCAAACTTGTAGTAAGCTCATTGATTTAAACACGGTTCTAGTATGTAATTTTTTTATCAAATAGTAGAATGACATAGTGTAAAAATATACTTAAAGATTCCTTATTTCCATACAATATGATCAATTATTATTTTAACTGTAAATATATACTAAAGTTATATATATTTATGTTATAAGTATATATATAGTATATATATATATATATATATATATATATATATATATATACATAAATAACATTTTGGTTCACTTACTCTGAGGCACAAAAACATATCATATTTGATCTTACGAGTTTTGAATAGAAATAAATAATACTTTCTAAAAGTTGTATAATTACTTATTTAAAACAATGTTTAATAATTTATGTGTTTAATTTACAAAAATGTATTGTCTTACTATAGTTTTCAATGACGCATAATCTCCTAATCTCCTAAAAATTCTGTAGGGATCAACTTTTGGGCACATTGACACTGACCAAATATACATGTATAACACTACTTTTGGCCCGTGACTGCATCTGCATTAGTTTAGAATTAGAAATGTATAACATATCTGGTATATACTCTATTTCTCTTTAAAGGCAGCAAATAAGATTTTGAATTTTATTAACTTATTTTTTTTCTTTTTTACTGTCCTTTTCCTGGGTCTAAGCTATACCTCCATCTATTTACATCCAAATCGGTACAGATATTCTTGAGTTATAAATAGTGTGACTAACATACATTTTCAGTCTCTTAATTTATATATAAACATTACAGGATAGCGGAAATCATAGAAGCAGAGACGGAGAACTTCATGAAGAAGGATCCGGACCCCTTCGATGAGAGGCACCCCTCCAGGACAGACCCGGAGTGTGCCCTCGGACATGCACTCAAAGTTATGTTTAAAAAAGATAATTTTATGACTAAGGTAAACTATGGTTTTATTATCAGATCTAAGATTTTCTAGTATTCATTTAAATGAAACTAATATTTTCGGATTTACTAGGTGCTTTTTATTTTTGTGACACTCACATCTCATCTGCCCGTGATCATGGTTGCTGTAAAGTAGCCGAAACGTGGGGAGTATGTAGTTTATAGTCAAAAATAAACCGCGTAGTATATACGAAAAATATTAGTTTCATTTATATGGTGTAATTATTTAAAAGTAAAACGTAGGTATATGTATATATATGTACTCGTATATGTTATTTCCTCTAAAATTAGCACTTAAAATATATCTGTGGATTTTACTCTGGGTTCATAAGGTCAAAATTATTATGTATCAAAATGGTTGAGCATATCTTTTACATTTACAATCTTATTAAGTAATTTTACTTTCATTTACAAATTCGTTAATATAATGTGTAATGAAAAAATTCATGACACATCGAACCTGTGACTTTGCTGATATAAAATTTCGGTCGTTTTAACAAATGAGCTACCTAGCTAAATGTCTATCATACTACTAGGTAAAATTAACTTTTTGCACAGTGATATAAGAATTAAAAGGTGTTTTATATGAATAAAATTATTAAAAATATGGTTGTCTTAAAACCTATTACTTTTAGATAAATAATCAAACCTTAAATAGAACAAACTACTTATTATCTTAAACCAAAACACTTTAAATAAGTTAAATTCATTTTCATAAATAAATGACAAACAGTGTTTCCACTAGAACGATTTCTTTTTCCCACACTTCAATTCAGATTTCCCCTTCTACGGACTTTTTCCCCCTCAAAAATTATTTTGCTATAGTTTTGACACCACACGCCACACCTAAAATTTATCGTTTATTTATCGTATTTGTGTTTTATTTACAGACTGACCAGCAATATAATAAAAACAAAAAATGGAGTTGTATACTCATTTTTTATGCCAAATCAGTTAACGTTGTCAGCGCATACATTTTTGCACAAAATAATATTTTACGTCTCCTCCTCAAAACCCTCATTTATCTTTGATTTCCCAATTTCCCCTTTTATAGTCTTTCCCCTTTTCTTTTCCCTCTTGACCCTAATTTCCCCTAAATTTCCTAATTTCCCCTCAATATGGAAACACTGATGACAAATGCTTTCCCGCGTAGAAGTGAACAAACCAAATGTCATCGCTTTAGCGTCACTTCGGGTGCGTTCGGGAATTTAAAGGTTCGGTTCAAATTAAATGTGTATTTCCTACATACAGAGACGAAACCTCTCATCATTCCTTGTATTCACGGTGCGTGTGTCGGGTCCATCGTTGTAGTGAGAGGAGCTTCAACAGTGACTGGGACTTGCGACCCAGGTGTAGTTTTAAGAGGTCAAAGTTTATATATATGTTGACTTATTATGTACTTTTTCCACAGCTAGTAAACGACTATCTCCGCGACACGTACTACAGCCGTCAGAACATAATGGGTCAGGATGTACACAAGCTGAACGTAGCTGCATGCAGGTTGACCCTCGACCTTATGCCCGGCCTCGAGATGAGCGTCGTGTTTCAGGTATAACCACTTCAGGTATAACAATAATAGCTGCGCCCCGCGGTGTTACCCGCGGATTTCCGGGATGTAAAGTAGCCTATGTGTTATTCCTGGACGTCGGCTTCCTGTATACAAAATTTTATCAAAATCAGTTCAGCCGTTTGAGCGTGAAAAAGTAACAAAAAACACACACACTCACAAACTTTCATTTATAATATAAGTGGAATGTCTTCTTATTATAATTATGATTTATTATTATGGTTTATAACTCTATAATTACTTATTTTGAAGTATTCAAGTATTACTTTAAGTCATAATGGCCTAGTGGTTAAAAGACTCGCCTCTCATGCACGAGGGCGCGAGTTCGATCCGATCCTGGCAAGTACCAAAGTGATTTTTTTGAGTGATATGTACTTTATAAGAGTATTTAGACATCACTGATTGATGCATTCCCAAAAGGGTTGATGTCAGGCAGGCGGCCGGCCGTAAAAACAATTAGCCAAAACTGTTTTAAACATGTAAGGCAGACCCTGGCTAAAGCTGGGAAATTGCCAGGTAGTAGAAGAAGAGTTATTTCGAAGTATTATTAAATTCATAGACGGGACATTTATAGAACCTACGACTGGTAGGATGTAAAGTTTCAGCCACTTTGCTAACTGAGCTATCGTGCACTGAACATATATAAATACATTCTTATAAACGAGATTATAATATTTTTTCTATTAATTAAAAAAAAAACCGATACAATTTTACTATAAATTAAATATATGTACACAAAACTGAAAATAATGTTAAATTAATAATTTCAGCAAAACTTCGTATCGCCCTATAATCAAGAAATATCTTTTACGTTTTTTTATTTATATTTTTGGAGTTCTCCATGTTCTTAAGTGCTACAGAATGATTGACATATTAGTTAGTTGTCAAATCTAATGTCAAAAAGAAACGTTTGTATCAACAACCACTAATAAATTAAAAATTAATTAAAAAAACATTATCCAGCGGACAAAATTGTGAATCTTAACCATTCCCAGATCCCCTTGAACACACCCAAAAAATTTCATAAAAATCGGTCAAGTCGTTTGAGAGAAGTTCAGTGACATACACTCACAGAAGAATTATACCGGGTGACTGGTGAATTACTATCAATATTTAAGGAGAATACTCGGTACATGATTCTCATTCGAATTATGTAAAAAAATAGGTACTTAATTTTTGACAAAATTTCCGTATAAATAAATAAAGTGTTGACACGTTCCAAGTATTCCAAGTGTGGACGCGTGCGGCGGCGTGCTGATACAACACCACGCCCCGCTCGCGTATGTGTGAGTGTGAGTGTATACCTAATCTGTAGGGTGTTCACACGATGCGTAATTAATTACATAACTTTTGGTTACCTTTACTTAGAAGTTTATTAATATTTATGTTATATTAATTTTTATTTTGTCATATATGATCGTCAAATATCACGTCCTCAAGTATCGATAGTAATTCACCAGTCACCATGTATATATAAAGATATATAATATATTTTGAAGGACAACGAAGCCCTCATCCATCGCCTTGTCAACTGGGCAACCAACTCTCCAGAACCTCTGCAGTGTTACGCAACAGGACTCCTGGCTGCTGCGATGGAAGTACAGGAAATTGCAACCAATTTTAGGTGAATCCATCAAGTATACTTTGTTTATGTCATTAGAGATCTTTTTAAACTGGACCATATAGTTTTAATATTGAAACCAGTTTAGATGATACTTCCTTTATCTAATTATATCTTGGATACTTCCTTTATCTAATTAGAGATCTTTTTAAACTGGTCAATATAGTTTTAGTATGCAACCAGTTTGAAATGAACCCAGTACGTATACTTCCTTTATCTAATCAGAGATCTTTTTATTCTGGTAGATTTTGTTTCAGTATTGAAACCAGTTTAGATGAACCCATAATATTTACTTCGTTTATGTAATTAGAGATCTTTTTAATCTGGTATATTTTGTTTATGTATTGCGACCAGTTTAAGGGTTTTTTTATATCGGTTTATATTTTTACTTATTAAAATCACTAACCAATTATAGACGAAACATTTTTATATAACGATTTAATATAACAATGGAGCATTTTTTATTGGTTCATTCAACTAATAACCAATTTAGCTAGAACCCCATTTTGATATTATTCCAATATTGAAATAGATCTTGATATAATGGTGGTAATATTTCAGAGATCTGAATGCTATGCTGGTGCCGCTGATGCTGAAGAGGCTACATGACCTTAGAAATAAGTCCCTCGAAGAAAAAGTAAGTGAAAATATTGATATGTCTAATATTTGAAACTTAGTACAAGTTCTCGTAGTCACTACATACTTATAGCTTTGCGTTCTGAAGATTAAAAATGAACTTCCAAAGCTACTGAGCCGTTTCTGATGAAACTTTTCATTGATATATTCGTGTTTTCTTTTCAAGCCAAGCCAGAATCTGGTGACCCCTCCGAATCAAACGCGGCATTTCGCCAGGTTTGACAGGAAGAGGAACAATGATGGGAAGACGAGCAACGGACCAACACCAGAAAAGAAAGGTATAATCCCTACTAATATTATAAATGCGAAAGTAACTCTGTCTGTCTATCTGTTACGCTTTCACGACTAAAACACTGAACTGATTTTAATGAAATTTGGTACAGAGATAGAGTTGACCTTGAGAAAGAACATAGGATAGTTTTTATCACAGACTTTTGAAAGGTTCTCTTGGAAACGCGATATTACCGAACTCCACGCGGGCGAAGCTGCGGGCGGAAAGCTAGTAGTAATATATGTGAGAGGAATGAATATCAGTTGTTTTATCAATATAATAGATTGAAATGTAAGGGAGAAGTTCTTTATGTGTGTGTGTGTGTGTATATGTGTGTTTGATTGTTTGTATGTGTGTGTGTGTGATAATCTCAGCTTAGTAACAGTTATTGTAAAATTACAACTTAGTTGATTGTTCTGAATAAAGGAAAGAATGAAGTAAATATTGAATTTCTTCTTATCTCCGAGGGCGTCGGCAATCCACACGCATCGGTCAGCTACAATCTGATTGGTGCGACGTGAGTGCCGGCGTTCCTCAAGGCGGCATATTATCTCCTCTGTTATTTTCTGTTTTTATAAACGCCATCACCAAAATTTTAACTTCGCACTACCATCTGTATGCCGATGACTTGCAGCTCTACGAACACTCTACTGTCAATGATCTTGCCGCGGCTATTAGCTCCCTGAATGATAATCTCCACCGCATTTCTCTTTGGTCCGCTAAATATGGTATCACTGTCAATCCCTCCAAGTGTCAAGCCATCATTATAGGCAGCGGGAGGCAGTTAGCGAAGCTAGATGTTCCGACTCTGCCCAGCCTACGATATAATAATATACCAATAGAGTTCAGCAGTAGTGTTAAAGACCTCGGCATTATCATTGACAGTAAACTCAGTTGGGGGGAACATATTAAAGAAGTTTCTCGTAGGTTTTATGCCACTATGCATTCCATGATGCGTTTAAAAAATTTTTTGCCTATGGAAACTAAAATCCAGCTTGCTTCTACCCTCTTGGTTCCAATTATTGACTACGGTGACTCCTGTTACTTAGACCTGTCGGAAGAACACCTCCAAAAACTTAATCGTCTTCTAAACAACGGCATTCGCTTCATCTTTAGTTTACGCAAGTTCGACCACGTTTCTCGTTTTAGGAAGCAGTTACACTGGCTTCCTATACGGGAACGTAGGTATACTAGGATTCTATGTCTTCTCTACTCTATTCTTACCGACCCTAATGCTCCCACCTATTTATCCTCTAAATTTTCTCTTCTCTCCTCTACTCATAATAAGCCCCTACGATCCTCTCAATCCCTTACCCTTTTCATACCTCCCCATAAATCTGGCTTTGTTTCCAACTCCTTCTCTTTAGTCGCAGCCCGGCTTTGGAACACTTTGCCTGACTCTATTCGTAGAGCCCCTTCGCGCGATTCTTTCAAGCGTCAAGTGAAAGAATTTTATCTGTCGTCTGTCAACACTATGTGATGTCTTTTCTTCTGTACTATTGTCATTATTGGATTCATATATATATTCATATATATTTGTGTATATATGTTAAATATTTATGTACTTGTATATGTATTTGTTTGTGCATATTTATGTATATTATGTATATGTATGTATTTTATATCATGTATATATTTTTAATGTTTCTTTAACTTCTGTGCACACCCTACTTACTTCTATCCTACACTTTCTGGGTTGGCTGGCAGAAAATGCTGTAATAGCGTTAAGTCCGCCCTTTGTACACCTCTGTTTGTGCAATAAAGAATAATAATAAAAAAAAAAATTAGGCAGTATTCCAATAAAACTCTTTGTTAGATTTCTATGAGCTAAACACTTTATTGAAAGCAAATATGACACACCGCGTTAAGAGTTATAATAACATAGATCACAGATAATATAGAAAATATATATCACCTATCCACAGACTATCTTACTTTATAAATTTATTTATTCAACAATATATATAAATAAATAAGAATTCATAGTTCATTGTACATCTTTCTTGGGTTACAAGACTAATATGTAGTACATAGATTTGGGAACAAATTTTGATGAAAATAATACAATTCAATTATTATATTAACATGTTTAATATTTTCCAATAAGAAGACATTACATATATGTATATAAATTCATTTATTTTTATATGTATGTTTGTGATTTATTTCAGATCGTTACAAAGATGATGGCGGAGGAGGTGACTCGTTCATGGAAGACTCGCCAGCCAAGGACCCAGCTACACCCGTCAAGAATAACAACTGTACGGACAAACATACATATATATATATATACAACATATATTAACAATTTTTCCGAGTCATATGTATTTTCTAAGAGTATTTAGACATTAATGATTAATGCATTCCCAAAAAGAGGGTTGATGTCAGGCGGTCGCCTGCCATTTTTGCCTGGTCGTAAAAAACAATTAGCCAAAACTATTTACAACATGTAGCCGGGAAATTGCCAGGTAGAAGAAGATACAACATATACTATAAAAAATACATATACAATAGCAATGAGGATATAGCAATGTTTATGTTATGAGAAAAAATTACTGAACTGATTAACATAAAATCTTTCAAAAATTATAATTTCAATAAATGAAACTAATATTTTCGGATAAACTACATCATTTTTTACTTTTGAATAATAAATACATTGGTAAAACAATAAAATACGTTGGTTATTAGTATCTATTTTTTTTCTGCAAAATATAGTCATATTCGTTTAGTCATTAATTGAATTTTGGGAAAAAAATTAACATCATTTGTATACCAGTCCATTGAATTATGTTACTCATTCTGAGCGAACTACTTTCAGGTTTGCACTGGACAAAAAATCATGTTGTATAATATATATCGGATTTATTAAAAATTCGTTGTTTTTTAAACAGAGACACGCCAGCCTCGCTGATTTCACTAATTTCACTTCTTCTAGAACGTTCCATGATATTTTAAAATGAATCTTAAATTGTTCTTAATGTTCTTGTATTTCTCGAAGGTTCTTCATAATCACATTCTTCAATGATACGCAGTCACTGAACTCTCAACTCAGACGTCATATTTATACTCAAATTCAAACATAGTCCTATTATCCTTTTAAACAATCTTTGATTTCGTTTTACTTTTAACAATAATAATAATAATAATATACTTTATTGTAACATAGTAATTTAACAATAAAAATGATATATATACAAAATACAAGTAGACGCACAATAAGGCGGTCTTATCGCTAGGTAGCCATTTCTACCAGACAACCTTATGGGCATAGAAACACAGTCGTGATAATCATGAATACTAATAAGTTTTTATAATATTTGATGACAGATTCAAGTTATTTTCATGTCGCATCTACATATATTTAAAATATTAGCGTTGTTGGTAACTCAAATAATTATAACTTCCTTTTTGTTATCAATGATTGTTTATTATCTTATTGTACTGATATTATTGTTGTTTTTTCTTCTTCACTTTGTTTAAAATTTATTCTTACAGATTCTATTAAATGTTTGAGTGTAGTGTTTAGTTACCTTTGTGAATTTGTGAATATGCCGATGGTATTTCTAAAATTAATAAATAAAATAAAATAGTATGTTGTATGTTCGTCTGATGTTCCAGGTGGCAGCGAGTCCCCCCGCTGGCGCCTCATGAGCCCTCCCGCGCGGCCGCCCGCGCCCCCCACTCTACACGAAACGTCTAGTAATTCTAGCTGGGTTGAAATGGAGACATATGTTATAGGTAAAAATATAGATTGACTAATTATAATACATATGTACTAGAAGACCCGGCGAAATTCGTATCGCCCTATAATCAAGAAATATCTGTTACGTTCTTTTAATTTATATTTTTGCGACAGAATGATTGACATATTAGTTAGTTGTAAAATCTTATGTCAAAAAAGAACGTTTGTATCGACAACTATGTACTTATAAATTAAAAATTAATTGTCCAGCGGACAAAATTGTGAATCTAAACCATTCCCAGATCCCCTTGAACACACACAAAAAATTTCATCAAAATCGGTCCAGTCGTTTGAGAGAGTTCAGTGACATACACACTCACAGAAGAATTATATATATAGCTGAATAGTCCAAACGACTAATGCAATCAGCCTGTTCTAATAGGTTCTAATATAGCTCGTGAAAATCAATTTTTGTATACCATATAGTCTAATTACCATTTTTATTATATTTGTATATTCTTAACAACGTTTTCTGAATCATAGTAACATTATATATAGTTAATTTTATTAAGATTGGTTTTAGTTTTCAATAAACAGTTTTGGTAGAATTTTAAGGGATTGATTGAATTTATATGTTTAGACCTGACTAACAATCACACAACTATACAGGGTGACTGGTGAATTACTATCAATATTTAAGGAGCATACTCGGTACATAATTCTCATTCGAATTATGTAAAAAAAATAGGTACTTAATTTTTAACCAAATTTCCGTATAAATAAATAAAGTGTGTACACGTTCCAAGTGTTCCAAGTGTGGACGCGTGCGGCGGCGTGCTGATACAACAACACGCCGCCGCGTGCGAGTGTGTGTGTGTGTATACCTAATCTGTAGGGTGTGCACACGATGCGTAATTAATTACATAACTTTTGGTTAACTTTACTTAGAAGTTTATTAATATTTATGTAATATTAATTTTTATTTTGTCATATATGATCGTCAAATATCACGTCCTCAAATATCGATAGTAATTCACCAGTCACCCTGTATATATATGTATGCATATATATAGAACTTATTAATAATTTATACATATATATGTTTTCAGGAAACATACAAATCCATCCGCCTACTGACGCGACCAAACAGATGCTTATATTAAGATATTTGACGCCGATGGGGGAATATCAAGAGGTATACACATACATACTATATATATATACTTTTCCCGCTACTACGCCCGCGTAAATGTCATTTCGTTCTCTGCCACTGCAGCCATTGAAGCAAGGATTAAGAGATCATGATAAAGGCTAGCCCCTGTCATTCTTCAGACTTCTATCTATCTCTATACCAAAATTCATCAAAATCGGCTCAGTAGCTTAGGTGTGGAAACATAACATACAGATAGACAGAGTTATTTTTCCATTTATAATATTAGTAGGGATATATAATAAGTTTCACTTAAGCAATCACTAACCTGTCTTGAGCAAGTGTGATGATTAATGCTCAAACCTTCTCCATGTAAGAAGAGAAGCTCAGCAGTGGGCTCGGATAGGCTAAAAAATAATAATATAACAAGTGCAATATTTATTAAATTTACATTTTTATTAGATCAAAAATGCCATAAAAATATACCACATTAATATCTAGATAATTTAAATTACATTTTTTTTGTCAATATGTAATTATTTTCTATGTATTTAAATAAATATTTTCGTTCCAGTTTCTATCCCACGTGTTCGAGAAGAACGCGCTCGGTCTAATCCTCGGTTATCTGAACGTGAGAGAGTCCAGAGACTCGAGGTTAGCTTTCGAAGCTCTCAAGTACTTGGCGGCTCTGCTGTGTCATAAGAAATTCTCGATAGACTTCATCAATATGGGCGGGCTACAGGTAAAACACACACACACACACACACACACACACATATATATATATATATCATATATTAGCTGTAATCAGCGACTTCGTCTGCGTAAAAAAATAAATAAATGAAAAACTTTTTAAGCACCGCGTGTTTCCTGAATCCCACTAGCGCGTTATAGCATTAATATGATAAAAAGTTACCTAAGTTACTTCTTATTACATCAGCTACCTGCTAGTAAAAGTCCCGTCAAAATCGGTCCAGCTATTTCAGAGATTAGCCGGAACATACGGACACACAGACAATTGTAAAAAATGATATTATGGTGTGTGTCTTGTATACATATTCATATGCATGTAGTATAAAACTGTTATAACAATATTACAAACAGGCACTACAATTTTATTTACATTTATATATGATAGTACCAGTGAATGTGTGAGAAAAACTGCAAAGTTAGGCCAGGCGCACACTACGAGTTTTTCGCCGCGCGGTAGAAAAACCAGCGACATTGTACCGTGGGGCAAAACAAATAAAAATCTACAAACGCGCGCACTACGGTTTTCTGCCGCGTCTAAATTATTAGTTTTAAAATGAATTTAGTAGAAACAACTTGTATTTGCGATCTGATAATTAGAGCTCGAAGTAAGAAAAAACGATTTTAGATTCATCCTCTTATTCGTAATCGTTTAAACGACGGACAGTTTTGTAAAATATTTGCCGAACTTAATGATTACCCCGACAAGTTCTTCAAATATTATAGAATGCATAACGTCAAGAATAAACATTTTAATATTGAACTCTTCATCAAGATCATTAGAATTAATTGACGTAGCCATCGTTGCTTAGGAAATGCAAAACAAAATATGTATACAAAACAGCGGCGAAACGTCGCGTAGTGCGCGCATTCAAAGCTATTCAAATATGTTACAAAAAACGATGAACCACCGCGCCGCAAGCAAGTTGTAACTTGTCACAGACATTTCGCCGCTGCGGTGGCTTTGCCGTCAAGTGTGCGCAATACAATTTAAAACTGTTTGGTATAGTATTACAGTGCGACATTAGGCCGCTACTCTTTTCTCCCTCGCGGCGACAAACTCCTAGTGCGCGCTTAGCCTAAGGCTTAAGACTCAAATATATTGCTTATATATAAGTACATATGTATATTTAAACTAATATTTTGGGATTACTACGCGTATTTCATTATTTTTAAAACATTTTCATCTCGTCTGTCTCATCACGGTTGCAAAGTAACCAAAACGTCGCGAGTATGTAGATAAAATAGTAAAATATAGGGAGTAATTCAAAAATATTAGTTTCATACTCGCGAAAGTCTCAGTTATCATTATATTAAACATTGTGTTTCTATAAAAACATTGTATATGAAGTTTCCATGTAATAATTCTATATTCTATTCTATTCTAGAAGTTCCTAGAAGTTCCCCGTCCTTCAGTAGCGGCGACCGGCGTGTCAATCTGTCTATACTACCTCGCATACTGTGAAGATGCTATGGAGAGGGTGTGTTTGATGCCAAGACATATACTGGCTGATCTTGTGAAGTAAGAATATCCCTACTAATATTATAAATGCGATAGTAACTCTGTCTGTCTGTAAGGCTTTCACGCCTAAACCACTGAACTGATTTTAATTTAATTTAGTACAGACATAGAGTTGACCTTGAGAAAGAACATAGGATAGTTTTTATCCCAGACTTTTGAAAAGTTCTGTTGGAAACGCGATATAACCGAACTCAGCGCAGGCGGAAAGCTAGTATATATATAACTAAATAACTTTGGAACGATAACAGGAAAGGATAGAGATAGATTTTAAATGAACTTTTAGTGTTTCATCAAGATAAACTTTATTAACATGACTTACAAGTCATAATTGATTGTTTGAATACGTTCGAGCGACACGCATTTCTTCCCTCTCTTTCTATCCCCCCTCTCTAGATGTTAAACGTTTAACGCAACTTTATTTGAAGTTGTATAAGAAGTTTCACTTCAAAAACTCACATATTTATATGTTTTTTGGATTATATTTATTCTATTTGAACTTAAGAAAAATGTATATTTAAATCTCAACATCACTATGTATAAGATTGGTCTATTTAACTCAAATATCTCTTATTATTTTTTTCGAAAATGAGCAATTCTCAATAATATATATATATATATATATATAATTATATATAATATTTGTTCCAGATATGCCTTATGGTTGTTGGAGTGTTCCCACGATTCGGGCCGGTGTCATGCCACTATGTTCTTTGGACTGTCGTTCCAATTTAGAGTCATACTAGAAGAATTTGATAATCAGGTAAAGAATACTATATATTTATATGTATTATAATGATTTAACAGATAAAATGTACTTTTATACTTATATTATAAATACAGCAATTTATTAATATTTAAAAAATACTGAATTGATATTAAAGAAACGGCTTCGCGAAAGTTGTAGAATGTTCTCGATATAAACGACAGCGTCATCTCGTGACGAGTAGGCGAAACTATTAGCTATACGTTGATTAAAACATTACATATTAATATTTAAAATAAGTAGAAATATTGAAGTAATGTTTTGGATGATTCTAGATTTCTTTTGAGCATGTCTTTACAGAAACAACACACAAGCGAACGAAATTATATAATTAAGTAAATTTAGTGTTTTTCTATATATATATAATACCGCGTTCATATTTCTAATTAAATCCTAGCTCTAACAATATATTGAAAACCTAATTAATTCTCGACTACGCGGACGAAGTCGCGGTTAAATTCTTCCTGGCAACCTCCCAGCTTTAGCCAGGGTCTGCCAAATTATAGTAGTTTAATACTATTTCTTTATTCAGGATGGTCTTCGTAAGCTATACAACGTTATATCAACGTTACCAATACTAGGCTCTGATGAAGAAGAGGCTCGAGTTTCTGATGACGAAACTTGTGCGGCGCGTCAGATAGTACGACATGTATGTGTGGCGCTTAGGAGGTAATAATATAACCAGTATAAAATGATCTATATTTATAGGAAATTTGTATCAAAATACGGTTCAGCAATTTAGGTGTAATAAACTAGTAACCAATATAACATGATCTGTGTTTATAGGAAATTTGTATCAAAATACGGTTCAGCAATTTTGGTGTAATAAACTAGTAACCAATATAACATGATCTGTGTTTATATGAAATTTGTATCAAAATATGGTTCAGCAATTTTGGTGTAATAAACTAATAACCAATATAACATGATCTGTGTTTATATGAAATTTGTATCAAAATACGGTTCAGCAATTTTGGTGTTATATGTACAAAATAGCACCTGTCTTTACGTGTATTAGATTATATATAATCTGTGAATCAGTATAACATGATCTGTATTTATATGAAATTTGTATCAAAATACGGTTCAGCAATTTTGGTGTTATATGTACAAAATAGCACCTGTCTTTACGTGTATTAGATTATATATAATCTGTGAATCAGTATAACATGATCTGTATTTATAGGAAATTTGTATCAAAATATGGTTCAGTAGTTCTGGTGTGTTATAGAGACAAAATTTCACTTGCCTTTATATGTAAACTGTGAACCAGTATAACAAGATCCATGTTTCTTGGAAATTTGTATCAAAATACGGTTCAGCAATTCTGGTGTGGAATATGCTAAATAAATAGTTTGCCATTTTGTTTATACTAATAATAGTTATGTTTATATAGATATTTCGAAGCCCACCTTCGCATCAGGGCGGTGCAGGTCGCGTGGCAGCAAGGCGACAACCTACCACTTCCACCACCATATAAGGTTATATATATAGGAATACGAAATGTGTGTGTGTGTTCGTTTGTTACAGGAAACTGTGTGTATGTACGTAAGAAGTGCCTGAATACGTGTGAGTATATATGTACATATGTGTGCGTGTTATTGTGCGCATATGTGTTTCAGCTTACTGTATGTGTGTATATGTGTGAGAAGGTATGAATCTACTAGTGTGCATGTGTTGGAATCTTTATATTTATAAATCATATAAATTAATATCTCACCAAAAACATGCCTGTTAAAAAGGGGGCCAAGTTCCAATCGGCTAATTGTTTGCCTAAAAAAGGGGTGAAATCCAATCTAATGCCAAGTTTAGATGCACTTTGAAATCGATCATAATCATCTTCATCAACAGCATGATCCACTGGTAAACATTTGCCATTCCCAAGACTCGCCACCACACCCAGTCCTCTGCCTTCCACATCCAGCCACTACCCGCCACCTTATTCACGTCAACGGTCCATCTGAACGAAATTCACTTTACCATACACCCAACTTAAAATATGGTATAGTTGTGAAAATACGTAGGTGCTTGGTTAAAAATATCTAAAATTATAATACTTCTCAATTTGAACTTGGCAGGTTTTTGTGCTGTACGTAACACTTAATTAATTGTATCATTAATTTATTATTAAGTTATATAATTACTTATATTTATATAATTTAAATATACTAAATTTAAATAATTAAATTAACCTGCCAAGTTCAAATTTAGAAGTATTATAATTTTAGATATTTTTTTACCAAGCACCTACGTATTTTCACAACTATACCATATTTTAAGTTGGGTGTATGGTAAAGTGAATTTCGGTCAGATGGACCGTTGACGTGAATAAGGTGGCGGGTAGTGGCTGGATGTGGAAGGCAGAGGACTGGGTGTGGTGGCGAGTCTTGGGAATGGCAAATGTTTACCAGTGGATCATGCTGTTGATGAAGATGATTATGATCGATTTCAAAGTGCATCTAAACTTGGCATTAGATTGGATTTCACCCCTTTTTTAGGCAAACAATTAGCCGATTGGAACTTGGCCCCCTTTTTAACAGGCATGTTTTTGGTGAGATTTCAATACTTTTTTTCAAGAAATCGTACATACAATCGTACTATACAGCCGTACAATGCATAACTTACAGCATGAAACATACAGCTACCATCTGATGGCATAGGAATTACCCTATGTGGTATATCTCCGCCAACCACCGAAAGATGTACAATTTTCATCGTTGGTAAATGAATAGTAGAAAAGAAATAGAGTGAATTTGTGCTTTTAACACACACAAGTAATCAATCAATAAGCAATATCAAAATTAATCCTTTAGCAAGTCAAATCAGTGATCCATTTAATCGTAATCGTAACCATATATAAGATATCAAGATATAAGTGTAGAAAGAAATAGAAAGAAATGACCATCGATTCCTTATCGACTTTCATTCATATATACTGCAGACAAAACAATATCGCGATTCAATTATACCGCTAGCACCATCTATCGAAAGTAATTTATAACAATAGATACCTGATTTTTTAGGTAAGCAATATTTAATTAAGTTATACAGTGTGCATAATGTATACATGACAATATTTTTTATCCCTTATATATATATATATATATATATATATATATATCAGTTCTTAAGAAGCGCCCCACACTTTTTTCACAATAATATTAATTTAAAAATAAATTAACAAACAATAAATGGTATTTTTGTGAAAAAAAAGCGTGATGAGCTTCATATATCACTTCTTGAGAAGCGCCCCACGCTTTTTTTTCAATAATACCATTTATTGTTTATTTTAAACAATTTAAATTAAATTGATTTCCAAGGTTGTAAAGGTTAAATTAGTTTCCACGCGGTTTCTTTCATCATTGGAGCGTGTTTTTTAGTTTTTTTTAAACTATATTTATTTTTTATTTTTTAGTTTCATTTATCACCGATTGAAAGATGTACTCATGTTATTAATCATTAATATTTCATTATTATGTATTTTATTGTGCTGAGCTGAGCGCCTATATAAAGGTTTTGATTACCTGTCAGTGAGTCAGTGCCAAAATTTGCTATTTTCACAGGGTCATATTTCAGGATCTACTGAAGCTTTATCTATGAAATTTGGCATACTGCTTTAGGACTAGTATATGATTACGTAGGTACAATTTTATCTCTGTACTTGCAATAGACACTGAGCTACAGGGGGTCAAAAGTGGGTCGAATTTATTAAAAATTCGATATTTAGAATTGAGGCAACTCACGCTTGACCGATTTCTTAAATTTCTTAATTTTTTGTTAATCTACATATAACACACAACCTGTGTACCAAATTTCATAATGCTAAAACAATGGGAAGTGGCCTAGAGGTTTTGATTACCTGTCAGTGAGTCAGTGCCAAAATTAGCTATTTTCACAGGGTCATATTTCAGGATCTACTGAAGCTTTATCTATGAAATTTGGCATACTGCTTTAGTTCTAGTATATGATTACGTAGGTAAAATTTTATCTCTGTACTTGCAATAGGCACTGAGCTACAGGGGGGTCAAAAGTGGGTCGAAACGGTTCGTGTAAATATAGTGCACGGCATGCGCCGGCCTGTGGAACTTGGCCGGCGCACTACCGTGCGCTTAGATAACATATGAATAACCATGTTTTAATAACACTCTTCTTCTTCCTGGCAATTTCCCAGCTTTAGCCAGGGTCTGCCTTACATGTTGTGAATAGTTATGGCTATTTGTTTTTAAGATCGGCCGCCTGTCTGACATCAACCCTCTTTGGGAATGCATTAATCAGTAATGTCTAAATACTCTTAGAAAGTACATGAGTCGGAAAAATCACATTGGTACTTGCTGGGACCAGAATCGAACCCGCACCCTCGTGCATGAGAGGCGAGTCTTTTAACCAGTAGGATACCACTGATTTAAAATATGTGTGACCGATGGTCGAGAGGATTTCGTATCTCTGACATGTTTATATTGATATCTCTGTTGTATCACATTCCAGGCGTCAAAATCATCTCCAGAAGAGCTTCAAGAGCAGTTGGAGGCTGTGCAGGCGGCGGGCGTGTGTAGATGGCCGCCCTGCGACGAACTACGAGATTTGGGGGGGATCGCTCTACTTTTACAAGTAGTGGGATACGCTTATGAGTGGAACTTTAACGGACGGTGAGTAGGGGGGAGATGCTAATTAATAATCTATTACACTTATATATGTATATTAGCAGTCATTTATTTATTTATTTGAATGGCACATCAACAGTACATACATTAATCACTTAAAACTAAACATTTAAAACTGACACTTATCTGATGTATGTACCAGTCATAGACGTACACAGCACTGCTGAAGATTATTTTCCGAGTCATATGTACTGTAGAGTGTTGAGATACCACTGACAGATGAAGGAAAATATGAGGAAACCTGGACTTACAATATCACAATTATAAATTTAATTTAAATTTAAGTTACCTTGTACACTGAGCTACCACTTCCATATATAAATACATATAAAAGAAAGTTTTGTTATTTACACTTTTTATATGTATTACAAGAACTTGGAAGAAACCAGGCGATTATTCTGATCAATCGAAAAGAAATACAATATCTTCTTATCTAATGTCTTTAATGAGGAATAGAGTTTTCTCAGTCCAATAAATTTCTAATTCCGAAACTAACTCAGACGAAGTCGCGAGCAAAAATTTGTATAATCTTCTATCTTCTATATATATAAAAATGGATTGCTGTTCCTTAGTCTCTCTAAAACTCGAGAACAGCTGAACGGATTTATCTTATCTTAGTCTTGAAATGTTCGTGGAGGTTCAGGGAAGATATAAAAGCTGAAAAAATAATAATTTCCGGGAAAACCCTAAAAACAGCGCTTTTCTATTTCCCATACAAACGGGTTTTTTGACATTAGATTTGACAACTAACTAATATGTCAATCATTCTGTCGCACTTCAAAACACGGAGCTTTATGGCTTACAGGTAAACTCCAAAAATATAAATAAAAAACGTAATAGATATTTCTTGATTATAGGGCGATACGAAGTTCGCCAGGTCTTCTGGTACATAATAAAATTCAAATACAAATAACTACATAAGTCATCACGGTAGCTCAGTATACAAAACATACTTATACAGTAGAAACTCGATTAACCGGACTAATTGTTGTCGATAGGCATTCGGATAATCGAGAATCCGAATAACTGAATGTATAAAGAAAGGCCGATTTTCTGCTTATGTAGTTCATAATATTATATGTTTATTTAAAAAATAAATTACAATATGTATTTGGTAATTTGCAATTGGTGATCATGAATTAAAATAATAAGTTCAATTTGCTTTAAATATCTGTTAATTGTCATTTGACGTACGCCACTCTCAACAACACCACTTTCTTACGCTTTGACATTTTTTTCTTGTCGGTACTTATATATCTGAGGGCCGGATAATCGAGATTCTACTGGAATTATATTCCCTTAGCAATGGGTTCGTTTCCAGTTTGTTTTATAATTATAATAATTGTTTTGTGTATGTGAAGTGCGGAGACTGTACGGTCGGCGCTAGACGTGGTGTCAATGTGCTGCGTGTCGCCCAGGGTGCAGCTACTACTGACCGAGAAGATTGATATGAGAGATGCGGATCTCACTACCGGCGTACATATAGTACTAGGTGAGGAAAACTATACACTAATATTATAAATGCGAAAGTAACTCTGTCTGTCTGTCTGTTACGCTTTCACGCCTAAAACACTGAACCGATTTCAATGAAATTTGGTACCGACATATAGTTGACCTTGAGAAAGAACATAGGATAGTTTTTATCACAGACTTTTGAAAGGTTATCTTGGAAACGCGATATAAACGAACTCCAAGCGGGCGATATTGCGGGCAGAAAGCTAGTAGAAATAATATTTGAGGATTTATTATGTGTTTTTAATATTATTTTATCTATATACACCCAAAAAAACAAGACAAGTTGACAGACTTTTATATTTGGTCTGTCCCTGATCACTGTTGCTGGAAAGTAACCGAAACGTCGGGAGTATGTAGAAAAATAATATTTTATATATATACTAGCTGACTCGGCAAAAGTTGTTTTGCCATATAAAAAAATAGGGGTTAGTGATAAAATAGTAAAAATTTTGGGTTGTATCTACAAATACATATTCGTCCGAAAATAAAAAATAAAAAAATTAAAGGTAAACAGCCTTATGACTTAAGCATATGAAAAATAGATGTTGGCCAATTCTCAGACCCACTCAATATGCGTACAAAATTTCATCAAAATCGGTCCAGCCGTTTCGGAGGAGTTCTCTGTCTAACAACGCGACACGAGAATTTTATACATATATAAGATATATAATATAAGAGTATAATATAATATTTATTAGTTATAAATAGATCTAAATAAAAAAAATACCTAGAAGTGTTATATATTATATATATATTTAAGAAGAAATTATATTTTAAGACTAAATACAAGTGTTTATTTAGTTTCTTCATGTAAAATTTAAAAACAAATGTTTTTTAACTAGAATTTTAATAATTTTTTCTATCTCTAACTAACTGAACACTTGTGTTTTGTAGAAAAACTCAGAGGCGCGCTACCGGACTTGAATTCGAGACAAAACGGTGAGAGAAATATAATTTGAACAAAAAAACAACATTTATATATAAAAAATAGCAATTTAACTGAGTTTTTCTACACTTTAACTTGTTTTTATCGTAAATTTCCTCATATGGAAGTTAATATGTCAGTATCACATCACACATACATACACTCGCCTCCAACATATTATATATATATATATATATATATAATTTCTATGTATGTAATATAATTAACATATAAATACAACTTAGATATCGTAATTTCTTCGAAGATCTTTCAAAAACTATATATGATACAATAGCTCACTTAGTAAAGCGTCTTACACTCGTAATCCCATAGGTCGCAGGTTCGAATCCTGACCGAGTCAATTTTTATTATATTTATTCGTTTATTTAATATATGTTTTATATCCAGGTGCCGCTGACGGTGATATAGTACCGGAGCCGGAAGTACAAAAGGCTGCTTTGAATGTTCTGGTCAACTGTGTCTGTGCACCCGTACATAGGGTAAGTGTAACTATGAAAAGTATTTAGATAAATTGTGGTAACACATAAATGTTAGTAAGATCACTGGTGGCCTAGTGGTTAAAAGGCCCGCCTCTCATGCACGAGGGCGCGGGTTCGATCCTGGCAAGTAATTTTTCAAAGTCATGTGTATTTGCTCAGCAGTGGGCACCGATAGGCTGATATATTTAAATATGAAAACAATACTATTAATTTCGTTAAAAAATACATAGTTTCATTGGAACATATATACTTTTTATACAGGGTGACTGGTGAATTACTATCACTATTTAAGGAGAATACTCGGTACATGATTCTCATTCGAATTATGTAAAAAAAATAGGTACTTAATTTTTGACCAAATTTCCGTATAAATAAATAAAGTGTGGACACGTTCCAAGTGTTCCAAGTGTGGACGCGTGCGACGGCGTGCTGATACAACACTACGCCGCCGCACGCATGTGTGTGTGTATACCTAATCTGTAGGGTGTTCACACGATGCGTAATTAATTACATAACTTTTGGTTAACTTTACTTAGAAGTTTATTAATATTTATGTTATATTAATTTTTTTTTGTCATATATGATCGTCAAATATCACGTCCTCAAGTATCGATAGTAATTCACCAGTCACCCTGTATAATGTATATATTTCTGTACGAACTCTGTCTTTATTATATCTTCTACTTGGCAATTTCAGCTTTAGCCATGGTCTGCCTTACATGTAGTGAATAGTTTTGGCTAATTGTTTTTACAACCGCCTGCCTGATATCAACCCTCTTCGGGAATGCATTAATCAGTGATGTCTAAATACTCTTAGAAAGTACATATTATGACTCGGAAAAATCACATTGTTACTTGCTAGGATCGAACCCGCGCCCTCATGCATGAGAGGCGGGCCTTTTAACCACTAGGACACCACTGACATATATATACTTTTTTACATATATATTATTTTCTGTCTTTATAATGTATATATTATTTAACTAGCCATATTTCCAGGCAGGTCCTTCAACCAACCGCATGTCAGTAAGCGGCTCCACCAAGAAGAAAACGGCCGCCAAGAGTTACGAGGACGTGATACAGAAAGTGTGGGAGAGTGTGAGGACTAACAACGGAATTATGGTGAGTATATATATATGGAAACATATATACAAACATTATAATATACTAGGCTTGAACAGGCTTGAGTAATTAGTATGTAAAACCAAATTAAATTGAGAGAGCGAGATGGAAATATGTACAAACATTAGAATATTCGAGGCTTGAACAGACTTGAGTAATTATTATGTAAAACTCAATTAAATTGAGTGTATTTACAAAGACAAGAGTGTAAAGAAGACATATAATTAAAGCTTAAGATATATTATTATATACTCAACATGTGGTTACCGAGATTTGCTCGGTATTTAGGAATTGTTAGTATTTATTTCTTTTATTTCGTGTAAGCCGTTTTAAGTGAACACGTTAAGAAGACAAAACAATATGAATCAGCATTTAATTTCTTAGTCTAACTTCAAAACAAACAATCATTGACTTCCTGATACTCAAAAAGTCGTATTACTATTCGCCAATAGATGTCAGGAAGGATCATATTTTAAACGACTCCTTTGTGTTATTTTTTTTTTTCATAAAATAACATTTTCTAAAAATGATTTGCTAGATCGATTTATCGCCCCCGAAACCCCCTATATATAATAAATTTCATGAAAATCGTTGGAGCCGATTCCGATTATATATAAACATATATACAAGAATTGCTCCTTTAAAGATATAAGAGATATAATCACACGATAATCATTATAAAGAACGTTCCCACAACCATTGTATACACTGTGACTGGTGAATTACTATTAATATTTAAGGAGAATACTCGGTACATGATTCTCATTCGAATTATGTAAAAAAATAGGTACTTTTTTTTTACCAAATTTCCGTGTAAATAAATAAAGTGTGGACACGTTCCAAGTGTTCCAAGTGTGGACGCGTGCTGCGGCGTGCTGATACAACTCTACGCCGCCGCACGCGTATGTGTGTGTGAGTGTATACCTAATCTGTAGGGTGTGCACACGATGCGTAATTAATTACATAACTTTTGGTTAACTTTACTTAGAAGTTTATTAGTATTTATGTTATATTAATTTTTATTTTGTCATATATGATCGTCAAATATCACGTCCTCTAGTATCGATAGTAATTCACCAGTCACCCTGTATATATAGTAAGTGAGCGAAGTCACAGGCACTAGCTAGTATATCAAATCCCCCTATTCACATACTCATATCTCAAGTATTTGATCTCCATATATACACACTGCTGCACACTTATTAATTATTATTATTGATATTTAACTTAATATTTGTCCTGTTGTAGTTGTTATTTTATATTCCTTTTTTGTATACATAGGATAAGTGTTAATCTGTTTGTTATTTGTTTTGTAGTGGTGTAAACGTTTATTATTATTATTATTATTATATGTTTCCAGGTGTTATTATCGCTCATGATGGTCAAATCTCCAATAACTGACGCGGATCGTTTGCGGGGGCTCGCGTGTAGAGCGCTGGCCGGCCTCGCTCGCTGTCCCACTGTACGACAGATAATATCAAAGCTACCGCTCTTTACTACCTCGCATCTACAAGGTGAGAGAGAGAGGGATATATATATATTTATATAGAGAGAGAGAAAGAGATAGAGAATATAAGTGGCGGTCTTAGTATATTCGTATTATGAGATTAAATATAGTGTCATATACCCTATGTGAGTAAGAGAGAGAGGGAAAGATGATGAGGGAAAGAGAAAGCGATAGTATAACAGTATGCCTAGAAAAGTACGTATTATGAGATTTAATACAGAGTGTCACGACCCCAATGTGTGAGAGAGGATATAAATCGTGTTCTTAGAATAATATTGTATTATGAGATTAAATATTGCTCGTATTAAATGTATTATGAATAAAAATGTCACATCTCGTCTGTCTATAAAAACGGTTGCCTCTAAGTAACCGAAACGTCGGGAGTATGTAGTTGAAATAATGAAAAACCTGTAGTAATACACGCGAAAGTCTTAGATATTATTATTATATGTATGTATGTATAAATGATACGATACAGGTCTCTTATTGTGAAGTCCAAATATAATCAAAATTTTAAAATTTGCTAAAACCATAATGCACCTCAACCAATGGAAAACATTGTAATATTTTAAGTTAAGTTTAAGATGGTTAATTATGTCATATGTTAATCTATTATGTAAGCATTGTGTTTTTTCAATAAAGTTTATTATTATTATATGTTTCAGTGTTAATGCGTGACCCGATATTACAAGAGAAGCGCCAGGAGCACGTGATGTTCCAGAAGTACGCTCTGGAATTACTGGAGAGAGTTTCCGGAAAGAGTAAACATATGGGCGCGGACTTTGAAACGTCACTCGCGAATATACACAGGGTGTGTAGAAAACATATATATATACACTAGCAGACCCAGCAAACGTTATTTCGCCATATAAAAATTTGGAGTTGTATGTATTTTTAATGCTACATTATAAATAAATAAAAACAAAAATATTCGTACCAAAAAAATAATAATTAAGGGTGAACAACCGTTATGACTTAGGGGTATGAAAAATAGATGTTGGCTGATTCTCAGAGCTACTCAATATGCTCACAAAATTTCATCGAAATCGGTCCAGCCGTTTCGGAGTTCTCTATCTAACACCGCGACACGAGAATTTTTATATATAAGATTTGCTTAGGAATTAACGATCATTTATTTAATAAACCTCGTCTTCTTAATCACGGTTGCTGTAAAGTAACCGAAATGTTACGAGTATGTTGTTTAAATTACTATAAAATGTGTGGTAATCAGAAGTTATTACTTTCATTTACTAATATTAATATAATCATGGCATATGATGATCAAATATTAATCCAATTACAAACCAACTCATAATTCTATAATAATCTATGCCAACGTTAGCCAACGATGGCCCAACTTACACCAAATATACTTAATATTTGCTTTTATATATATATATATATATATATATATATATATATATATATATATATATATATATATATATATATATATATATATTATATAGCCTTTAACTATAATCTACTTTATAAGATCATTGTACATTATATTTTTTTCCTAATAAAATAAATATATATATTTCTCATTCTACCCACAGGCGAATGTAGTGGCGCAGACTCGCATCACATACAACGAGCGTCAGTTACTACAATTAGTTGCCTCTCATTTATGGGCCCGGGGCCTTCGGGAGTCAGCGGGGGTGCTCCAGAGAGAGGCTCGCCTGCCGGCCCTGGCGGCACCCGCAATACCTCCCACTCCGCCGCCCCCGCCAGTGTACACACCCTCAACGCCTATCAGGGTTGGTATTGCCATAAATAAATATATATTTAGGATTCGAATAAAATTAAATATAGTTGTATAAAGTCAGTATAGCCAAATAACAACTAGAAGAAAGATAATTATTATCTTAAACCAAAACAATTTAAATAAGTAAAATTCAATTTGCCAAGAGAAATCACGTGACAAAATAAATCAAGTATCAACCAGAAGAAAGTAATAATTATATTAAATCAAAACAATTTAAATAAGTTAAATTCAATTTGCTAAGACGAATCACGTGACAACAAATACTTTCCCGCGTAAAAGTGAACAAACCAAATGTATTTCTTTAACATTACTTCGAGTGTATTTGGAAATTTAAAGGTTCGGTTCAAATTGAATGTGAGTTCCATAAATATATAACTGACAATTATAATCTATTCATAATCAAGTGTAATCCTGAGATGTTATCAACAATCAAGTAACTTAAAGAAAGCAAATTTCTTTATATATGTCACCGGAAAATAAAAAGACTCGTAAGTTGATCAATTTTCTAGGTAGTTGATCAACTCTCGGAAAATAATTAGCGGCAGTTGAAATGTACTATTTAACGCATTGAATTTTAGGTAATTGGTCAACTTACGGTACCTAGCCGTAATTTAATAATTAACTATATGCTACAAGTTAAATCATCCACGTATGGACCAATCGTTGCCCAGTGTACTACATATTTGACGTACACTATTATCCGTCACTTACTAAAAATACATGCGTTAAATAGAACATTTCAACTGCCGTTCATTATTTTACGAGAGTTGATCAACTACCTAGAAAATTGATCAACTTACGAGTCTTGTTATTTTTCGGTGACATATACAGGGTGACTGGTGAATTACTATCGATATTTGAGGACGTGATATTTGACGATCATATATGACAAAATAAAAATTAATATAACATAAATATTAATAAACTTCTAAGTAAAGTTAACCAAAAGTTATATAATTAATTACGCATCGTATGAACACCCTACAGATTAGGTATACACACACACTCACACATACGCGCGCGGCGGCGTGTTGTTGTATCAGCACGCGTCCACACTTGGAACACTTGGAACGTGTCTACACTTTATTTATTTATACGGAAATTTGGTCAAAAATTAGGTACCTATTTTTTTTACATAATTCGAATGAGAATCATGTACCGAGTATGCTCCTTAAATATTGATAGTAATTCACCAGTCACCCTGTATATACGGTGTTCAAGTATGTACATAAATAATGCTATATTATATACCGCAGGCCCGGCTGTCCGTGTCACGAACCAGTAGTTGCGGCATACATCGTGAAGTGGATCACACGCACGCACACACACACACGGACGATAGCCCCGCCCCCGCGGTCATTAAACTCAGGTAGAGGGGGGAGGGGGGCTACTTAGAAATGAAACTAATATTGTTTTATATACTCGATAAGAAATCAATGGTAGAAGATGATAAATAACCAGACCAACTGACAGATTCACATCTCGTATTTATGATCACGGTTGATGAAAAGTAACCAAAATATAGGAAGTATGTAGTTAAAATAATAAAAAACGTGTAGTAAATCCGAAAAATATTAGTTTTATATTCCCAGTGTACGGAAAAACCAATATTGGTTTATGAGATACTGTGAAAATTTAGACATAAATGTTAATAATACCAACATTGTAATAAATAAATAATTTAAATTAATACTTGCAAAAGTTTTAAATCTCATCATTTGACGCATATTAAATAGTACTTACAACACAAACTAATGGTAAGTAAAACGTGTTATAATTCAAGGAAAGTGCAAGCCGCCCACGCGCCCACGACGCCCACGTCCGAACACAAGCGCTCACTACAGAAGCAGCTGACCATGGGCGGCGGTGAGCGCGCGCCGTCCCCGCCCCGAGTTACTCTCCACTCAATCATCACGGAGTATCTTTACAATCAGCACGCACTATGCAAGAACCCCGTCGTTACTTGCCCGCAGTTTAATCTACTAGAGTATGATGTTCATTAATTTTATTATGAATCTATCAATATCTTAATCAAGCATAATTCTGTAAATATTTTCTATGGATATTTTTTTTATCATATCGTGAATTTGTTTAAAGAAATATATTAAAAAAATTAGCGGTGTAATAAGAGGACGTAAATAACTAGATATTGGAATTTATTAAGTATATTTTCTTCGATCGAACAGAATTAAATATCCTATGTCCTTTCTATGTTCTAATCTATCTCTCCACCAATTTTCAACCATATCCCTACAGCCGTTATTATAAATAGTGTAACTAACACGATTTTCTTCTATTATATATATGTTATATTTATGAGTAATAATGAAATAAAACAATGAACTTGTGGCACACAATTTACGGCTTCAACGTAGACTGACAACTCACACAGACATTATTTATCTACCTACCATCTGAATTTGTTACAAACACTATAATATATGTATACAATGTTTGTATATATATATATTTCCAGGCCCCACAAATGTCCGGAGCCGTCCCCACAATCCATAGTGACGTGGTCTCGTCACGAGCAAGCCAACCTCGTCTCCCGGCTGGTGAGGCGCGAACTAGGCGCCAACTCAACGCGCGCGCACGCACGGCTTGCGCATGCGCACTTCGCGCACGTGCGCACCCTCCGCCTACAAGACGACGACGCTTACTTTACACACACTATATTCCATGTGAGAATATATATTATGTATATTACAAATTTGGTGGAGAGAGGAGCTTGGACGGTGGAGGTGAGCGTTTAACGCGTTAGATGGGGTCCCTTAAACCTACACCTGGGTCACAAGTCCCAGTCACTGTTGAAGCTCCTCTCTACAACGATGGACCTGACACATGCATATGAATACATTGAATGATGATAGATTTCGTCTCACATATATAAAAATTATTTATGTATCATTTAGAAACAGTTACATTATTATACAAAGGATAACTTATCTCTTAAAAGAGATCTCTATCAGAAAACCTTGTGATAAAGGAAATGAAAACAGACGGTGCCGTAGGTCACTATATGTATTGTTTTAATACTGATGTTCATTCAGTACAAAACATAAAATCGTATTGATATATTTTTCGTAAACTTTGTTTGTATATATAGATGAATTTCATCAAAATGGACATAGTAAAAAATATTATATAATTTATTTTTCAGCCCACACAACAACAGTTGCTAACAGCGACATCTTCAGGTGACATTAGGATATTCAACTTGTTCACGGGCGTCGAAGAAAACTCGTACCAAGTCCACGAATCATATATATATCATATGCAGGTATGTTTTATATTATCAAAACCGATATAGTAATATATTTTTTTTAAATTATCCTATTTTCCAATTTATTTCCAATCCAAATCGGTTCAGGATTTTCGTTGATTTTTGAATATCACTTCTGCTGACGGATTTTACACAAATAAAACATATATTTTAATGTAAAAGTAATATAAATTTATTTATATAGTTTTCCATATAAAATTAGCTTATTTAGCTACTAATTACGTTTGGTGGCAGCGAAGGATGCAAGAAAAATCCGTTTTACTTACAAAATATATTCAATTACCAATTAAGACTTAAATTTAACTACTAGCTAGGGTAGGGTCTTTAAGTCAGCGATTGACTTAAGACCCATTCTATAATTAAGTCTTATAACTAACTACATACTAAAGAGGTGTCTGTAAGTCAGCGGCTGACTCCAGACTGAATATATGTAAAATCCCATTCTTCATTCTCACCGATGGAGCAAGGCCTGTGGTGTCCACTTCACTTTCCCAGTCCCACCGATGGCTCAGAGTCAGCATTCCGTACTTTACACAATTGTTATACCGAAAACTTAATATCGGGTTATGCTTACGTAACATACTTTTGATGATAATTTTGTGTATAAATAATAATATATATATATCCATATACATCGTTTTCCAGGCGAGCAGAGACGGGTCACTTCTACTAGCGTCGTCAACAACATCTTGGAGAACGCTATCCGCGCTTTGGAATATGAAGGAGTTTGAACAATTGTGAGTTTAGATGTTATATATGAGCACCTGGAATATATATATATATACTAGCTGCGCCCCGCGGTGTTACCCGCATTTCCGGGATGTAAAGTAGCCTATGTGTTATTCCCGGACGTCAGCTTCCTGTATACAAAATTTTATCGAAATTGCTTCAGCCGTCTGAGCGTGAAGAAGTAACAAACATACACTCACAAACTTTCGCAATTATAATATTAGTAGGATAAATAAATACTCAATTATATAAGGAAATATAGAATCATTACTATAAAAGTGATTTATATTTTTTGTATATAAATTTTGAATGAAAAATCAGTCATTTTGGCAGCTCTGCCAGATGAATGCATCATTTAATTCTCATATTGCTTATAAATTTATTATCTATGGTCACTATCTTTATATGTTATATTTTAAATCCACTTGTCTCTGTCTATTTATACTTAAATTAATTGTAAAATAGCTTAACCCACCAGTCTAAATATTACTATTAATTGTATTCTATAAATATTATCTACTAGCTTCCCGCCCGCAGCTTCGTCCGCGTGGAGTTTCCAAGAAAGCCTTTCAAAAGTCTGTAATAAAAACTATACTATGTTCTTTCTCAAGGTCAACTCCATCTCTGTACCAAATTTCATTAAAATCAGTTCAGTGGTTTAGGCGTGAAAGCGTAACAGACAGACAGAGTTATGACTGATATATTATTTAACCTTTCGCATTATATTATTTTATATCTAAGTTAATATTTTTATTCCAGATTCCAATTAGACAATGAGGAGTACGTGGAATTCTCCAAGATGTCTGATGATAGAATAATAGGTACTAAAGGAGAGACGGCTAGCATCTTCGACACACGGACTGGCCTAGAAGTGATGACGCTCACGCCGGCTATATCAAACCAATACGCTAAGAACAGGGCCACATTCAACCCCACGGACGAACTGGTGCTGTCTGGTTAGTACACACACACAAAATAACTGATGGCTAGTCAGTAGATAACTGTAACGATAGACACACTCACACATACGCACTCACACACACAAAATAACTTAATTAAATTTGCTTTAAGTGGAAACTTGATTGATTTGTGATTTTTGTTAATTTTATTTTATAATACATAGTTTTTTATAATAAATTGTTTGTTTCCCAAATAAATAAATAAAAATAACTGATGGCCAGTCAGTAGATAATTGTAATTATAGACACACACACAACTCGCGTGAACGAGAAGAAATATGTATAGAAAATAGAAAACATGAAAATATTTGCTGTCTGGTCATTATATGAGTAGGGACAGACATACACACACAAAATAGTCACATGAGACGCTTATGAATACATATAACATATGAAAACGCGAACATTTATACATATATATTAGCTTTTGCCCGCGACTTCGTCCGCGTTAATTTCGGAATTGGTAATATATGTATACCTGACCGGGCGAATTTTATTCCGACCTAGAAGCGGTAAATAACCAGATATTGGAATTTATTAAGTATTTTTCTGTTTCTATCGAACAGAATTAAATATCCTATGTCCTTTCTATGTTCTAATCTATCTCTCCACCAACTCTAATCCAAACCCGTACAGTCGTTCTCGAGTTATAAATAGTGTAACTAACACGACTTTCTTTTATATATATATTAATTGTCACATTTCCTCACCAGATGGCGTATTATGGGACGTGAACACGGGCAAAGAGATCCACAAGTTTGATAAGTTGAACCAGACACACAGCGGAGTGTTTCATCCTAACGGACTTGAGGTATATATATATATATATACTAGCTGCGCCCCGCGGTGTTACCTTGATTTCCGGGATGTAAAGTAGCCTATGTGTTATTCCTGGACGTCAGCTTGCCGTATACAAAATTTTATAAAAATCGGTTCAGCCGTTTGAGCGTGAACAAGTAACAAACATGCACACACACTCACAAACTTTCGCAATTATAATATTAGTAGGATATATAGAATGATATATATAGTATGCTGAGCGGACTATGATGAAACTTGTCTGAAATATTGATCACACATCAGATAAGGATACGGGATAGCATTTATGCTAAATTTCCATATATTTTAAATAGAAATACGTGATAGTAGTTGTATTGTGTCAAGTCACGTGACATATGATAGATGTCGCCGAGTGTAGATTATCATTATAAGCTATTTTTGTTAATTTATCTATGAACAAAATTCCCTAGTCCACAGCAAGAAGTAGCGGAGAAATACTAGTAAATACATATATAAATGTAATGGCATAATGTAATAAACATGCAAATATTCACTACAATTTATGCTTTGGAAACCTCTTCACCTTAAATAGAGCCCTGGTACCCTATAGCTAAACATTTAACATACAAATAGTATGTCTATCACTAATATACATATAATTATTATTAAATGTATATAATTACTTAAAATATCATTCAGACTGTGTATTGACTCGCTTCCGTTTCCTTTTACAGGTGATATCAAACACGGAAGTGTGGGATTTGAGAACTTTCCATTTGTTGAGGACTGTACCTTCCTTGGATAAATCAGAGGTATGTGACAAACATACACACATATATGTATACAACCTACTAAAAGACTTGGGCCTGTCCAGAACTAACATCAATTCATTCTTGGAACGTCCTTCGAAGGCAGCCCTAGTAGGTTTAATCAAATTTGGTAGAGAGAGGAGCTCGGACAGTGGAGGTGAGTGTTTAACGCGTTATACAGGATCCCTTAAACCTACACCTGGGTCTCAAGTCCCAGTCACTGTTGAAGCTCCTCTCACTACAACGATGGACCCGACACACGCACGGTGAATACATGGAGCATTAATTTCGGCATCAGTAATATATGTATAGATGATCGGATGAACTCTATTTCGTCCTACAAACCATAAATTACCCGATATTATAGCTTATTAGGTATCTTTTCTATTGAACAGAATTAAATATTCTATGTCCATCTGCTTGTTCCGAGCTATCTCTCTTACAAACATATTTCTATAGTTGTTCTTGAGTTATAATATATATATATATTATATGTATATATATGTATATATGTTCCAGGTTATGTTCAGTCCGTCATGCGGTGTGTTGTACGCGGTGTGTTCCGACCAAGACTCTGAAGAAAGGAGTCAGTTCGACACAAGCTTCAAAACCCTGGACCCTTACGACTACTCCAGCATTGGTGAGTACCCATCACGCAGAAATATAAGACTGGTGGGCACAACACTAACATATAGAGCTATATATTATACTAGAAGACCCGGCGAACTTCGTATCGCCCTTTAATCAAGAAATATCTGTTACGTTTTTTTATTTATATTTTTGGAGTTTACCTATTAAAGCCATAAATCTCCGTGTTTTGAAATGAGACAGAATGATTGACATATTACTTAGTTGTCAAATCTAATGTCAAAAAAAAAACGTTTGTATCAACAACTACTAATAAATAAAAAAATTATTTAAAAAAACATTGTCCAGCGGACAAATTGTGAATCTAAACCATTCCCAGATCCCCTTGAACGCACACAAAAAATTTCATCAAAATCGGTCCGGTCGTTTGAGAGAAGTTCAGTGACATACACACTCACAGAAGAATTATGCATATGTATATCTGTTTCAGCCACAATCGACGTGAAACGCAACATATACTCGCTCGGAGTTTCTCGCTACGGAACGCAGATAGCGTTAGTAGAGAACATGGGGGACTTTGAACAGGTTCAGGAGTCGTGTGTGAAGTTGTACGACGTGGGGAGGAAGAGGGACCACGACGATGACGCGGTGAGGAGATATACACACACAGACAGACAGACACACACACACAGACAGACAGACACACACACACAGACAGACAGACACACACACACAGACAGACAGACACACACACACACACACAGAGAGAGACACACACATACTGATATACTTACATATACATACTAGCTTTCCGCCCGCAGCTTCGACCGCGTGGAGTTCGGTTATATCGCGTTTCCAAGAGAACCTTTCAAAAGTCTGGGATAAAAACTATCCTGTTCTTTCTCAAGGTCAACTCTATACGTACCAAATTTCATTAAAATCAGTTCAATGGTTTAGGCGTGGAAGCGTAACAGACAGACAGACAGACAGAGTTACTTTCGCATTTATAATATTAGTATGGATAGCATTTATGACAAATATTATTGGTTTGTCTTTGTTAGAGTTTAGTATACACAGACAGACATTTTTTTTTATTGAAGTTTACAAAACTGACTTACAACTAGTGCATACAAAATAAAATTTAAGCTAAACAGAGTGTCATTAAGTTGCAGTCTTTGGATGTAAACCTAGCATGCTTAGAAAAACATATACCTTGCTTAGTTAACAAGAAAAGTACTTGTGTAATTACGACTAGTTAATTATTTGATTATTACATAAAATAATGTGATTTTGTCTATAATTAAGGCGGTATAATGTTATAATATATGATATGTTTATATTACAGGAAGAGGAGGAGGAAGATGAGCTCGCTGGAGGCTCTGAGAACGATGATGGATCAGACTCGGGCTCGGACAATGATGATGACTGTTAGTATATATATAACACATACATACATATATATACATATATACTAGCTGACCCGGAAAACGTTTTGCCATATAAAAAAATAGATTTTGGTGATGAAAAAGTAAAAATTTTTGTATGTATGTATTTTTCAATGCTACATTATAAAGAAATAAAAAAAATTAAGGGTGTACAACTCTTAAGTCAGGTATGAAAAATAGATGTTGGCATTTGTCAGAGCTACTCAATATGCTCACTTCATCAAGATCGGTCCAACTGTTTCGGAGTTTTCTGTCTAACACCGCGACACGAGATATTTATATATAACTAGAAGACCCAGCGAATTTCGTATCGCCCTATAATCAAGAAATATCTGTATCAAGAAATATTTTTGGAGTTTACCTATTAAAGCCATACATCTCCGTGTTTTGAAGTGCGACAGAATGATTGACTTATTAGTTAGTTGTCAAATCTAATGTCAAAAAAAACGTTTGTATCAACAACAACTAATAAATTAAAAATTAATCACAAAAAACATTGTCCAGCGGACAAAATTGTGAATCTAAACAATTACCAGATCCCCTTGAACACACACAAAAAATTTCATCAAAATCGGTCCAAAGTCCAAAGTTGTTTGAGAGAAGTTCAGTGACATACACACTCACAGAAGAATTATATATAAAGATTAATAATATATAATATGATCCACAGTAGCGTCGAGTCTCATACGTAACGCTGTGATGGGTCTGGCTGAAGGGTCCGGCTCGGGAAGTGGCTCCGGAACAGATTCTGATAGAGAGAGGAATGAAAGAGGGCCCCGAACTAGGAGACGAGCGGCACGGAGGGTGAGTATATATATAACATTATTTTTTATGTACATAAGTACTAACACTAGTCTGAAATAAACTATTTAACGACAACTCTCTATTACGCCATAAAATGCACAGTCCCTTCAGTGTCGTTATATAGAGTTACACTGTATATATATAATGGTGGTCTAGTAGTTAAAAGGTCCGCCTCTCATACACGAGGGCACAGGTTCGATCCTGACTAGTACCAATGTGATTTTGCCGAGTCATATGTACTTTATAAGAGTATTTGGAATCACTGATTAGCATTTCCAAAGAGGGTTGATGTCAGGCAGCTGGTCATAAAAACATTTAGCAAAAACTATTGATAACATGTAAGGCAGAGCCTGGCTGAAGCTGGGAAATTGCCAGGTAGAAGAAGAAGATATATATTTAATATCATTATATAATTTGCAGGCAGCCGAAGAGGCGAGCAGTGACACAGATGGAGATATTGACTTTGAAAATATTATTGAATTTGAATACTAAGAACAATGACATGAGTGTAATGTAAATAAATACCATTTATAACATATATATGGGTTTTATTATAATAATATAGTATAGTATGAACACCACATATAATAAAAAGTTACTTTGGATTTGAATTGATATCATAAAATATATCGAAAAGCATAAAATAAGAAATTAGTGAAACAATGAATATTTTAAAAAGAAATATTTTATCAACCAAATATAAAATCTTCATATGGTTTAATATTTTTTTTTACTTCTTATTATCCAAGTTATATAATTGTTAACCAAGAACACACTAAATTTTGAGTTCTTAGTTCATTATCAAATATCTGGTTACCGAGCTTTGCTTGTTATTAAGGAATTATTACATAGTATTTATTTTTATGTTTTTGTATTTCGTTTCATAATTTTTAGAGTGAACACGTTAAGAAGACACAAAACAATATAAAAATCAACAATTAATTTCTTAGTTAAACCTCAAAACGAACACTCATTGACTTCCTGCTACTTAACAACGCCATCTTCTGTTGTGTCGTTAAAGCAAGTAGTAAAAACAATTAACAGAACGTAGTATTACTATTCCCCATTAGATGTCAGGAAGAGTCATATTTTAAAAGCCTCCTTTATGTAATTTTTTTCATAAAATTACATTTTCTAAAAATGATGCCTCGCTAGATTGATTTATCGCCCCCGAAACCTCCTCTATACTAAATTTCATGAAAATCTTTGAGCCGATTCCGAGATTTTAATATAAATATACATATATACAAAAATTGTTCATTTAAATATATAAAATATAGTGTTATATACTTAATACATAGGAATATATACATTTATTTAAGTTTGCTTCATAAAATTCGAAGAGAACTTACTAATGATGGTATTTTTACAAACCTAATGAATAGAACTTATATTGGGATTGTTAGATTCACAAAAGTCTTGTAAATAACTGTTTTCCGAAAGAATCTTGTTCTTACTGAAGATATTATGAAATTTATAACGGTTCTTATAATAAACAGGACTATCTAATTGCTTAGTTTTAGTGATTTGTAAGAAAATTCTTTGAACCAAAATAAGTCTAACACATATTTGTATATCATTGAGGCTTATAAATTTAAAGTGATCCAATTTTGTTTATTTTGATCTTCATATAGGATCTTTCATTACCTTTAATATTATTAATTCTAATTTAAAATTAATAGTTTCAATGTTTCTTTCATTTATTTATTCAATTTTAAAGATTAAAAATAAAAATACTTAATATTTTTTATCAAGATAATACCTTGTGGTACTTTTACAGAAGTACATATAATGAATAGAAGTAGTAGTACAAGTATCATTTTAAATAAACAGTTCAGTAAAGTTAAATAAATTATTACATAGACAGTTATAGTCAACTCTTAAATGTACCAAACAATTTTTAAATGTTATACATTCATTTATATTAAACTATATGATCCAGCGAACTTCGTATCGCCCTATAATCAAGGAATATCTGTTGCATTTTTATCTGAATGAAGTTAATATCCTTATTCCTCTGAACGGAGTCTTGCCTGGTTCAACCTGAAAAACATTAATTGATCAGTTTCTACTTTTACATTCACATCAACAGCATATTGGTGACAGAGACGCCAACATATTAAGATGTGATTGACTTCAACTTTTCCAACCGTAAACCTGTATGATAATAATTCATTTAACTAACTTTTTTATTAGTTTCAGAACCTAACAACATTTTTTGTAATAAAATTTTATATTACTTAAAGCTATGATAAACATTAAAAACTTAAAATTTTATTACCTGTAACTGGATTTATCATCTTCATTAAAAATAATACCCGTCTTCACCTTTCCAAAATAAGATAATATATATTTAAATATACATATGTTCGATGTGTTTCGGACACATGTTGCAGTTTATTGTTACACCGGTGTAAAACAATATTGCGGTTATCTACATTTTCACCCATAATGACAATAGAGACTTCATCGATTCTTTGGGCATTAAAATGTCTTATGTGTTTTATAACAATTTTGTGATTATCAGATGGCATGTGATCTAATGCGGTCTTGAATAATGCAACCAATGGGTTGTGTGTTCACAACTCTGATCAACTTGTCTTCCTGAATCACCCATGAAATTAATTTGGAAAAATTTATAGTCACTGACCGGCACTGGTAAAAACTAATAAGTTCAATGATATATTTTTCCTTGAATCTGCAAAGGTAAACATTCCTGTATTACATATACATAATATTGTAAAGTGAATTGTTTAAACCACCAAGTGACACTCAAAATACTTTGTGAGCACTACCACTTCCCCCATCAAGTTTTTAACACAATTCCTGGCTACTAAAAATAATTCACAGAGCTACAAATGTTTTTTAAGCCATTTCAAGTGATACACCATTACAATTAAAAACTGTCAACAATAGTGGTAAATGTTTTTCAATACACTTACCTTAAAAGTTGGCATAAAATTTATTGTAGTCCATTTCTGTTATAATCAAATGCAGGTCTATAGAGGTTAAAAGCAACACTTCTATATTGTTGGTTTCGGTTCCATCAATTTCGTTCAACTTCATTCCGCGTTTCACGTTGCTCATCAGGTAGACTTGCTCTTCTATATCTTTGACTTGAGGCATTACGGGTTCTGCGACTTAAGTTTGTACGTCTAATTAGCGGCATGTTTTGAAACAAAAATTCAACTGAAAATAAAAAATACTATAATCCTATTTCTATTCTTTTGTAATAGTATCAAAATGGTCTATCAAAACTTTCCAACACTATAATAATTTGAATTACCTTGTTGAACAAACACTTCAGAAAAAAACACACAGTACAAATTATCCTGTAGAAACTAATGTGAAAATTACACTAAGAAATGGTAAAACTGAATATGTACTCGTACAAAACCACACAAATAAAAACGAATTTACTGTTTGCAAGCAATTTGAAAGAATAACTGAACCTTTAAGACAGAGACAATAGTTTATCATAGACTAATATAGTCACACAAACGTTAAGCTCAGCTTATGTATCGCGCATTTAAAAGTAAATAATTTTAATCATGTAAATCATAATTATTAACTAAAAACATCATTTCTATTTTCATTGTAGTGCTTTGTAATAAACAATGTTTTTTGTTTGATTACCTGCGCACAGACAAACAAATCTGATGGTTATTATTATATTTTGTGACTATTCAATTGGTCGGGTCCGCGATCACTGTTTTTTAGTTTCTAAACGCGACATTAAATCTTCCAACGCCGTATTCTGTGAGGTAATCTGATTGAATTTGAACTTTGTGTAGCGGCAAGAAAGTGCAAATTTACTTTTTGACGTTAGGAACACACCTACATTTCTTACATAACAATGAGTGCTTGTAATTGAATATGAACTTTATATAATAGCAACAAAGCTCAAATTGATTCTACGTTTTAGTTAGAAAACGTTTGTATGTGAAAAGAAAAGGGTTATTTTTAGGGTTTTCCCGGCAATTATTCGATTTTTTTCTCACTGTAAGAACCATCCTTGATCTTCAACGTACATTTAAAAAAAAGAATTGGCCAAATTGGTCCAGGCGTTGTTGAGTTTTGCGCTTACCAACACATTTTGCGATTCATTTTTATATTATAGATTTAATTAAATGTAGAGAGATCTAAGATTTTCGCGAGTACTCATTTAAATGAAACTAATATTTAGATTTACTACGCGACTTTTTTTTTTTTTGAGAGGAGAGTGACACGCAGAGGAGAGGCCCGTAATCACGGCTGCTGTAAAGTAGCCGAAACGTCGGGAGTACATAGTTTATTAAACAAAAATAAAAAATCGCGATTTAAATCCGAAAACATTAGTATCATTTATAGGTCAGTGCAGAAGCCTTTAAAATTAATGAAAAGTGAAAATAAATTATAGTAGAATGAAACTCATTAGAAAAGGAGGGGAATATTATAAAAATTAAAGGAAAAATAATTATTTACTAGCGATCTGAGGTCGGGAAGGGTATGGGGATGGGTATTTAAGGGTAAAAAATGGGTTTTCTCGATTTCCGACAAAACTAAAAGTACTCTGGAAGTGCTCTAGATAGTCCCTCTTTTAGTTAATTTACAGAAAATTGACATTAAGCTGCTAAAACTATTAAAAATAAATTGAAAGAGCATTTAAAAAACGATGTTCAGTGTCATTTCATTAAAAGAGACATGATTGTTTTATCCAAAAATGGTACTGCAAGTAAGAAACTTATAATTTTTTCTTCACCGTCGGAAAAAAGAGATTTCAACGAACAGAAAACATACCAAATTTTTGAAAAAAGCACATATTTTGACGGGTAATTTTCGATTGAGAATGAGGCTGAATTTTCGGTATTTAATCAGAATAAACTGAAAAAATAAATATTTCTAATCATATAAATTACAGTGTATTTGGGACATCAAAAAGTAATTCTTCATCAAATTTCGTGACAAAATATTGTTTTTTGTAAGTGATAAAAATAAAAAACCAAAAACTTGGTTTTTCAAATTTTTCACATAAATTATGAGGTTTTATGAAAAAATGTCAATACAAAAGTTTTAGATCTTTTTATTGCCTACAACTTTGCCATATAATTTTTTTTTTCGTAGGACTTTTAGTTTTGTCGGAAATCGAGAAAACCCACTTTTTTAACCTTAAATACCCACCCCCATACCCTTCCTGACCTCAGATCGCCCGTAAATTATTTTTCTTTAATTTTTATAATATCCTTTTCTAATGAGTTTCATTTTACTATAATTTAATTATGTTTTAAAAGCTATCGGCCCTGGTCTATTAGATAAAGATATTTTTAGAGTTAACTTCATTAAAAAGATATGCGAACTCCTTTAATTAATCTACAGGTGCAGTTCGGTACCTTTAAGTGAACTAATATCTGTTTTTAATAGTTGGTATTTATTAATACTTTATCTGCCCCGCCACATTTTTGAATGTAGGTAAACAGTCAATAGGTACATGAAATAATATTTTTGAAAAATGTTCTGTAAATCCCCAAGATAAAAATTCTCCGTTACCCGTTTTCATAAATATTCAATTTAAGATTGTATGAAATCAGCGCGAATACCAAAAATAATTCGAGGAATATCTTTGGTTTAATTGGAGTATTTCAAATCTCATTAAAAAGAAATTTATTTTTTTGTTATTGTTTTTATTATTATTATTTTCATACTAATTGCGTATTTAATTTTGTACTATTACCACTAGATCAGTCTACGGTTTTTTGTTAAGCTTTTTGAAGTTCTTAAGAGATATTAAAGCATTTTCCAAAAGCTGCAATACGAGTTCTAAATAAAATTTATGCTCGTCGTTCAACATCCTAACTCCCTACAATTACTTAAATTCAAACAGTTCCTTAAATTCGTTGTAAGGACCTGGCTCTCCGGCGGGGAATCGAACCCCGGTCTCCCGCGTGACAAGCGGGGATACTGACCACTATACTACCGAAGATATCATCACGACTGACGAAGATCTTACATTCACTCTATTGTCATGTAAACGGGAGTGAAAGCAGACAATAATTGTAAGAATTAATGTCCACGATATCTTTTTATCAGAATGAAGCAGGTGTCGGGTACCGTACGTCGTACGAGACAGTGATCCGTACACCGAGACGCATCAGAGTAAAATGCGTCATTTACTTCTACAGCGAAGTATTTCAACTGATAATAATCATCAAACCGGAACGCATTCCAACATTAAATATTTGTATATAAGATAATTAAAATCAATGTTAATCCGTTGGTTTGGAAAGTTGGTTCCTCAATATTAATGGTTAATTCAAATCTCACCAAAAACATGCCTGTTAAAAAGGGGGCCAAGTTCCAATCGGCTAATTGTTTGCCTAAAAAAGGGGTGAAATCCAATATAATGCCAAGTTTAGATGCACTTTGAAATCGATCATAATCATCTTCATCAACAGCATGATCCACTGGTAAACATTTGCCATTCCCAAGACTCGCCACCACACCCAGTCCTCTGCCTTCCACATCCAGCCACTACCCGCCACCTTATTCACGTCAACGGTCCATCTGGCCGAAATTCACTTTACCATACAACCAACTTAAAATATGGTATAGTTGTGAAAATACGTAGGTGCTTGGTTAAAAATATCTAAAATTATAATACTTCTCAATTTGAACTTGGCAGGTTTTTGTGCTGTACGTAACACTTAATTAATTGTATCATTAATTTATTATTTAGTTATATAATTATTTATATTTATATAATTTAAATATTATATAATTTAAATAATTAAATTATATATATATATATATATATATCAGTTCTTAAGAAGCGCCCCACACTTTTGTCACAATAATATTAATTTAAAAATAAATTAACAAACAATAAATGGTATTTTTGTGAAAAAAAGCGTGATGAGCTTCATATATCACTTCTTGAGAAGCGCCCCACGCTTTTTTTTCAATAATACCATTTATTGTTTATTTTAAACAATTTTTATTAAATTGATTTCCAAGGTTGTAAAGGTTAAATTAGTTTCCACGCGGTTTCTTTCATCAATGGAGTGTGTTTTTTAGTTTTTTTAAACTATATTTATTTTTAATTTTTTAGTTTCATTTATCACCGATTGATAGATGTACTCATATTATTAATTATTAATATTTCATTATTATGTATTTTATTGTGCTGAGCTGAGGGCCTATATAAAGGTTTTGATTACCTGTCAGTGAGTCAGTGCCAAAATTAGCTATTTTCACAGGGTCATATTTCAGGATCTACTGAAGCTTTATCTATGAAATTTGGCAAACTGCTTTAGGACTAGTATATGATTACGTAGGTACAATTTTATCTCTGTACTTGCAATAGACACTGAGCTACAGGGGGTCAAAAGTGGGTCGAATTTATTAAAAATTCGATATTTAGAATTGAGGCAACTCACGCTTGACCGATTTCTTAAATTTCTTAATTTTTTGTTAATCTACATGTAACACACAACCTGTGTACCAAATTTCATAATGCTAAAACAATGGGAAGTGGCCTAAAGGTTTTGATTACCTGTCAGTGAGTCAGTGTCAAAATTAGCTATTTTCACAGGGTCATATTTCAGGATCTACTGAAGCTTTATCTATGAAATTTGGCATACTGCTTTAGTTCTAGTACATGATTACGTAGGTAAAATTTTATCTGTGTACTTGCAATAGGCACTGAGCTACAGGGGGGTCAAAAGTGGGTCGAAACGGTTCGCGTAAATATAGTGCACGGCATGCGCATCTTGTGGAACTTGGCCGGCGCACTACCGTGCGCTTAGATATGGTCAAATGTGGTATGTGAATTTTGTTACTTTATAATTCCAAAAGAGGGCGTTAAGTGTTAACTGACTTCTTAAATCGTGTTCTTTAGTATTTAAAATGTAATTACATTTTTTTTGTGCAAACTAGAACCTCATGACGAATATTCACTGTTACACGAACTTTTTTCACAGTCCATGACGTAGGAAGGGAGACAAATATTTAAATATTAAAACTTTTCGATACGAACACTTAAAACACTGTTATAATGGTCACTACTGATACGTATTCTAAAAAAACTGGACTACTGCTCGCTTTGAACTATAATATGAACTACATATAATGAAGTAAGAATTATCACTTTGTTAAAATGTGCAAGTTTACTCCCGCCAAATTCACTTTATAGGGCAGCATTTGCATCGGAAGGGAGCGAAAAACTGGATAACAAGATGGATTCCGGATGTCAACATGGAACAATAATAATAAATGTTTTTCATATATCCAAAAATAAATTTAAATGGTGTTGATTTTATATATTTCTTATGAATAAATCGATACTAATATTTTTTGGCATAATGTCTTATATTAGGTCTATTATGTGTGGATACTTCTTGTTTTATACCAATACAGTTAATAAGAACGCACAATATATTAATTGCAAGATATTGTAATTTTATTAGCAGATTTTCTTTAGGATGAAGTCTGATAATTTTAGTTAATTTGATATTTCAGAATCATTTGTAACAGAAAAAATACCAACTTTATTATCAGAAAAGTTTTTAAATAGCGCCATCTATCTTAATGCTGCCTTGACTTCAATATTTTCTCAGTATACTCAAAGAAACTAACACCAATTTTAGGACCCAACTATTAAGTAAAATTTTGATAATATTAAATTTTTATAGATAATTATTTTAACACTTATTATTTTTACATAACAGGAACATGATTTAGGTGTTTAAATTGAATAATATATTTTATACAAAGCGAGATCTATTGATTCTTACTGACATTTCTTACTTAAAATGTTGTGCTATTCGACGACAGATGGCATTTTTGTTAACTGTATACAAACTTACAATAAGTAACTCGATAACTCATTTATTCTTTATTTAATGACTCATGCCTTTTTTCAATAAAATATTCTTTTTTATATTCATTAAAAAGATAGAATTAAATAGAAGTATTTTAATTTTTAATGCCATCAAAATTAAATTTTGATCCCTTGCCTAATAAAGGGTTTTTTTTCAAAAATGATAAGAATCTATTATTTATTGAATACTTTTGAACTTCTAATTATATGTTGTTCTAACTGAATCATCTTGTTATATGTATGTATGTTGACTTTAGTATGTACTAAGAACAATATCTCCAAAACCTTTATTAACCATCATTTTCACATTTCATCAACAAATCAAATAAAACTCTACACATAATATAAATGTTTTTATTTTTCGTATCATAAATAATATGTCTGAATTATCACAACAGGTCCTCGCGACCTCACACATTGAGACTCATACAGAAACTTAACTTACAATGTACCACAACTAAAATAATTTACACGCTTACACTAACTGCGGCGTACGATCAAACTGTCAGTACGTAGTAAACGATTACACTTCGAGTTAATTAAAACACGAACACAAAAGGTAATGTGTTGTACGAGTGGTGGGATCTACCATCTCTTAAATGGCACATATTATAAACAGTTAAACTTATATTAATCGTATTATTTTTGTTCATTAATACTGTTTTTTCCTCCGTCTATATATGTACAGATTATACAAGTCTAAAGCTATGAATACACTATTATTGTCGCTAACTTGATATTTGGCAAACGCCTAGAGATAATATTATAGAACTACATTACATGGGCTCATGACGAACAGACATACATACATACATATATTATGCTTTTAAATAAACTTAGCAGTTATATGAATATATATGTAAGTAAAAGAGCCAAATTATATGAGTATCCTTACTACGAGTTACAATTCAGGCTAAATACCAACAGTTAAGAGTAAACTCATGAATATCCTCATAAGAGATATGAATGAACGCTAAACTATGTGTTTTTAGTCTAAAGTTATCAACTTATAGTAAGAACACTTCTATGTTTCATCAACATGACCCTTCAGTATGTAAAAATATTTCGCGACCTCTACTCATCACTTTTTTATTATTTTATTTATTTTGCCACAAACAAATGATCAATATTAATTAATTTCCAATAATTTTCCTTGTCATTTTCATGATATTTCTCTAAACTTCCACACAAAAACTATTTTATTCCTCATCATGGGCTATTAAACTTGGGTATATATGTTCTAATATATATATGTACATTATTTACATTTTCCATCAGTGTACATACTCATTAGTCGCGTGGAACTGCGTGTTATCAACTATAACACTAGTATATCCTTCTTGCGAGTTCGTATTCTTTGTAAAGTTATAATTCTCTTGTCTCTGCCCCTGTGTGTTGTGTCCGTAGAAGGATATTAAGTTAGTATAGTTATATTGATTGACTTCCGAGCTTTCTATCGAACTACAAGACGATGAGCTCGCTGAGAACGGCCGTTGATTCTGCGGGTACACGTAGTTGAGTAGTTCCGGTTCGTTAGTTCCGTAGTTCTCGTAGAACATTTCCTGGTATCCGTTGTAGTCGTCGTGTGTGTCGTATGTGGGTATCGCGGGTAGGTTGTATTCGGGGTAGTTGTAGTTTTCACTGAATTCTTCATTTATTTGGCTCATCTTAGCTGGTTGTGTGTCGTTCATTTTTGGCGGTCCTTGTTCTATATTGAGTATCAAGTTCTTTTCCTCTATGTCACTGTAAAAAGGAGCGTATATTAATCCTCTAGTTTTCTCTATGTGTGTGTCTGTGTGTGTGTGTGTATAGACCTTATATTAATCCTCTACTTTTCTCTATGTGTGTGTGTATACCTCAGCACGTAGTTAACAGACACGATGCAGTGCGGTCGTGACGATCGTGAGTTGTGTACGATGGTAGCGTAGCTCTGCATCCACACCCAGCCGCCAGACTTCGTCAGGAAGCGGTAGTAGCGTGACGTCACTTGTCCCTTTGTCAACACTGGAAACACACGTATCAATATTATTATATCTGCCTCTCTGTCTGTCTGTCATCAACATATACTAATGGACATGCCACCGCGTATAATCTGCAATAATTTTTTGAATAGTGTGAGAGAGATGGCCTATGCTTTCGGTATGGCACTATCTCTTTCCTCATAGATGATTTGCACTCAGTTTTCATTACAAGCATTGCATATAAATTATCCAGTAGGGGCTCATAAGGTATTAAGTACGGTACCTACTATTTTGATAGAGATAAAGATAGACCGAAACTTCGTTTCCTCTCTTTCTTTAACAGTGCCACAATCCTCATCTCTAAGGCATGTCCATTAGTATATGTCGATGCTGTCTGTCTCTCTATATCTTTATATATATAATTCTTCTGTGAGTGTGTATGTCATTGAACTTCTCTCAAACAACTAGACCGATTTTTATGAGATCTTTTGTGTGTTCAAGGGGATCTGGGAATGGTTTAGATTCAAAATTTTGTCCGCTGAACAATGTTTTTTCAATTAATTTTTAATTTATTAGTAGTTGTTGATACAAACGTTTTTTTTTGACATTAGATTTGACAGCTAACTAATATGTCAATCATTCTGTCGCACTTCAGAACACGGAGATTTATGGCTTACAGGTAAACTCCAAAAATATAAATAAAAAAACGTAACAGATATTTCTCGATTAGGGTAATACAAAGTTCGCCGGGTCTTCTAGTATGTATATAATACTCACGCGTGCAGTGTGAGTATCTCATGTGCAGCACGTCTGTTCCGTGTATGTAGTGGTACAAGGTCTTCTCTATAAGGTCCTGGGGCTCGTACCCGGTGAGAGACGCCACTCTGTGTAAAGAAATACTAATTAAGATACGCTTATATAAAACTCCTGACTTTACTTACGTTTTACTAATAAATATATACATTTTTGTCTATCTATAAGTTCCTAACATGAAAATAGCTGCACCGATTCTAATAAGACTTTTACTGACATAGACGCAACATAAAGCGACTTCGTCATCAGCCTATCAGAGCCCACTGCTGAGCCTCTTCTCACATGGAGAAGGTTTGAGCATTAATCACCACGCTCGCTCAAGACGGGTTGGTGATTTCAAACTTATAATTGTGAAATTATAAGTCCAGGTTTCCTCGCGATGTTTTCCGTCTGTCAGTGGTGTCTAAATACTCTAAAGTAAATGACTCGGAAATCACATTGGTACTTTCCAGGATCAAACTTGCCCACATGTATGAGAGGACTTTTTAACCACTAGGCCACCACTGACTATAAATTATTAGTATAAATATAAAATAAAATATAAGTATCGTTTTAAACCTATACAATACAATCTATTCATCTGTTCTCGTGGTGAGGGTAGCCTGTAATTCGGTACTTCAATGGGTCAACAGTATCCTGTAGGGTGACACCAAATACGCCGACACGTACCAATTACTCGCTAATGGTTTTAGTCGACTTCTGTTTGTTAAAAAAATCACTTGCGACACCCTTTTTTTTGTAGCGATTTATATTTTTTCTGTTGATTCAACAGTTAATTTGATATTACGGTAGTGTTTTTTTGTATAAATATTTTTTTAAGCACTCTGCTTCGTCTCGAAAGTTTTTTTAAATATTATAACTTGATGAAGATATTTTTTTACCTTTTTTATTAAGATATTTGTGTTACTAAATGTAAAAATAAACAGCCTAAATAATTTATTATATTATATGTATTACTAAAACCAACCATAAAACATAGCCTACATCTCATTACATCATCTATCTCCAAGTAAAAGTCCCATCAAAATCGGTCAAGCAGTTTAAAATCATTTCCAATAATTGATCATTATATTCCGTCCACAATTCACTTCCTCGTAACAACCTTGAACACAAAAGAATCGCTGAGCACACATGTAGCTTACAGACCGTGATGCTGACTACGCGGAAATAAAAATAATATATTGACACGTGATTATTATAATAATAAATATTGTTTTATAAATAATCATAATTTAATTAAACATTATATATATATAAATACATACATATTTAGAATTCTAACAAAATAAAATATAGTTTTCTTATAAAGTCAATACTTTTAAATCCCTACTAATATTATAAATGCGAAAGTAATTCTGTCTGTCTGTCTGTTACGCTTTCACGCCTGAACCACTGAACTGATTTGAATCAAATTTGGTACAGAGATGGAGTTGACCTTGAGAAAGAACATAGAATAGTTTTTATTCCAGATTTTTTAAAGGTTCTCTTGGAAACGCGATATAAACGAACTAAACGCGGGTGAAGCTGCGGGCGGAAAGTTAGTTCAACATAAAGTTATAACTTCAATACGATCGAATCGTACGAGATACTAACAGTTTCGACGTTAAATATTCTAATTCACGTTAATATTTACGTATTCGTGTATCAAGTACGTACCTATATAGTTAGCCCAGTCTAACTTGAGAATTATTCCTAGTAGGTGTCCAAACTAGATACCTAGATAGATAGATAGATAGATATAGATATATAAATAAGGTATTGATGTCTGTACACCTGGTGAGTGGTGACACATGATATGCAAGTTATTTTATACCGACCTACAAACAGAGTAGTTATGTTTTTACATTTTGTACGTACGTCAGCTTTTATCTCATTAACTTTTTGATGGTATTTTGACACATTGAAAATAATTTTTGTTTTGGCTTAAGATAACAATTAAATTATTTTAATTAAGTTTTTATAAGTTATTTAAAGGCTTTATAAGAAAACAATTTTATTATGTTGGAATCCTTAATATATTTGTATCTTATTCTACATGGCAATTTTCCCAGCCAAGGCCTTACATGTTGTGAATAGTTTTTGCTAATTGTTTTTACGACCGGCCGTCAGCCTGACATCAACCCTCTTTGGGAATGCATTAATCAGTGATGTCTAAATACTCTTAGAAAGTACATATGACTCTCAAAAATCACATTGGTACTTGCCCGGGTCAGGATTGAACCCGCGCCCTCGTGCATGAGAGGCGGGCCTTTTAACCACTAGGCCACCACTGATTAAAACATAAGCACATTATTAGTTATGATAAACTAAATAATTATCACACGAGCAAAGTCGAGTGATTTTGTTATAGAAATCTTTTCAAGTTACATATTCGAGTACAAATGGATTTTTTATATTACATAATTAATTTTAATATATCTAAAATAACCTTAGTATGAGCATAAGTCTTTCCAATCCTATAAAACGACGTCATGGTTTTTAATTTTTACTGTCAGTATGGCGTTTTCAACTTATACTACATCTAAATTTAATGGAATGCGGCGAGAATTGCTTCCTTACCACAAGTCTCATACTACATACTAATAGTGTCCCGTTTCTCATTCAATACTACGTTAATACTGGACAAGATTTATGAATGAAATACTGTTGACGTGGAGTATGTAGTGACGATGCAGAATTCAAATTAATATCTACATTTTCGCATAAATCTTTGTTACGACTAAACGAGAGTATTTCCTAACGACAACTCATACTAAACACAGCTTTAAACAACAACAATGACTTTGTCCTACATTTTAGTGAAAAATCATTCAAATTCGACGTGAAAATTTATTTTACACTAACTTTCCGCCCGCAGATTTACCCGCGCAGAGTTCGGTTATATCGCGTTACCAAGAGATCTTTCAAAAATCTGAGACAAAAACTATCCTATGTTCTTTCTCAAGGTCAACTCTATCCATACCAAATTTCATTAAAATCAGTTTAGTTTAGTCGTGAGAGCGTAACAGACAGAGTTACTTTCACATTTATAATATTAGTAGTGATTCGCGAGTAAAGCCGCGGTATAAGCCATGTATTTTAAAATGAAATAAAACCCCCACAACAGTGCCCCATTGGGACTCAAAGGCCGTGTATTGTTCCCGGGCGATACGCTTCTTGGAACATATAAATATTATTGGCCAGTGTCGCGACGATACTAAGCTAATAGTGATGTGATTTTATCGATCTTTATTAATTATATATAATTTTCACTATATGTACATCACTATTTATCTATATTTTTTGAGTATAATTTTTATATATCGATAGTTATTGTATAGAAAGTATCGATATCGATAAATACGGTCGGGTCACAGCACTAGTGTTAAATCACTTCGTCTCGCGCCGTTCTGCCTTATTAAAAATACGAATAACATATATATATATATATGTGTGTATATATATATATATGTTACTGGTAACGCTCGTTAAATCATATTCTATAAAAGCATTGGTCATTGTCTTAAATTAACTAATTTAAATTAGATATTAATATTTTCGACACTATGATTGTTATAATGGAAAATGAAATTAGGCATTTATATGAAAATTATTTTATAAACATAATTTCAGTTAATAAATTCTTTGATACACATAAAATAATGAATAAATAAAAGTAGCGTAACTTTCTTCTCCGTCTTCTACCTGGCAATTTCCCAGCTTTAGCCAGGATCTGCCTTACATGTTGTGAATAGTTTTGGCTATTTATTTTTAAAACCGGCCGCCTGACTGACATCAACTCTCTTTGGGAATGCATTAATCAGTGATGTCTAACTACTCTTATAAAGTACATATGACTCGGAAAAAACACATTGGTACTTGCCAGGGCCAGGATCGAACCTGCGCCCTCGTGCAAAATAGGCGGGCCTATAACCACTAGGTCACCACTGACTTTTTAGTTCCCACTCAATTGAATCTCACTTATTGTCCCTACCCTGTCACATCTTACCTGGCATCAAGGAAGATGAGTCTCATGTCCAGCGAGGCTCGGAACATGAACATGTTCGAGTGAAGTTTCAACTCGGTGACAGCAGACGGCGGGAGGGAGTGACCGACAGCCACCAGCCCCAGTGGAGCCGTGCCCTCGCCGAAACGACGCGCGCGGAGGTATCCGGAACAATGGATGACCTATATATATAGTGGAATACATTATAATCACCATCATCATCATCCTATCAGAGCCCACTGCTGAGCCTCTTCTCACATGGAGAAGGTTTGAGCATTAATCACCACGCTCGCTCAAGACGCGTTGGCGATTTCAAACTTATAATTTGATTAAGTCCAGGTTTCCTTCACTGTATATCAGTGGTGTCTAATACTCTAAGTACATATGACTCGGAAAAATCACATTAGTACCTGCCAGATTTGAACCCGCGCCCTCGGCAACGAGAGGACCCTTTAACCAATAGGCCACCACTGACTCCATTATAATCCTATTAACATTATAATTGCTAAAGTTTGTGAGTGTGTGTGTATGTTTGTTACTTGTTCACGCTCAAACGGCAAACGATTTTGATAAAATTTTGTATACAGGAAGCTGACGTCCAGGAATTACACGATATAATATAATAACTAATATAGACGAACACACACACATACACACACACACACAACTACACTTAACTTACAAATCACACTTTCCAATGATTGATCTTTTTTTTTTTGTCTTATATAATTAATTGTGTGATTATAATTTTCTATTATTATAAGAGTAGTACAAATTTTACTGAATTTTGTCTGCTTGAAATTAATCGATGTTCAAAATGCAGGCCTATCCTAGTGTGGACGTCAACGTTTACTATATATTGCATTGTTGAGTGATTTGTTTGTCAAATAAAATAAATTATTGAAACATTATTATTGAAACATCACGGAAATCCGGTGAAAGCGTAACAGACAGAAAGAATTACTTTCGCATTTATTATATTAGTAGAGATTATACGTTACACTTGAACTTTAACCAATTTCATATTAATTTAAGTATCAGTGATTTCATAATATAAATAAATACATAACAATTACACCACCTTATTCTATGTCGGTTAATATTGTCAAACAACTCATGACCCCAGTATATTTAAATCTCTGCATTCACGACCCTTAGTCATAAAAATGTACGCGATGATTGACAGTTAAAAAAATATTGTTAAAATAAACTCTGGTTTATAAAATAAATAGGATTTGTTATAAAAATATTATAAAATCCATACTAATATTATAAATGCGAACGTAACTCTGTCTGTGTGTCTGTTACGCTTTCACGCCTAAACCACTGAACTGATTTTAATGAAATTTGGTACAGAGATGGAGTTGACCTCGAGAAAAAACATAGGATAGTTTTTATCACGGACTTTTGAAAGGTTCTCTTGGAAACGCGATATAAGAAAGATAGTGGTTTATTTGAAGAAGAAAACCACAAAGATGTGTTTAAATGAGTGTATGAAACACACACACATACAGACACATCTATTATACATCAATCTGTGAACACTCGTCAATGTGTGCATGTCACTGGATGTTAAACACATAGACGATTATCTTCTTTATATATATAATTTTTCTGTGAGTGTGTATGTCACTGAACTTCTCTTACATGACTGGACCGATTTTGATGAAATTTTTTGTGTGTGTTCAAGGGGATCTGGGAATTGTTTAACCCCCCCCCCCTATTGTTCTCTTTCCTCTATCGCTGTACATACATGTATATGTAATGTTCCTCACCTTATACCCGGAGGTAGTGAGTCCAGCGTTCCTCTTAGCTAGCACGCACTTCATCCTGATGAAGAACGCTCTCTCACACTCAACATCCACGTTGGGGCTCCACGTACCGCCTACTGGATACCTGGTGGAATTGGTGATCAATCAGTATAATTGGAAATTGATTGAATGTCAATCAAATAATCAAACAATCAATAATTTCGTAGAAAATCAAATAATGTAGAATCAAATTTTAATATTCTTGAAAAATATATACGTCGTAACAGGTTTTCACTGATCATAACCAATTCGGATATACATTGAAAATCTTTTGTTATATTTGTATTTATTTTTTCTTCAAACACCTTAAATGAAAACTATACTATCTTGAATATAATTGAACTTTGAACTAGTATAACTTAAAAAGTTTATCGACATCAAAATTATACAAAATTTATATTTATTTGTTTTTCATTTAACATTTATATCAAAAATCTAAAAAAATAATATATCTGTAATTGCAAGGTCATTAAAATCTTAAAAATAAAACATGTGACCCAATTTGAGATGAAACATCAGTTTCGGTATTTTTGAGAACAGACATACAAACATACATACCCAACAGCCGGTGGTCCAGCATAAGAGTGCGGATGCTGCAAACTCAACACAGCAGACATCTCCTCGTGATCAGCCTGATGTATGTACTCGTATATAGAGTTACCAGTCAATTCCACCTGTGTTATAAAAAAATCTTCAAAACTTCTACTCCTTGACTACATATATGAAGACCAGCTCTTCAAAAATATTTCAAAGTGTATTAAAATTAATATAATTAATATTCTTTTTCTACCTGGCAATTTCCCAGCTTTAGCCAGGGTCTGAATTACATGTTGTTAATAGTTTTGGCTAATTGTTTTTACAGTCGCCTGCCTGACATCAACCCTCTTTGGGAATACATTAATCAGTGGTGTCTAAATACTCTTAGAAAGTACATATGATTCAGAAAAATTATTATATTTAGAAATCACTGATTATTATTATTAATGCATTCCCAAAGAGGGTTGATGTCAGGCAGGCGGCCGATCGTAAAAAACAATTAGCCAAAACTATCACAACATGTAAGGCAGACCCTGGCTAAAGCTGAGAAATTTTCAAGTAAAAGAAGATAAAACATTATAAAACCTAGTAATTACCTGACTAAGTCCCAGATGTACAGACGCCGTCTCACTAATATACATAATCTTTCCATCTGGAGACACAACGAATATAAATCCATCCAGGGTCTGAAGCAGATGAGATCCGAGTTCTCGTATTGAGAGCTCCCTCGGCTGGGGGGGAGGGGGGGCGGCGCCCCACGCATCTCCAAGACCTAGATATAATTATAGTACTATTGAACTAGCTATTGGCTTACGTAGATATTACTATGTATATTTTATATAAGCACTAGCTTTCCGCCCGCAGCTTCGCCCGCGTGGAGTTCGCTTATATCGCGTTTCCAATAGAACCTTTCAAAAGTCTGTGATAAAAACTATCCTATGTTCTTTCTCAAGTTCAACTCTATGTCTGTACCGAATTTCATTAAAATCAGTTCAGTGGTTTAGGCGTGAGAGCCTAACAGATAGACGGACAGAGTTACTTTCGCATTTACGAGGGCTGCTATATATATTTCTGGCCTAGGCAACACTAAGTGTTGCCAGGTGCAATCTGGCATTTCCATTGGAAAGTTTGACATTTTTTAGCATAAATGTACTCAGAACTTTTTGACTTACGACAATTTTTTTTTTCTTTTACAAGTACTTGAAGAAATCAATTTGGCAAAAAAATGGAATTAACTCGTGAACATTTTCGTGCGATCATTTTTCACAACTTTCGACGTGGATTATCACGACAAGAGTGCATCGATGAACTTAAATCTTTGTATGGCGACGAAGCACCATCCTATAGCACTGTGAAAAACTGGTACAACGAATTCAATCGTGGCCGACGCTCGCTCAAAGACGAATTCCGTGAAGGTCGTCCAAAAACAGCCGTTGTGCCAGAAAACATCGATGCCGTACGTGAACTGATAATGCAAGACCGTCATGTGACTTACCGTGAGATAGAGGCATGCCTAGGCATTTCTCCCACCAGCATACATTCGATATTGCATGAACACCTGGCCGTAAAAAAGGTTTGTTCTCGTTGGATCCCGCACAATTTGACAATCGCTCAAAAGAAAGCTCGTGTGGATTGGTGTAAAGAAATGCTGAAAAAATATGATCGCGGTGCTTCAAAAGACGTTTATAAGATCGTCACAGGTGACGAATCATGGATCTATGCGTATGAGCCCGAAACAAAACAGCAATCGACCGTGTGGGTCTTCCAAGACGAGCCAAATCCAACGAAAGTTGTTCGTGGAAGAAGCACTTCGAAGCAAATGGTCGCCTGTTTCTTCGGCAAAACTGGTCATGTGGCGACTGTTCCGCTTGAGCAACGTAGGACGGTCAATTCTGAGTGGTATACCACCATTTGTTTGCCTGAAGTCTTCGGAGAAATTCGAAAAATGAACAAGAGAAGACGAATCATTGTGCACCATGACAATGCGAGCTCTCACACATCGGCTCAAACCAGCGCCTTTTTGACCGGCCAAAACGTCGAAGTGATGGGTCATCCGCCGTACAGCCCTGACTTGGCACCCAATGACTTCTTTTTATTCCCACACATCAAGAAAAAAATGCGTGGACAACGATTTTCGTCGCCAGAAGATGCTGTTGAAGCATTCAAAAACCATGTTTTGGAGGTGTCTCAATCGGAGTGGAAAAAGTGCTTCGAAAATTGGTTCGAGCGCATGCAAAAGTGTATAAATCTTGATGGAGAATATTTTGAAAAACAATAAAACCATTTTCGTTGATAAATATTCGTATTTTCATTATTAGGCCAGAAATATATATAGCAGCCCTCGTATAATATTATTAAGGGTATGTAGTGAGTTTGATTTAAGCTGAGCCTTGCACTTGTGTGAATGTACACCGATAGTGTAGGTGTGATGTCAAATTTTTGAATGCCACGTTCTTTTCTGTATTGAACCGGTTTATACTGCTTTTGCTTCGCCCCGCACCTTCCGCACTTCACCTTTTGTAATGGTAGCAAATTCAAATGTTGAAAACGCAATGTCATGTGAAGAACAATTCGTATAGTTTATTCAATTTTTTTATTAATTAATAATTTTTCTTCTATAATATTCATAATATTTCCAACTGGCCTTCTAGTTTTGCTTATTTTATAGCACTTATGTTATGTATTTATTTAAAATTTAATTCTAAAAGTTTTTTATCTAACTATACTTTTACTCACACAAATGCAAAGCTCAGCTTAAGTCTAACAGCCTATAGTAGCCTATAGTATGCAATTGTCACGCATGTACGTAATCCTTACAATGTACCTATACATAGTCTTGGAAACATATCACTACTAATATTATAAATGTGAAAGTAACTCTGTCTGTCTGTTACGCTTTCACGCCTAAACCAGGGAACTGATTTTAATGAAATTTGGTACAGACATAGAGTTGACCTTGAGAAAGAACATAGGATAGTTTTTATCACAGATTTTTGAAAGGTTCTCTTGGAAACGCGATATAACCGAACTCCACGCGGGCGACCTGCTGGCGGAAAGCTAGTATATATATATATATATATATATATATGTATAGATATATATGTATTTCTGTAACCTTATTCAAAGATAACAAAAAAACTTCCACGATCACAATGAGATCAAATTCATAGAAGAAAATCATATAGGAATTATTACGATATCTCGATTCCAATTGGAACTACATATAAATGTGAATTACTACTGAAACTCACCATCGGGGAAGACCTGCCTCATCTTCAGATAGCTGGTCGTGAGTCGTATAACCGATGCCTTGTCGAGTTGGGAGGTTATGGCCGATGGTAGTGGTAACAGTTTCGCTAGTTCTAGGAACTCAGCGTTCTCCTTCTCCCTCCTCGAGCGAGCTGCGTTTTTGCTTTTCTCCTTCATGATGGCCGCGTTGAGGGAGATCGGCCGAGGAGATTCCTTGCGGCAGGCTGATTACCAAAAAAAGATTATTTAACTTCATTTATTTATTTATTTATTTGAACGGCACATCGACAGTACATACATTAAGCACTTAAAACTAAACATTTACAACTGAACACTAACTGATGTATGTACCAATTATGGATGTACACAGCACTGCTAAAAATTACTGTCTAGCTTATAAAAATATTATAAAAAAACAAGTTAACAAAAGAAATAACTATAAACTATAAAATAAATAAACTATAGAAACTAAATAACAAAACTATTACTTAAAAAATACAAAAATTCATTTGATTTAAATCTACTAGGTACTAGCTGCGCTAGTAGGAAGTAGCCCATGTGTTGTTCCTGGACGTCAGTTTGCTGTATACAAAATTTTATCAAAATCGTTTCAACAGTTTGAGCGTGAAGAAGTAACAAACATACACAAACATACACAAACTTTCGCAATTATAGTATTAGTAAGTAGGATACCAAAATTTAATATTTTACACTAACTGAATGGGCTAAACAGTGCCTTTTTGCCTTACGTAGCAGTTAAGATTTTAACCGAACATTTTTGAAGAATTTAATATGTTTAAACCACAAATATTTTGCAATATCTTAAATTGGAAAGTTGCTTATAAAAGAGTGACAACAAACAAATAAACATCAAAGAAACAAGTTGTCAGTTTTTACATCTTCAAGTGGGTCCTCAGAATACATCTTATGAGGAGGGCAATTAATTCCTTTGGTTGGGGTGAAAATTTATTACAAGTATTTGATATTTTTGAAAATTTTAGTCTCATTGGAGTCTTTTTTAGAAACTTTATCTCTTAAAGATCTATATTATAAAATTAATTAATTAATTATTTCTAGTTCAATACTATATATAATATAAACGCACACATTAACACTTAACAGATTAACACGCACACATTGACGAGTGTACACGGACTGATGTGTTATATACATGTGTGTGTGTGTGTGTGTGTGTTTCATACACTCCATATTAAACACATCTTTGTCTTCTTCTTCATATAAACTATGTCTGTATGACGTCACTACTACACACTATGACTCGACTCTCATAAACATACGAAAGTCCCTCTCTTTTTAAATCTTTATAATACTAATTTCAATATCAATAAGTTAATATATTCCACTATTCAATAACATTACGTACTTAGTTAAAGGTACTTCCTTAGTTCGACGTGGGTTCAAATAGTACCTATTAATTAACTCTATGTATGTACATTGAACAATTATGTGTAGCACGCGTCATACATTTCCTATTCAAATTAAAAATCATTTTATATATATTAAAAATTAAAGAGTTCTGTATGTATGTTCACATCACGACACAGCTCCTCTCCTCTCGTCACAGTCACACCGCGCGAGTTACATCCGATATAGACCAGTACTTTATATGACGGACGGTACTGACACGACTACACACACACACACGATATGTGATCACACGTATATGTACATACAACTAGTGAAATATAATTCGCAGACAAAGTCGCGGGTACCAGCTAGTGTTGAATAATTACATTTTTTTTATTTCCTACTCCACTCCACGCCTGGTGCACTCTGAAATGTAAATTCCTTCATCAGACCTATTTTATTATGCATTCAAAGTCAAGTTGTGTCGGAAAAAACCCTCGCGGCTGAAAAATAACATCGAAAGCGAAGAGTTGGAAGATGGCTGTCGAATTAATTGGGAGAGATTTTGTTTATATTTATTTATACATACTAGTTCTTGACCGCGATTCTGCCTGCGTGAATATTAGAGATGCCTTGAAATTCATCTTTAATCAATTTTAACAAGCAATGTTGACGAAATATATATACATATATATATCATCATCAGTCTATCAGAGCCCACTGCTGAGCCTCTTCTCACATGGAGAAGGTTAGAGCATTAATCACTACGCTCGCTCAAGACGGGTTGGTGATTTCAAACTTATAATTGTCGAATTATAAGTCCAGGTTTCCTCACGATGTTTTCCTTCATTAATCAGTGATATCTAAATACTCTTAGAAAGTACATATGATTCGGAAAAATCACATTCATATTTGCCTGGGCCAGGGTCGAACCCGCGCCCTCACTTTTGAGAGGCGGGCCTTTTAACCACTAGGCCACCACTGACTAAAACTGAAAGTTTTGTAAAAAATATTTATGATCTACCTGGCTATGTATATAAATACTTTAATTTCGGATTTTCCTTAAATTTTACTACGTATTAACATCGTTTCACTAAAATCGGACAGTTACCAGTATGTAAAAACCAATATCGCATTACACTACATACTAATAGTTTCCGTTTCTCATTCAATACTACGTTAATACTATACAAGATTTATGAATGAAATACTGTTGACGTGGAGTATGTAGTGACAGACTTGTGGTAAGCGTTTATCTTTAACAATACGTCAATACTATCAGTTGTGTCATTTTACTTTTTATTATAATTTGACAACCCGTTGTAATAATGATATATAATACTTTTTGAGTATTCACTTATTTTTATTAAATGATACTAATTTTTTCGGATTTACCAGGCGATTTTATAATTTTACTCCCGACCTTTCGGTTACTCATGCGTCTTCGTGATCATGTATAACATAATATATAAGGTATAACACACTCTACTTATATATATATATACTAGCTTTCCGCCCGCAGATTCGTCAGCGTAGAGTTCGGTTATATCGCGTTTCCAAAAGAACCTTTCAAAAGTCTGACATAAAAACTATCCTATGTTCTTTCTCAAGGTCAACTCTATGTCTGTACCAAATTTCATTAAAATCAGTTCAGTGGTTTAGGCGTGAAAGCGTAACAGACAGACAGACAGAGTTACATTCGCATTTATAATATTAGTAGGGATAACTGTGGAAACTTTTCTGGCAAAATGATTTTTCACTTCCGAAATAAGCTGTACATACATATGTTTTCCCATAAATAAATAAACAGCTATATTGCAAATAAAATCACTGGACACACAATGTAACAGCACTTCGTACATATAGAAGCCTTATTACGCGTAACAGACGAAGTCACGTTAAAAAACTAGTCATCTTATTTTTGTCGATCAACATTTTCCGTATACGAGATTAAAATTAATGAAATTTACGTAAATTATTAACACTATTGAGTTAAAAAAACATAATATACATATTTTGATTTTCTTATATCTCGTCTTCTACCTGGCAATTTCTCAGCTTTAGCCAGGGTCTGCCTTACATGTTGTGAATAGTATTGTCTAATTGTTTTTACGACCGGCCACGTGCCTGACATCAACCTTCTTTGGGAATGCATAAATCAGTGATGTCTAAATACTCTTAGAAAGTACATATGACTCGGGAAAATTACATTAGTACTTGCCAGGATCGAACCCGCGCCCTCGTGCATGAGGCGGGCCTTTTAACCACTAGGCCACCACTGACTTCTTATATCTATAAATATATTATACGTGTCCCTAAGTCTCCCCTGTTTAATAAATACAAATGGTGCTATACCGGCTTATGTTAAGACATATGGCCCTGTTTGTGGTACAGTGTAAAATATTGTTTCGTAGATCTATAATAGGAAACGAATAAAAATAACAAATAGACGAAAAATATTAAATTTATAAAAAAAAACGTAAATGTACTCAAAAAATTGGATAAAACTTATTTGATTGATATTCTTTTGTTAGTAAAATATATATATTTAATAAATTTTATATATATTAATTATCGTAATATAATTACGTGCTCTATCAAAAAAGTTAAAAAGAAATAATTACTGCATGTGTAACTGATTTAGTGATCAATATGACATTGAAAAATATATATATCAAACATTGAGAAATTATTTAAAATGCAATAATAAAAACCGACTCGAATCCTATTCTCAATCTATCTATATAACGAATCACATAAAAATCGGTGCAGCCAAAAATTTTATAATAACAAAAAACTTACGATGCTCCATCACAAAATCCTCGCGTACATTCAACACGCGACGCAATGGATATTTCATTTTTACACAAAAATATATATATACGAAAAAAATTTCAATAATCGGACATGACTATTTAAATCGCCAAAAAATTCGCACCATCCGGGAAGAGATCCCTGTGTTAACTGAACACCTTACCGTGTACATACCCAGATCGACTTCACCTACCTGTACAATGGCACCCGCATGCCCATTGTTACGTAACTGTAAACAAATGGTAAACAAAAAAAAAGGAAATAAAATATTCATACGAGATATCGGAGATAGAGATGAGATGAGATAAGAGGAGATATGTTTTATTGGATTTTCTGACAGTTAGAATATATCTATATATTTTATAGAAATTTGTATTAGTTACACTATTTATAACTCAAGAACGGCTGTAGGGATATGGATGAAAATTGGTGACGAGATAGATTAGAATCAGGAGACGGACATATGATATTTAATTCTGTTCGATCGAAACAAAAAACTTAATAAATTCCAATACTTGGTAATTTACGTCCTCTATGTCGGAATAGATTTCGCCCGGTCAGCTATACATATATTACTAATTACGAAATTAACGCGAAGTCGCGGGCAAAAACTAGTTAATCTTGAATTTGATGAGTAATTATAATAATCGATAGCTTTCGCATTAGAGACGATCTGTGTGTGTCTGTGTGTGTGTGTGTTTGTGTGTTTGTGTGTTTGTGTGTATGTCTTCATATCAACAATATCTCTGTAACATGAGACGGGAACATCTGCGTTTATTATGCGCGGGCATGGACTCGAGCTATCAAACAGTGATTTGCATATCACACATCTTGTAAGGAGATTCGGACGCGAAAAAAATATATACGGAACCAAATGATAAGCATTTGTTATGTTTTGATATTAATTGTAACATACGTACACACACACATACATAGTTACATACATTTAAATGAAACTAATATTTTCGGTATTACAAGTATTAAAACATGTTTATATTAAAAACCATTGATATTCTTCATCCTTACTATAAGTTCTCGTTCT